TTTTAAACCAGCATGGCAACACTTCCCCCTGAATGTTGTGTTGCTTTGTTACAACGTTGATTTATGGTGTTTGTTCAGCTTCAAACACGTTAAAACCAACACAGAAAATTGGATTTCTTTTTGAAAGAACTGGAGTGATAAATTACGAAGGACCTCCATAACAAAGGTCTTTGTTGAAGTCTTGTGTTAAATCAGTGTCTGCCTCTCCTTTTGATGGGCACATAGCTCATTTATTCCACAGGAGCAAATTTCCTGCGCTGTGAGAGCAGGGCCGAGGATGAATGAATGATCTTTGCCTCCACTCTGTCTTTTACACACCCATAGTAATCCACACACCCAACCACTTCCACACTGAGACCTGAAATGCACTCTTATTGCTGTTTTTCTGTGCTCCAAGTTGTAAGCCTTACTGATATTACAAATGAGCCTTTTTGATAATTTCAGTGCTGCTGGAATTGGCAAGAAGAGACCAGATAAAAAGTTCATATGCATCCTGACTTATCTTCAGATTGTGAATAAAGTTGCAACCAACAGTTAGCGAAGTATTAGCTTAATGTTGTGTGACCCATGTAAAACATGGATTTAGTCCAGGAAACATCCCCCATTGTTTTGAGAAGTGATGATACGAAGTTCAGTGATAAAATGCAAACTCTGACAACCTCCAGCTATTCGAGAACAAAAGGAGAAGCTTTGAACAGACTCTAAGTTAACTGGCAAACAGCTACAGTCAAATCAGCTAATCATCTGTTACTGTCAATGATTATTAGCCTTTAAATGAGCAAAAAATCTACCTGTACAGTAAGAAACAGAGTAAAGGGTAACACTTTACAATAACCATAATTTATAAATGGTAAATAGATAGTTTATTAAAAAACAGCATATAGACCAATTATAAATGGTAAATTGTTTATTAATGTAAGTTAATAGTTACTTTACCATTAACAAGCAATGAAACTATGATTCATAGTTTTCATTAATTATTAGTGGACTATTTATCAAAGGTTTATATAGGGTTTAAGTATTGGTTGTAAAACATCTAGATTAAATGTGTGTTGGCAGCACTTTGTAAATAGTTAATATTTGGTTTATAAACCGTCTATAAACATTACTTAGATGGTTATTATAAAGTTTGGGTCAGGGGTAGGTTTTTAAAAGTGTAAGATTTTCAATATATTAATAATCTATATGCTATTTATAAATGATTAAACATTAATAAGCCACCTGCTTACCACTTATAAATGGTCTATTTACCATTCATAAGTTATGGTTATTGTAAAGTGTTACAGAGTAAAGAAAACAAAACCTTTGTCTTTTTTTCAGAACCAGGTTGTAAATGTATTTCTTTTTAAAAACAGACATTTAATATGGGCTTTAATGGGAATTCCTTCGCTTTTGAGACAGCCCCAAGTGGACACTTGTGGAACTGCAATTTTTTTGGCATTTCTATAGTGACTTCACTTGTTAATGTTGAAGTTTAATTTGACAGTTTTAGCAGTCTTTGGGGTTTAATTTCAAGTCAATGGTAATTTAGTTAGAAAGTTGTCGAATGATTAATCTAGCTGCTGTGAAAGGGTTATTAAATGTGTTCTGTCATGTAGATTGTCATTGATATAATTTTGTGCTCTCCTTGAAAGAGTGCTCCATTCTGTGAATTTTTCTGCATGTTGTGTTTTTATCTGGCTGTGTCAGCCGTTTTTGAAGGGTCTGATTGTAGAGATATCAGGGAGGCGTCTCAAATTTCCTTTGTCCTTTTGAGGGTCTTCCTGCCTGTCCACTTCCTTTAAAACAAAGGAGAGGCCAGTGTCTCCCAGAGGATTGGCCTTCATTTCTGAGGTGATGTGATTAAAGGCTTCTGTCTGGGCTCTGCCCATTCAAAAGCCTCGCACACACCGCAGCTGCTTTAGTTAATTGAATTGTCAGGGAAGCAGACAGCATTGAAAGTAGCACTAAGACTGATGCTCTGAATCGATAGAGTGGCACTTAAAGAAAGTTGCGTAGTGGGTTGTGGAGATGAAGAGCTCTCAGTTGTTGAGACCGAGCAAGTGGTTTTCAAATGATGCATAAAAGTGACATAGCTGATGGTTTGGTTAAAATGTCTATTACTTTACAGTATCTGACCAGGGGCTGCAGATGATATCCAAATCATCGATTTTTAAGGGATGATTTGGATCCCCAATCCTTTCCCCTCTACCCTTCTCATCTTTGCAATCTCTCTTCCTCATCTTGGTACTTTCCCTGCTTCATCTTTCTCTTGCTCTGAGCTGGATTCAAACCCCTGACCATTTTATTCAAAGGCAGCAATCATGTCCATCACACCACTAGCCTGCCTCCTCGTCGTCCCTGTGAAGGTCTGTTTATTTCACCATTTTCTTTTGTTGACAGATTCCTCTACTTTCCTAATGTAAAAGCTTTTTGCCAAACCTGAACTCTTGAGCTGTGAGGCAGGAACCTGAACCGCCACATCACTGAGCTGCCTTTCAGTTTTCAAGGTTTTATTACTTCCATGGTCACTCTGGAAATAATAAAACAGTTTCCAAACTCAAAAGACACAGGGCTGAAGCTGGATTTTACATTCTCGTTTATTCTTGTAATTTAGAAAACAGAGATACCCAAGCCTGGATTTGAACCCTGTACTCTTGGATCATCATGCAGGAACCTTCACCACAACCATCTGATATATCTGTATATTTTCATGTTTTCAAGGTTTGATAACTTTCCTGTTTTTTCTGGAAATCCAAAAGCTTTTTCCCCAACTCCAAAGACACAGGGCTAAACCTGGATTTGAACCCAGATCTCTTGGACAGGAAGGCAAGAACCTTAACCACAACACCACTTTATCAAGGTTCATCCAGGTTCATCCTGTTTATTTTGGTTGTTTAAAAGCATTGACCCAACTCCAAACAAACACGCCCAAATCTGGATTTGAATCCAGAACCTTAACCACCACACCACTAGACTGTGTGTTATTTTACATTTTGTTTCTGAGTTGATTCAGAAACACTATTTGGAGCCAAGTGGTCCAAGTGATCCAGGCCATACTAGCTTCATATTGAGTTAGTTAGTGCCAGAGTTTGAACCCAGGACCTTCATATTGTTACACCTAAGTGCTGCTTGTGTCACTACACAAGATCTAGATGTATAAAAGACTGGTCGGCTTGAAATTTGACATTTTGTTTTATGTCTTTGTAAACAACTCCAGGAGGAAACAGAGCGCCTTCTTTGCAATCTGTGGTGGATAACAGTCATGCTCATTTTGATTTTTATAAAAACAGACTGCAAAGCACCGAAAATAGCTTCTCACACAAGTTTTTATCTCTCTTCCACCCCGGGACAAATACTTCGGTTTGGTCACAAGCAAGTGCAAAGTAGGCGAACATCTAGATGGGTTCTGTGTTGTTAAATGGGGTCAAGCCCTGATTTCTCATTTGGTTTGAGTTTATTGAGTTCAACAGAATCTGTGTTAGACAAAAACTATGCACAATTTTTGTTCTTTTGCAATTTAATGTGAGAGATCTACTTTCTAAAATAAAGTTGCATTATAGCACAGAATCAGTGTGATGATGTGCTGACAGACATCATGCGGATGTTTAACAGGTAATGCTGTTGTTTCCATTTGGGATGCTGCGGCTAAATTCTCATGAATCAAAAGTACGACTGATAGACTCGTCAGTGAATTAAATTTTGTTATTAACTCATCCTCGATCAGCTCTGCGGGTCTGTCTGGAGTGAGGTCCATTACCAGTTCATTCTGCCGAGACTTCTTAGTGGAACGTTTTTAGAAAATTGCAGCCCCAGATGAAATAGATGATTTCATTATGGAGAGATGATGTAACGTCTAACGGAGTGATTGTCCTTGTTTTGAGGCTCATTGATTAATTACATCTTTGTCTGCCTAGATAGAGATACTGTGAGTGCCAGTTAATGGAAGGAAGGCGTTGGAGGTCCTTGGTAGTTCAAGGCCCTGGATTAATTCATCAGCTGTATTCTTTGTCTTGCGTCAAACTGACCACAAAAACAAGTCTGAGCAGAGCGTGAATACTTTGGAAATGACTGTCTATCAGATTACTGCTGTAATCTTGCTTTATTCGTGAATCTATGGGAGCATTGTTGTCTCTTTTATAGGCCAGTATATCAGAATCAACACCCTGGAGACTCTTGCTGACCCTGACATTCAGATGGTTTAATCGATGAGGCTAATGGTTATGCAGGATAGATCCGGGCTATACAGTAATCCGTCTTTTGTGCGAGAAGCAGAGGTGATAGGTTACAAAACAAAGAATTAAGAGGGAGATTCATGAACAGATTAGGAACCTATTTGGAGGTAATCAGCTACAGAGTGCAGGAGTGTAGCTCTGATTGGTACACTTGTTAAGAGTGATGAAGTGTTTGTGTGACGTCTGCGGCTTGTTTGACCAGCTGTCTTCTGCTGACAGAGAGAGTGGCGTTGCAAAAAACTTGCTCCAAGCTAAACTCTCACATAGCCAAGGACTCTGGGACTCAGCAATCAAGATTTCACTGATGTGACTCACACCAGTGCTGATGTTTTTTGAGGATTACATCATGTTTGAAATATAAAAAAAGAAAAAAACACCTGCCATTGTGTTGTCTGTGATCTTAGCATACGGCAGAGAGGATGTAGCCTGTTTGCGAGAAAGGCTGCTGCCTCCACACTCCTGGTTCCCTGGGAGACTGGCATGGTCAGCAGCCCCCTCCTCCCCCCTCTCCTCTCCTCTCCTCTTCTTCCTCCCTCTTCCTCCCTCATCCTCTCGCCGTTTTCAACCCCCCTGTTTGTGAAAGGAGGCGTGTGAGTGAGGGGGGGAGAGGCAGGGCACGTTAGCAGAGCCGAGGCTGTGGGAGTGGAACTCAGACGGCAGGCAGAGCATACAAACACACATTCACACACACACACATGCACACACATGCTCAGTCAGCGTAAGTGACACAAGTGCTGGCTCCATTCAGCTCTGAGTTGACTGACTCACTGCTATCCATTTGCCGGCATGCCGCAGAGAAAGAGGAGTTTCACTTTTGGAGCCTATGGAGGGTAAGCATTAAATCCTTAAAATGTGTCGAATGACTGAACCTCCTTAAAACACTGTCCTGTGTGTGATTGTGCCGGTGTGTTATCTGTTTGTGTCTCCCTGTTTGATGACTGTGCAGATTCTGGATCTGTGTGTGTGTGTCTGCATGTTTGTGCCATTTGCACAGGAATGCTGTCACTTACATTCATGAGAGCAGCTTTTGTTTTAAATGTCATGGTTGTCATTTATTTTTTTAGCTTTTTATCGCAGTTTGGACGTGATTGTAAATTTGCTTTAAGATTCTATCCATTGGGAATGACGTATCAGATCTGGAGGCATAGTCATACCTCAGGTTCAGGTTCCAGGGAAGTATTACTTAGCCCCCCCACAAAGCTGATATGGGAAGTGATGTCATTGTATTAGGAGCCCACTTAAGACTTAACAGGTTACTGAGTAAACAGGTGCCTCAATGCAACTGCCTTCAGTGTGTCCATGAGTTAAAGGTAGACTCAAGTTTGTCTTTAGATTAGATAGACTATCTGCAGAGTTCAGTGTCTGTGCTGGGCTGTTCACTGATTTTGGCGTCATGGCCACAGTCCTAATTGCTGTCAGTGTGTGTGGGCTGTTAGCCAGGTGGAGCCAGACTCACTGGGCAGTCATGGTAGGAAGAGCCTGCTCGAGTGGGAGAACTCAACAAACGCCTTTGTTGGTGGAGTCTCCTTATCGGAGCTTCTCAGTGGGCATGAATGATCCAAATAGAGTGAATAGGGTTGAATGGTTACACTCAATTTGCCATTTAGCTTCCTCTCTGGAGAGATGAGTGTGAGCCGGACTTAGCATTGTTCTTAAACTGCTAGCTTTCTGAGCGAGACGCTCCAGTGAGAGAGAACAAGTATCACTGATCTGGTTGTGAACTTTTTCTGTGTCAGACTTTGAGCACACCATGACTGATCATAGGGATACTGCAGATAACTTTCACCATGCAATACACTCTCTATATGCCTTTGCAGTGAGTTAGCATATTGATCTAGCCAGGCTCAACAGACCTGGTTTACCCTTGAATCTCATGTCTGGTTTCGTGCCCGTGTTTCACTCGCGCTCGAGCTGTTACCTGAGTGAATGTTTGCTGCAGCTGGTGGAAATATTTGTAAACAACTGGCAAGTACCAGTGGGAATTTTCCACCTTTTTGCCTCGCGGAGGTTGCTCTTGCATGGCAAAAATAGACCAAAAAGAAGGTGCCAAATAAGGATATTTACTTTGGCACGCAACTCAGAACTGAGATAAATACTTAATGGGGAGTGCTTTTCAGAAGAAAAGACTGATCGTGAAGAATATCTGGATGTTTTTGAAATTACATGTCCTGTCCATTCTCCAGATCCTATTCTCTAGAGAGCCATCTGGATTATAGGTTAAGGTTAATGTACAATGAATGAGCGGTTATGCAAATAAGAGCCAAGGATCCCCGGGAAACTCATTGGGGTTTATTGGATTTTGATTTTCAAATAAACACCCATTTCCCCCCACGGTCGTGACGAATTAAAAACTCAATTTCCAGTTAAATTGTGGAATGAAGAGTTATAAAACTGTTCACACTTGGTTTACAGCTCTGATTGTTTCAAATAAGACTCCATCTTTGCGTTTATCATCCATTGATTATCCCATTCAGAGGCAGAATCAGTCCAAGATGAAGTCAGCATGTATTTATCTTTCTGTTTGCTGTTTAGCAGAGGCCCTCAACGCTGCCGCTGCTGCATTTGGCATTTTGATAGGTCACAGTCGTTGCATACATCAGCAGGTGATCTGTAATACACCCTGTTCCCTGTATCCTATTGGCATTTACTGGCAAGAGTGGCCCCTCTAATCTCCCTGCAGACCAGGCCTTTCTTTAACACGGCGTGCTCCGTCATTTTGACATCAAATATGAATGGAGCTGCCACTTAATGTGAGTCTGAATGTGTTTGGTTATTGTTTCCCCTTTGGCAGGTCACGGCGCTTTCATTTAGCCCACAGGAACACGACACAGTCTGGAGTTGTGGCAGCAGGAATAAGACCGTGATTTTGCAACAATTAGTTTTCGTTTCCTTTTAATGGAACGTCTCTGTTCCTTTCCTTCTTGTCATGCTGTGAGAAGCCGGTTGTTTCTTCATGTCAGGCTTTCATGTGTAGGTAGTGTTAGCGGTAGTCTGCTCTGTAGGTCACAGCGGCTGTCTCCTTGTGAATTATTAAATCATGAAATAAGCACAGAGCTGCAGCCTGTTTGATATGAACTCAGTATTTCAGAAGTAACTTTAGTGAAAAGACCGTTAAACCACATGTGAACAGGGTAGAGGTGTACGTGATAACTCATGTTGTGTGGTCTGAATTGTGGTTGAAACCCTCCTCTCAGCTGATTCAAAAATGTATTTCTTGCCGTAAACAAGATTCTTTGGAGATTAGGGGTTTCCCATTGTAAAACACAGCACTTAATTCATAGTAACCCGCTGTGAATGTGCTCGAGTTAGTTTGTGGCTCAAACAAAGAAGCACACAACTGCTGTCTCATTTTCCTGAATTCAAGGTTTTACTTTGATGTTTATTTTTGCACCTATAGTACTTTTTTTTTTTTTAAAAACAGAGGCCTCTGTCTCGTTCGGTTCTTGATCATTTAAAGTCTAAGGCTCTCTGCTTTAATTATTCGGCTACAGAGAGCAGGAAAGAAAGACAGAGGGGGGCCTTTTTGTTTGACAAGAGCAAATGTTTGCATGACAAAAGATGATTACACCGCGAGCCAGGGCTACTTGAGAACAGGAGGCCATTCAAGCACCTTTCCAAGGGCAGAGGCAAAACAAACAGGAGATGTAAGGCAACCAGAGGGCTCTTCATGGCCTACTCAGCCAGTCCACCTTGCATATTTACTTTGACATTCACATTCACATTCATATTCTCAATGGGAGACTGTCCATGGAGAAAAACAAGACGGGCAGGCATTGGACGAGCTGCAGTTCATTATAAAATGCTCACGGGGCCAGCTATTGTTTACTTATTTGTCCTTTGTTAAGAATAAAACAGAGCGGATTTATTATCGTCTTGTATTATAGTATTTGTGAGTCCCTCTCTATATACAGATTTGGTCTGCTCCAAACAGATCTGATGCTGCAGGCAGGTCAGTCAGCGGTATACGGCACCATTATGAATCTCAATCCAGAAAGGATCATCGCGGAATTATACTCACAGGAGAGCAAAATCTCTCCGACTCCTGGTTCAATAAATATGGAAAAAAGAATACAGGCTCCATAAGCCCCTGAAGTGACAGAGTACCTGAGCTGTAAACAAAGTCTTAACAGCGCGCACATTGGGCTTAAGGTATTTCTCTCTGTTATCTAACCAGCTCGCCTGCATCTGCATCTTTTGTAACAGTTTGCAGAACAATGTCTTGTATCTTGATGTACTACTACAACAAGATATTATCAGACAGGGAGGTTAGAGTTTAGGTTCATAGTTGACAAGGTGTGTCAACAGTGTCTGTGGCTAACCTGACATCTCCTCTTGGGTCATGGGCGGCAGCCTGGAGTTTGACATTTTTAGCTTTATCTTGATGTCTTGGAGCCAGAAATTACCCGTGTTGTGTAAACAGGGAGAGAGGTGGTGTCTTGGCGATCACAAGGAGGAAGGCTCTTGTATTTTCAATGGGACAATACATTACAAGACACCATCATAGTATAATCAGAGGTAGTGGTTTGGTACCTCTGTGAGTGTCTACAGCCATGAAATCAGAATGAAATGAGAGGTACCTCCATCAGGTGGAGTTTCCCCCTGCTGGTCGATGCAGGTTCTAGGACCATGCTCCATTTCTTAAGCATGGGTGAAAGGTCCATGTCTACCTTTTTTTAAGTGCCTTTATTGTAAGAAAAGGAAACTGGGACGAGACATTAGGAGATGACATACTAAAAGTCTGTGGTTCAGATTTGAACCCATGCTGCCTGCTTTGAGGGCTTTAGCCTCTATATATAGGGCATGTAATTCAACCACTCCAGGTCTACTTCTTTTATGATCATTATAGAACTTAAACGTACACGTACAGATTTGCTTGATGTCTGTGTCCTCAAACTGTCATCATGAATATGCTGGTAACGGTGTCAAATAAACACTCTTGAATGTGAGGTTAAACACTCAACATAAGACCAAAATATCTTAAAAATTTGTTTATAATAACGCAATTAAACTCTACATATGAGTATTTTTAAAGTTTGTGCTATTTTGTCCCTTTTGGCACACCGTAGTTGAGCTCCTGCAGAGTCTTCCTGCTTCCTGCCCAGACAATTTAAACGACAAATCACGACTTAAATGCACTTTGAGTCTAAAATATTTAAATATCATTCTTGTACTTATAATTTTAATCACATCTTGCTGCATTTATTTGTTTATTTACAATCAAGACTTTCTTCAGAATAGCTTTGGACAATAATAACATCTCATTTCTGACACCGCTATGTGATCTTTTCAAAAAGGTAAATGTGACACATATCCCAGTGTCTCAGCGGTACCAGTGTGTGTATGTGTTCTCATACACACTGTATTCTACTGTACTGTAGCTAAATGGGAACATTCAGCCACTTTACTCTCATTTCTCTGTCAATGGGCTCATTCAGTCCACACTGGGTCAAGATACTGTTTACAGTCTCGATATGGTCACATTTTTTTTTCCATTGTCTGACACTGTTTCTAATTTCTACCCCCGAGGGCGGCATATGCAGAAATGGTCCAGCTTTGCTCAAGGCCTGGCGTGTCTGTTTGTATCTGTTCTATCATGATACAGTATCAATGTCCTATCCTGAGGCACAGTGGGAGACTAACTGCAGAGTCAGGCACTAGAATATGTGTTGATTGTGTGTAGGTGTTATTGTGGGAAAGCCCTTATTCAGAATTAACTGAATAGGCTCTGATACCGTATTCAACCAGGCGTTATCCTTTTTTGTTTTCACTGAATGACTATCAGCCGGTTGTTTGTCTGACCTGAAACATCTCAACCACTTTTTAATGCACTGAAATGACACTTTGTGGGGACGATTGTGGTCCTTTTATGATTCTCTGACTCTTCGTCTCACACCAGAGGACATTTTCAACCATTTTGCAAAAGATCTCATCATATACTAGATGAACTTTTTGGCACTTTTTGCACACTTGTGGAGCATAGACTGTATATATTAGGGACAACTTGGTTCTACCTTCCGCCAGTATACGGATTTGAAGCCGAAAAGCTCTCGGTATTTCCGGGATTTTTCTCCATTTCCTGAAACCAACATTGCACAGTAGCATTGTGCGCATTCAGCGAGAGAGCTAAGAGTCACTGTGATGACGCTCGGCTCAAACAGTGTATCCCTCGTGTGAGCTACGCAATCCTTGTACGCCCATAGGCTGTATCAGGTGTCAATCATAGAAAACATGAACCCCCTAATAACTTTTAAAAATGGAGCTGTACAGAAAAAAGAGGACTTGAGCACAAACCAGTCTTACAATAACTATTTGTCAACATCGCAACCAAGGGGGAGAAAATAGTCTATTCTGTGTAATAAATTTCCTAAGTTTGTCCACAGCTCCATAGGGATTGCTGGGGGAGGCGGGATTTATGACCTATACTGCAGCCCGTCACCAGAGGGTGCTGTTCTCGGAGTGGCTTCACCCAGCGAGGGGCAGATGGCGTCCATTCTATATACAGTCTATGTTGTGGACACATATAGACATGCTAACATGCATTTCTGTTTCATGTAAGTATCTTTGTATGTTAAGTTTAGTCTCAAACAGCTGTTGGCAGTTTCCCCTAAAAACCCATGTAGTAATCTGGTGCTGCAGTAAAGCTGTTTTAGCAGAACAGGCTGTTCAAACTGAAGGCTCCTTCTTCAACTTCTCAAATCACAGGTAGACTAAGTGACCTTTCAGACGGTTTTCTTTGCAGAGTATTCAGTCCAAAATTGGCTGCATATGAAGGAAACAAGTCAGCATGTCGTGTCCTGGTGCTGGGCGAACTGGGTGTAACTCTGACTGTGACTCCACCAGAATGTAATCCAGCTGAAGGGAAGGGGGAATATTTCTGTGCGAGCTGGGATCATATTCGTTGAATGAGTTCGATGACAAATGGCTCTGCTTTCAAACTTGTGTTTTAATATGCAGACTCACAGCGACAGCTTCTTTTTCCCAGATAAATATAAATGTCAGAGTTATTTTCCAGCATCTTTACAACCTCTCACTTGTTTGGAAAGTGAAATACTGAAATGACACATTTTTAGGCTGGAGTGATTGTTCAGCGAGGGCCCTAACATTTCAGATTTTCATCAGCGGTGTGTTTTTCTTGTCATGTTTATCCGAAGCTGAAGCACTTCTTACATTACAGATACAGAATTAGCACCGCAGGAGCGTGTAGCGGCAGCAGATTGGTGGCTGTACGACAAACTTGTTTGCTTTAAGCTGGATTTCGGGTGACCTACTTGCCTTAAACAGAGTTGCTGACTTGATCACAGAGGAACACTTTTAAAAGTTGAGCTCGAAGAAATTAGGAAATTAGCGGCGCTACACTTCCAGCCAGATTAAGTCAGGGTGTCACGGCTGCTGATACCGTGACGGGTTCCTTGGACCCTCTTTGAGCCTTTTTATCCTTTAGTGGTGTTTTTTCTTTGAATACCAGCTTGTGAAGAAGAAAAAGACAAAGCGTGAAAACCAAACTATGTGCCATACAACACTCATGCTACACTTTGATGTCTGATTCGGCTACACGCTGTTTTCACTGTGAAATTTGAATGTGCAAATATGAGTCATTGCCCACAAACGCATTAGCACAGGCAAATTTGTTATAGCCTACTTTGTCCACTCGAGTATTGTTCACCCAAAGACGGACAGAACAGTCTTTGTTTCTTGAAAAGCTGGGATTAGTTTTGCGTCTGGCTGTTTTTTTTTTATTTCTAGTTCGGCTGTTTCTTCTTTAGGTGTGCTTTCTTGCTCCTCAAAGCCAGGTATGCTTTGCTTTTATCTTGTAGTTTTAGTCCGATGTCTCTCAGAGAGGTGTAATGCTCCTTTAAGATATGAAACTGGTGATTCGATGACTTTTGATGACTGGAAACCTGAATGCTTTATTGAGAAATTTCTAAGGCCAGTTTGTTTTTCACTCCTGATTCAGAAAGGTCCTGAAATGCTGCTCTTACTGAGTCATGCTCGTGACAGCAGCTCTCTAGATATGTGGACATGAGCTCTGAGTTTACTCTCCTGTAACTTTACATCTCTCCAGAAGCTTTTATAGTGAACTCTGTTGTCTTTTTGTAATCAGACATTTCTTGACTTGTAGTGAGATGTAAGACCAGTAGAAAAACTATGTTGGCAGATGTCGGCGCAGGTTCGCTGATAAATGTCTCCGGTATCTTCCCCAATATGTTAATAAGAGGCCAAAGCATTTCATTGTGTCCTGCGTGAAAGCTGAAGATGTGTGTCAGCGCAGATTTCCTGTATGGTCTCTGGTTTTCCAGTCAAGAGCCTTCATTCAATAATCTGGACACTCCCTGCTTGATTTCATTTTGTGGGAATTTCTTGAAACCTGAGAATGGGTGAGCAGCACAGGATGAGGTTCAGAAAATGTTTTTCTTGGTGATGCAGTACAAATGAAAACAGCTTTTTCCTCCTCGCCCTCCGCTTTGCACAAGCAGAGCCGACAGGCCGTAAGTATTTTGGCTCCCTCCCAAGGACCAGTATGCATTCCACTTAAGATGGCGCTCTGATTTATCTGCACACACTTGTCCGTCAGGCTCGGAGAAATCAACACTGGTGGTAGATTTGAGATAGAACAGCACCGCTGAAATCCATCTCAGGGACATTATGTGTCACATGGAGGCCCGGGGTTGAAAATGATGAGCGATCTTCTGCACCGAGGGGAATCAGGCGACAACCTACTGTAACAACACAAGTCTGTTGATTCGTGACTCCACAGTACAGTGAACAAACAGACCCCCCCAGGGCCTGTTTCCTCTCACTAACACAGTTTTCTGAGAAGAAGGAAGCTTCAAGCTTTCAATTTTCTTTTGAGATTTTCTCACCACAGAAGAAGAAGTACAAACTTTTTTAGCAGTACTTTTGGTCCTGACGTTACCTCATTAAAAATGAAACTGAAAACCCCCACGAGTGGAAGCTGAGAGTCCCTCATTTTATGGGGCTTATTTTATGATGTTTACCATTCTAGTATGGGAACTCTAAATACATAATTGAACATGATGTGAATAGACAGTTTCCCACAAATAGAAGCAGGTTTTGTAGATGGTAGAGGCAAAAAGAATAAGCTGTAAAGTAAATGGAGAAGCCATCCGCTTCAGACTGTTGACAACTGAGCTCTTTACTTACCTGCATAAACAGATATGTGCACAAAAGTTCAGGTGACACCCCAGCAGGAAATACTCTTCTTCAATTCCATTCTCTTGTCTAAAGTTGCTGGTTGGATTGTAAACTATGAGCAGGTCATAGAAAGACTTGAGTCAAACAGCTTTAGTGGCTTTTCTGAATAACCACAGGCTACTACACAGGAAGTCCAGAAAAATGTCAGTCAGCAGAGACTAAACTATAGCCGATGGGTTTTGAGACTTGGATTTCAAAAGCAAGTTTCTCCAGAGGATGAATTCCAACAACTGTGGCAATTTGTTTAGTGCATAAAGACTTTCTCTTACCCTTTTAAGTGTCTTTAAATTCACCTAGACAAAATTCATGGTTTCCAGAGGATACACCTTAATAAGTTTTCATCCAAACTACAAACTGTGCAAAATATTCTGTGACTTCACCCTTAAAGGGATATTTCGGCGTAAAATTTAAATTATGATAATGAATGTTCTTCCTTGAGCTGCGTCACCCCGCTGTAGTCTGTAATGGTCTGGCCCGAGGTCTCGCTACAAACAAGCGACTGCTGGAAGAGAGTAGGTAAGTTGTGTTTAGTCTTTTTGCTAAAGAAATCAGGCAAAGTTAAAAAGATGTTTGGTGGCTAGTACTATGGCTGGGACCATATATGTCCTGTTGATGAAGTTAGGTGCTGTTCTGATGTTATTTGTGGCCATGGAGTGGCGTTTTGGTTGAGCGCGTGGCTCCTGGGACCACTGTGTATTGCTGTCATGCGGTCGTTACTAAAGGTGGTATAACAAGAGAAGAAAGCGGTCAGCAACATTCATCTCTTGAGGGAGTGTCTAACTCGGTGTTATGGTGTGTTTGAATATTTCTTTAAGTTTCTGAAGGTCTTGAATCTCAATAGACACAATAAAACTCTTAGCCTTTCAAAAAAATAGGAGATTAGCGAATCAGAGTCACGGCTAACTCGAGTGACAGGTGGGCACACTGCAGTGATTTGCGAGGAGGCAAAAGGCCCACCTCTGGTAGGTTGAATGAAGTTTAGGTTGAGTCTTTAATACCAATGTGATGCTGCTGCTGAAAGTCTTTAAAATCTCTAAATGACACCCTAAAGTTAAGTCCAGGCTATGATTTCCATTAAGTGTCCTCATGTTCATACTGTCTCTGTTAGCTTCTAAACATACTGGCGTTAGTATTTATTCCAGAGCAACACCATGTTGAAATATGAACCTGATAGCTTGCCTTTAGGCTCTAAGTTTTGTTTTTAACCATATTTCTGATACAGCGAGAGCCATTTCCCTCTCCAGGATTGTTTGTTTGATCCGTCAGCTTTTGCTGTGCCACGCAAACTTCTCGTGTTCAGGAGGAGGCGAGTAAGAGGTCTGAACTTTGGTGGCTCTGCTGGGAGACGCAGGCTGTCTGCAGGCTGTCAGGCAAGTCTGCATCTTTGACTCGAAAGATGAAACCTGACATAAATTCAGTCACAGGAGACAGGACCGAAAGCAAGTGGAAAAAAACAACACAAAATCACCTTACAGCTGCGGGATATTTGCAGTTCATGTTGCCTTTGCTCTGTTTGGTGGCTCATCATTCCCAGAATTTCCGAGGGGGTCAGTTCCCTGCTCTGGAGGCAGCTGCAGGAGCCTCGAGACACATACTAAACATTCCCTTTTCGCTGTGTCACCAGCAGCAGACATCACAGGAGACGGGCCTGCAGCCATGAGTCACTCACAGGGCCAGAGAGCAACAGTTATCAGTGTCGGATATCCACTTTGTTATTGTCAGTGAAGTCAAGTGCTGCATCTCAAGAGAACTTTGGGTGTGACCAAAGGAAAGTATTTAGTCCTTGTCATGGGTGTTAGGCTGTTTAATATCATGCATTACAGACTGAAACGTCTTTATTTAAGTCTTTCTGGAAAAGAATTGCCCTTCCTGAATTTCCCCTGCAAACACAGTGCCATCTAGAGGCAGTAAGCGCACTCTGCATCCGTTTATTTGCTAAAAAAATCAGCTTTCCAGAGTGACCCAAGGACAGGGAGTATAGTTACTATTGATTGACGGAGACTAATAGCCACAGTGTGTATTCAAAGCCCAACAGGATTCATTTTGTCTCAGCAAACACAGAACGAGTAATCATCCTTTCATCCTGGGAAATGCTTCTTCAACAGATGGCAGGAGTTATTTCAGGGTAACCCGGCCCACTGCAGAACAGACCTCTCTCAGTTCAGTGGACTGTCTGTAAGTGGGAAGGATGGTTCATTATCTCTCTGCACTTTCTACACTTGAGTTAGACTGAAAGATTTAAGTACATGAAGACGAGAGTGACGGGACTTTTAGTAAGCTTTGTATGTCATCAGAAGTCACCTGATGCAAATGTTTTATCATTTGTAGTCTTGCTAATAGAACGGCGACTTTGTGGAGTTATTCACCAAACTTTAGATGTGCCTCTGGACTTTCAAATCATTTTTAACTTCTTTGAATTGTTTTGTTTTTTTGACACAAACTAGATGGTAAAAAAGTAACTTCTGTGTCTGTGTTTTTCAGGGTGGATAAGACGTTCTCCAAAGCCAGGAGTGTGTGGTGAGTTCTCCTTCTGCTTTAACATCTTTTGGATATAAATCTGGTAAATTACAGCAGCATGCCCACACATAAAACTGTGATGTTACCTCTAAAAAGTTTGAATTTTAACAGACTGTTGTGTGAGATTTAGTGGCATCTAGTGGTGAGGTTGTAGATTGCAGCCAACTCTTACAACGTCCCCATTCTTTACCATTTAAAAGCATTAAAGCCTGGCTGTTCACTAATAGACCAGATTTGGAAACCAACACATCAAGTCGGACTGGATGAATTGAACACCATTCGAAACCATTTTTTCTGCTTTTTCTAAACACAAACTTCAAATAAATGTACATGCATGTACCACATAGACATATTTACACACTTTTTGGAAGAGTATGAGCAGCGTTAAGATGACAAAACCACTGCACAGACCGACTTCATCCACAATGGTCAGCATTTATTCCCACATTACCTCAGGGCTTGAGATAGCCGCTTCCTCCTTGTCAAGATCCATGACACAGAAACGCTGCTGTGGCTCTCTGTCAGGATCAGGATCTGCAGGGTTGTTAGTTTCATTCATGAGCTGCAGACTGACTCTGTGCTTTTCCTACTCTCCTGTGGTCCTTTGGGAAAGTTGGTGCAGAGGCAGTCGTGTGTTTTACAATGCGGTGCTCTTAAAAGTTATGCATTTTTATTACTGAAATGAGCTGGTTGCAAATGAGGCAAGTCAGTTTTGCATTTGGAGTTGATGGTATCGGCATCGGCACTGATTTTCTCAAATTTTTCGAAAAAATCTTTACCTATTTACTGTTAAATTTCTGTGGAGAGATCCCAATAAATGTGACTTTCAATGAACAAAATTATTGAAAAGAAGAGTTTCTGTGTGGAGCATTTAGAGTCACAGACTCAGCCTGTCCTTGACAGTCTGGAAAACATGCGAATCTGTCCACTGAGGTGAGTCTAAGGATGATAAATGAGCCTCAGTGAGCTAAAGCAGATGGGCAGCAGCAGAGAAAAAAAGATCCCCAGTCTTGTGCTGCCATCTCTGCAGTGCTGGCAGAGTTGGACTTGCTGCTGTGTTTGGCACGTGCAGGCAGGCAGGGAGCTGAGCATGCACACCTCATGCCACTGCAGATAGACGGCTCCATTCCTGCAGGCTTCAGGTGAGGTGGCACGAGGGTCTGGCCCTCTACCCTCTCTGTGTGTGACTGCAGCAGAATGAGCAGAGCCTCGCCGCAGTATCATCACTCCGTCCCCTCTGGAATAGAGACACAGGAGCAGCTCTCCTAACAGCCGGGCCTGCATTACTCAGCAGTAAGTGGGCTTGTTTGCAGGGACTGCAGCCGACCTACAGGAGACCGGAGCAGCAGACTATGACTAAATAACTGGAGCTCACGAGGAAAGAAGAGGAGAGACACTGGAGCAGAGGAAAGATAAGAGGGTGAGCTAAAAGAGGATACAAAAACAGGGCAGAGAGAGGACTTGATGTGACAGAAAAAGACAGAAGAGAAGAGCAAAGTGTGACGTCTGCAAAACAACTACTTTTCTTGTCGTGCTTGGCCTTGTTCTTTTGTCAGAGGCTATTTCTTCTACAAGCAAAGGAGGAATTCAAGAAACACTTGTAAATGGATTCGGAGGCGCCTTACCGCTGTGTTAATAGGAACTAAATTAGCTAAGAAAACACCCAGGAAGACAGACCCTCTTCAAAAACAAAACCTGTGGCACCAGGATGAATCATCAGGGAGAGTGTCATCAGAGATCTCAGCAGCTTTGAAAAAGGAGTCTTCACTCTTTTAGGCCTAAGGACGAAGGATTAAGAGAGTAAAGAAACACCATCAAAGAAAGCCCCAACCAAACTGGAGAGCCAAAGTTGAAATCCACCTCCAGGACTGTATGCTGGACGGGATGTGACTGGAAATCAGAGCAGAGCAGCTAAAAAATCTCCACAGAAGAAGAAGTATTACAGCACCCCTCACTCAGCAACATGCCGTGCTCACCTTTCCGGATTGGAAGGCCGAGGAAATGCTGGTGAGTTTCTTTTTCACCTGCCTGGAGACAGTTTTGATGAGGACTTTATCATGAAATATATCAAAGTCATGTGACTGATCGGGGCAGCAGCAGGAACCCCCTCCTTTCTAGGATGAAGACTGATGGTTCTGCTGAGGCCGGGCGGAGATGAGGAGGCGGTTTCCTCATGTTGACATGTCATGATATGTCAACATGAGGAAACTAGAGCCATATTTAAAAAGAGAGGTGATAAGCTGAAACTGAATGTGGTATAGGATGAAGAGTGAAACAGCTGATAAACAAATGGCAGCCCTAGACAGTGATAGTGAGGGAAGAGTGAGTGAGTGAGCTTTCCAGAGAGGGATAGGTTTCCACTGTGAATGCAAATACCAACTCCCTGCTGGAGCTTCATTAAAATATCTGCTTTGGTTATAAGGGGCATGACAACAATCTTGCGGCTCCACCAGCTGAATCACATTTGCTCTAAAATATGTAATCAGCGCAGTGTGTCACGACTGGAGGAGCTATTTTGGCCTCTATTCTACGACAGGAGGAGATGGGGGCGCATCGTCCACATTTATCTACAGCCTGTGCTTTAATCTTGCTCCTTTGGTTCATGTGTTAAAAGTGTTTTCAGACAAAATCCTGCTGTCTTTTAGTATTAGTCATCGAATCCTAGCTGTGTAAAATGTAAACAAAGGCTGTTTCTGTTTGACACATGCAGCAGTAAGCATAAGTAGTCTTGCCACGACTAACATTAATGTTTATATCAACACTTTCAGCTGTTCAAGAGAGGATAAAGGTGCAAATATGAATAACCTTTTCACTGAAATTTCCATGATTCATTGTTTTGATTCTCTTTTTTTATTGCTGATTGTTGAAAACGCTTTGGGACTTTTATTTTGAAGGTCAGTGACAGATACTTCACTGCTGCTACCGAATAGAAATAGACGAGCAGAAAACAGAGAACAACAGTCCAGGCTCAAATTAGTGTCCAGCTAGTCTGTAAAGAAACTCTTACTGCAAGTTAAACAGTTGGACAGTAGAAACAGGTGTATTTTTACGGCTTAAAAAAGAGTCCACTGAACCAGCAGGGGACGCTGCACTTAGATTATTAGGCAGACTCTTCTGACTTCTCAGTCCTGCTTCCCAAAAAGTTTTTGTCTTTTTTTTTTTTGTCTGAGCAACTAAAAGACTCATGAAACACTTCAAATAACATGATAAGAACATTATAAAAGTCTAGACTGTTCGCATTTTTAGCCTCTCGTCTGTCTTGATGTTTAACTTTGGTATCTGTTTTTAAACATTATTGAATTATTGCACTTTAAAGGGATATTCCGGCATTAAATTAAGTTAGGATCAAACACACCGTAACACCCCGTCAAGAGATGAATGTTGCCGACCGCTTCTCTTGATATACCAACTTTAGTAGCGACCGCACGATAGCAATACACAGCAATCTCAGGAGTCACGTGCTCAACCAAAAAAGCTTCTCTATAGCCACAAATAATGCTCAGAACAGAGCCTAACTTCATCAACAGTAGGGTCCCAGCCATAGTATTCGCCACCAAACATCTTTTTAGCTCTGCCTGATTTCTCTAGCCAAGTGACTAAATTCAACTCACCCTCTTTTTCTGGCAGCCGCTTGTTTGTACAGAGACCTCAGGTGAATCCATCAGCGACTGCAGCGTGGTGACGCAGCTCAAGGAAGAACATTTATGATCATTTCTTCATGGAAATTCAACCAGACCAAGATGCTAAGGCAGAAGAACTACTGCGTCTGCAGAGGAAAATGATTAATATGATGATTATTACTTCAAGGAAATGATGGAGTAATGATCATAAATGTTCCTCCTTGAGCTGCGTCACCCCGCTGCAGTCGATGGACTGGCCCTTGATCTCCCTACAAACAAGCGGCTGCTGGAAGAGAGACTGTGAGTTGTGTTATGCAAGCGGTCGGCAACATTCATCTCTCGACGGGGTGTCTAACTTAGTGTTTGACCCTAACTTAATTTTTCGCTGGAATATCCCTTTAAATATCTTTCAAGATAACATGGAGATAGGTTCTCAAGTCTGAGTGAGAGGGCCGCCTAATAGGATCCTTTTACTCTCTCTTATAGTCCATTTAATGACCATTTTTCCTCATTGTGGGTCATACACAACAAACAGATGATGCTTGAGCCCTGTGTCCGCGCTCTCTTAGGGGAGGCCCGTAATTGGTTGTAATCCTGTCATGTTAAGCCCCCCTGATGGAAGGAAGTGGGAGAGGAGAGTTAGTGCGGATAATGGCCACACTGGTGTGTTATGTTGTGTAAGAGCCTGTATACGTACATACATCCAGACGCCTCAGCCCCTGGAGCATGATGGATTACTCTGGCAGCCTGTCCGTTGCATTACTTCCTGTCCATCCTTTAATCCTGCCTGTCTCCTCTCTGCTTCGTGTCACTTGACCTTTATAGGGGACAGCTGTGCACTTTCAAACCTCCCAGTGGTTCAAGTTTTGCTGACCACCTGCGTAAAGCATTCGATCAGTCCTTTCAGTCGACCACATCACAGCATGTCTCTCTCATGTCTCAAAACGTCCTCTCTGCCAGTAATGTTTGGCTCAGTATGCCGACTCTTTTATGTGTGAACATTTCTGTTCAGGGAAATATGTCTGAAGTCTACACAGTCCTGAGGTGTTTGACAGAGCTTACCTCCCCTGTATGGCTCTGTGGTGCTGACAGGGAGGCTGAAAGAGCTAATGTCAGCTAAAAAGCCAATCGCTTACACTGCTAATAAGGCCCATAGCTAGTTTCTCTGATGAAAGCATTTAAAGGGATATTCCAGTATAAAATTAGGTTAGGGTCAAACACACCGTAACACTGAATTAGACACCCTGTCAAGAGATGAATGTTGCCTACCGCTTGCTTCTCTAGTTTTACCAACTTTAGAAACAACCACACAATAGCAAAACAAAGCGGTCTCAGGAGCCACGCGCTCAACCAAAACGCCACTCTATAGCCACAAATAATGCTCAGAACAGCACCTAACTTCATCAACAGTACATATAGGGTCCCAGCTACCAAACATCTTTTTAGCTTTGCCTGATTTCTTTAGCAAAGAGACTAAACATAACTCACCTACTCTCTTCCAGCAGCTGCTTGTTTGTAGCAAGACCTCTGGCCAGTCCATTACAGACTACAGCGGGGTGACGCAGCTCAAGGAAGAACATTAATGATCATTTCTCCATGAGTATGAAATCAGACACTTAGGCGAAAGAACTATCGCGCATTCTTACTTCAAGAAAATAATAAAGTAATGATCATAAGGTCTCCGTAAAAACAAGCGGCTGCTGGAAGAGAGTAGGTAAGTTGTGTTAATTCCTTGCTAAAGAAATTAGGCAAAGTTAAAAAGATGTTTGGTGGCTAGTACTGTGGCTGGGACCCTATATGTACTGTTGATGAAGTTAGGTGCTGTTCTGAGCATTATTTATGGCTATAGAGTGGCTTTTTGATTGAGCGCATGGCTCCTGAGACCACTGTGTATTGCTATTGTGAGGTTGTTTCTAAAGTTGGTATAACTAGAGAAGCAAGCGGTCGGCAACATTCATCTCTTGACTGGGTGTCTAACTTGGTGTTTCAATGTGTTTGACCCTAACTTAATTTTACGCCAGAATATCCCTTTAACAGGAGAAAACACCACAGGACTTATTCATGATGGCATATATTGTACTATAATTTCCTGTTTTTTTACCTGAGATCCCTGCAGTTTTAGATGTTTTCCTTTTTTAAGACGACAGACAATGAGTGAATCAATTTGTCCTGCATGTAAACTCGTTTTTAGAGAAATCAAATATTGTTTAGCTCAGTGGGTAATAGTGCTCCAAAAATAGATATTTGACGTCTGCCGAGTGACCCTGCTATCTAATCCAGTTTTTGTCAAATGATTCATCATTCTATTTTTATGACGCTCTCTAAATTCTGGGCCCATTTAATCCTGTGTGTGTGTGTGTCCTGGTCCTGCCTGTAAACACTTAAGAGGTGTCGCTGTAAACACTCCTCTGTTTGTGCCCACTGATTTCCCAGGAGGTGTCACTCTGCATCCTCCTCTGCACATGCGCTCACCGCTGCACTTTGAAGCCGGGGTCGGATGTCAGTTTTGCTTGTGCACGCCTCTCTATGTATGTCAGGCTGAGCGGACATAGTGGGAGAGCAGACTGTCAAGCCCGATCAGACTGCGCCGTCTCTCTCCGTGAGTCTCCTGCTGTCTGACCGAATATAGCAGCAAAGTGACAAGCTCGCCCCTGGTTCTAACCGACTTAATAATCCAAATCCTAAACATGTCAGCCGCCATCCAGCACCAGTAGGACAAGACGTTTAAAGGAGAACATAAAGCCCAGATGACATCAGACCGGTTAAGGTTGAGATGAGCGCTGGGCGGCTCTGACGAGACATTTCCTTTCATCTGATTCTTGCAGCTTTTTTTTTAGAGACAAACATGTTCAGTCAGCTTTTTTTACCGTTTGACTTCAGACTGTCTTCAGCAGCTGCAGCTTCATTTGCAGACAGAGCTTTAAGTATTTATGAGGCAGACACTTTTTTTTCCCTTGAGCATTTGAATAGGTATACTCCTGAGTAGACATTTGAGGATTTTTATATTCCACTGACTGTGTTACTTAAACTGTCTGGGTGACGTCCATTATTTATGCAGCATGAGTAATGGAAGGAGCCCATGAGACATCCCGGACTTGGACGTTTTGGCAGTCATCGATTCTGGGGAGCCAGAAGTGACCATACTCAGGGCGGGTGGTGTTAGAGAAGGCCGAGGGATTGGCAAATGCCCTGTTGTCATAGCTGTAAAGTGTGGTGAATTAACTAACCAGTTTATTTGTGGGAAAAGTTGATATGGAAACACTGGTGGTGGACCGCTCCTCTCTCTTCGCTGCGGGACCGAAAGATTCAGAAGATCTTTTGTACCCACAGCCATCAGACTTTACAATTCTTCTATAAATAGTAGATGTCTTTTTGAGACATGACAGATGAGACGACAGACAATTGAAGTTGTCTCTGGGGATAGATAAGATTATTCTTTTTCTTATAAGAAAGGTAAACACTGTGGATTTATGCCAACACTTGATAAGATAACACCTGAATTTTACTCACAAAAATGGAGCTCAGACTTCTTAAACAGCCTGATATCACAAAAGAACTGCACAACAAACCATATTATTTATCAGTTTTTTGCGTGAAAGTAATTTGAAAGTGTTTCAAAACAACAAATATGCACCCTAAAAACTCTTGGGTTATTTCTTCAACCCAATTCCTTGGTTTTATGTGTTGAGTTCAATTTCTGGGTTATTTTTCAGATCCATCCCCCTTTCTTGGGTCATATGGATTCTATTGTAACCCAATTTGAGGGTTAATAATTTTAGCAAAGCTCCCAAAAAAAGCTCCCTAAATGCATATATCAATTTAACCCAAGATCATGAGTCAAATTAACTTGAAGATTGGGTTAACTTGACCCGTAAAAAGAGTTATTGATTCAACCCAAAATTTGGGTTAATTTGAATAAACCAACATTCTGCGTCAAAATAACCCAATAAGTAGTCAGTCCCTTTTCAACCCAAGGGTTTTTAGAGTGTGACTAAGTGGTTAAGTTTAGTAACTGTATAACCTGAAGTAACAGTTGCTGTCAACAGGTTGTGCAGTTTTTGTCACAAAAACCTGATCTATACTTTTGTTTTGAGTCTTCCCCATAGGTTTGCATATACCTGAGCTAACACAGTGCATATCCTGCTGTGCAACTCCACTGTTGGTCCACTGCCCACATTATATTTTCTGCAATCACAACCTTTCTGGTATCACCATGTTAGTAATTATAATTAACATGTTCTCCAACGCCTTTTCTCTTTTTCATCTGGCAATCATTGCTGTACTATTAACTGAGCAATAGACGGCTATTAGATGTCTAGGTTTTTTTTTTAGATCTAATTTCAACCGTCTAGATTCTGTATATTTTTAGACAGAATGTAGACGTTGCACTTTAACCCATTATTTGGTAACTATTTATTTAAAAAGGAACTGTTATTTGCATAACTGATCTCCAAGTACTTAACCAAAGTAATTATGATAGTCGTTGAGCAATATACAGTGTAGTATAATATATCTGGCTAGTCTAAACTTGGTCTAATTTAGACCTGTGGTAGCCTGATTTTAGACCAGTCGTTGAGGCTACATTTAGACGTCTATTAGACCTCGATGCTCGATGGGTATTGACTCCTGCTCAGCATTTATCAGCTCCAACTCTACGCTTACAGCCTTGGATTCTATAGTCATAGTTTCTTTTACACAAACAAGCAGAAAAGGTTGCTATACTGGAAATTAGCACAATGATCAGCACCGAAAACTAAACTTCCACCTATAGGGTTTAGATGTAGTGTTGCAGTGCACATTCAGATACTCAAGTATGTATTACTTAAGGCAGCAAACTGAAAAATCATGTGACATCTTCGACCCTTTTTTGAGTGGCGGGTAGGCTGTACGCTTCATAGATCAGACTGTATGAAGTGAAATGTCACTGATTACACAATTTACTGTCAAACAACACACAAAAGAGCTCCGATCCCACAGTGCTCCTCTGCTGTTGAAAAGGCACATCTGCATGACTGTGATTTCCCCCGAGGGCGTGTTGCTATGGACAGTCGCATTGTGAGAGATAAGCTAGCAGAAAATCTGTATCTATTGGTGGATGGAGCGTGCTTTATTCAAAAACACCTGCTGTACCTGGATTTCTAATGCATACTCAATATGGCCAGCTGTCGGGGGACACGGGGGCTCTGGAGGGTCCATCAAGGAGTCTCCTCACACGTCGGATCATATAGATTTTTCATTATTTATATCCCCCGTGCTTCTTTATATTGTGCGGCTTTTGTTATTTTCCATTCTTGTCATGAATACAGCGGTATATCAGGGAAAACCTGCTATTACCTTCAAGTGAAAACAGATGGTTTGCTCCATTATCTGGGTAAGAAGTGCTAAACAATATTGTGGTGTAAGAGCACTTTTAGTGGTACGGTTCCCATGGGAACTAAAAGCTACTTAGACTTATCTGCTTTTTGATTTTTTTCCCTCAATATTTGCTTTGGTCTGGATGTGGCAGAGGGAAACTACTGCAAGGACAGACCTTCAGGTTTATCTCCACAGAAAAAGTAACCCTGAGTTGAGCGGAGTCACGTAACAGATTACAGAACCGTGTATTCACAAAGTTGAACTTCCACAAGAATTAAACTCCTGAGTGGAAATTAGATCTTGTGGTCTGGGAAAGATTGGCTTTGAGGCCCCAAGTGCAGACGCACATGCACACTCTAATACAACCGCAGCGGTACAAGCACTGCAGAGAAAATGGCTTTACACCAGAGACAATCATCCTCTCATTTGTTTGAGTGCTGCAGGTCAGTCTGAAGGGGGTTGGGGAGGATGGTTCTGATAACAGGGCAATTCCATCCTCTATCTGTGCGATAATTCATTCCTCATGTGCTGTTCTCTATCTCCGTCTGTGGGAGGACTTGTGGCGGGCCGGGGAGCAGGTGTCGCTTCATCTCGATGAATTTGAAAGAATTCAAGAGGGAGGTTTTGTTCCTGATATCACGGCTCTTCAGTGTCACCGTACTAATATTTGATGACACAGAGGAGACAGGATCACTGAGCATTACAGCTGGTTTTGTTGACGTCTGACCTCTGGGGTTTACTTTCACACAGCTTGAATAAGATGTGTTTGGGGACTGGAGACAGTGATTACCAATTAATTGAGGTTAAACTCCTGTTTGCTGGTTGGATAGAGTTGACATATTAAGGCCACAGAATATAGTTTATTTAGTGAAACAGGGTGCACCAAGTCCACCTTTATGTCCACCACTCCCATAACCTTGAAAGTCTTTCAAGGAAACTTCCGACTGGCTCTTAAAGTCCCACTCCAATTATTTTTTTACTACTTATAGTGTTGTCAGTGGTCTTTAAATTGTGATTATGAAGTTTTTTCCAAAAATGGTGTTACCTGTGTCATTTTCAAGGCCTTTTCTTCTGCAGAGCTCCAGTAGCTCATTAGCCTCTGAGTCGTGGGCGGAGACCACACTTGTCTACACGTTAGCCTAACATTGCCGGTGTAGTAGAAGTGGCAGGTAACATAGGAGCTATTCAGCTCTCGGACACTAATGTCTTTAGGGACAAGATGAAAGCTAATATCATAATTAGCTTTCTTATGAGCATTGTAAAACGCACACGCTTGTTCCACGTTCGTCCTCTGTATTCCTCCTCTATATGCAGAGTGTGGCCTGCATAGCGTGGCTCTGGGGGCGGAGCTTGGATTGGTTACATATGAAATCTCACTGTTTCTTAACCTGCCGTTTGGGTCTGCCAGAGATTCACAGAGATTTGAATGAAGAAATACTCAGAAAAGCAATTTCGCATTTAGTTTTCTCATGATATGTCCTGTAGCATCAGAGAAATGCCACATGAACGTATGAAAAACAAGAAAAATATGATTAATTTTTAACTTTAATTTTAGGATCCGTGTCCACAAACAGCACCCACAGAGGCAAAACAGTTTGTTTCCAAAACTGACTGACTTATGATAATAACTTTGTCTTTAAGAACGGCAGGACTAAAACTGTATCAGTAGTTTTCAACATTTTCCTTTTGATTGAATGAAAGTAAACAGAGTAATTTTACAGCAACAGAGGAAAGCAGAAGTTTATCATTGAGAGAAGGAGGTCATAGTTTTTATCAGCGTGAGGCTGCTTTTTTACTTTATGGACCCCTCCCAATGAGGCTTAATTACCCAACTCAAAACAAGATATTAGAAAGAAAATGCTGCATAATTATCAAAGCAGTCACAATCACAGTCACAGTGGGGCTGAGATTTACTGCAGAGAAATCATAGTGGGGATGTGGTGTCTCTTTAAAGTAGGGAGCAGTTGCAGCCCCTGCTTTGCCTTGCAAACAGACTGAGGGCTTGATTAACACAGTGGATTTGTTTATGAGTGTCTGTGGGCGGGTTTTAACAAATCGAAACGCAGCAGGAAAACCCGCAGACCTCCTGCATGCATCTTTTGTTTGATGGAGGTCTAAATTCACAGACTGTACAATGATTGTCACGTTGAGTCCGACTGTTTTTATCTGTTTCTACAAGTGAGAAAAATCTTATTCTCTGTTTGTCTTTTCATTAAAAAAAGAGAAACGGTGACCTTTGCTCGGTGCTGTTTCTGCCCCCTGAGGTTGAGCGCTGCTAATTGAAACTCAGCCTGTGGGAGAAACTCAATAGTTTTGCATTAATAAGCATCATTTATATTTCAAAACAGACGCCATCTTACCAGCTGAGGACCTCTGACATGTTGACATGTTGTTCTTTGTGTGTAATGTGTTTGTGATTGGAATCCTAAATCTTAAAGTGCCCTCGGGTCAGTATTGATCACACGCAGTCTCCCATATACTCATTAAACAGATTAAACTCTGAGCGAATTCACTGGGAGAAAAGCTGATATTCGTCAAGAAATGAAAATCTAGATCAGAGATGTTGACTTACACTTTCAGAGTAGCTATCATTTTAGCTTTTTCCTTGTCATTTTCTCCAACTCAGTCGATAAATAGCTTCAAAATATCTGACAGAGAAGAAAGGTGAGAAGGGGAAATTTCAGGACAGCAGCAATTCTCCGGGGATAAGCGTTCAGAGGGGGCAGTGGAGGGGAGTGACCACAGGCCATTTCACCGGGATAATGGGATGGGAATCCCTGGCAGCGGTGGCCGGTCGGATGGGATTTACTCTGGGATTCTTCAGAGGACAGGATATTATCATTTTCAAACCAACTCCCTTCTTCTATTAGATACAGAAATAATCATCCTCTGTTGTTATTATATATCACGCCAGGATACCAAAGTGGTGAGATCCCAGACAGACATTATGGAGTAATTTCATTGGCTTTTAATTTGAAAGTGACCGGGCTGCAATAATCTATATAAAACACAGCTCAACACAGGAAATCGGCCTCATCTTATCAGATAATGTGTTTTTATCCATAAGTGCAATTGACAAAAGCCCTCACAGCCAACACGTTTTTGTTTTTTCAACTCCACACTGAGCCCTCTCAAAAAAAACAGAACATCTGCAGTCCTTGCTTGAGGGTTTAAAAGAGAGATAGAAAGAGATTAATGTCCCTTTACAGCAGGACGCCCCCCACAAATGACTGCTAATCTGCTCAAAGTCAAAGTTTGGTCCAGTGATATAATAGAGTTCGTTTTTTTTCAGCAGTCGGCTTTGGACAGTGAGAGGATTATTTGTTTTGTTTATCAGAAAACACAGCTCTTAATGGGGCACAGTATGATGACTGTGCTCTAATCCCTTGTTATCTCTTCATGTCTGACACATGAGGCACACAAACAAACACCTACACAGACACACACACGTATTTCACACACTCGGAGCTGTCGAAGAGAAGGACAGATGAGATGATGCTTTTCCCCCGCGCAGGATGTCATTTAGCACGGGTTCGAATGGGAAAAGGTCGGGTTGCTGACATTAGTCACAGGTCTGCTGAGAGCCGGAGCTTGAAGCTTAGTGGAGGAGCATGTTCACAGGGGATTGAATGAGAATCATTATTGTAATTAAAACCCTCTCCGCACAAGCTTCCTCATCTTGCACAATGAGAATAAAGGATTCATTGTGTGAGAAACAGGGTCATGTATGTACCTTCATCGCTCACATCCAGGCTGAGACACAGAGGCAGGCATGTAATATATCATATTTACTTCTTTCTTCATTTTTAAGTACTAATTCATCAGGATGTAAAGGAAAGCAGGAAACTGAAGTCAAAGCACAGGCAGATATTTATAATCCCTTACCGAAGTTAGCCACAGCTTTTCAGGACTATTAGTTCTTAGATTTATGCTGTGTTCGAGTTACATCGGAAGTCAGATGTTCGAGCTTGGGATGACGTCACACCTGAGTTACCATAGTCGGAAAAAAGCAAAATCTGAGGCGGAAACAAGATGGCTACATCTACGAAAAGGTAAAATAACTTAAAATAACTAAAATAATAAGTGCTAAAATAACTTTTGTAGCTGGAGCCATCTTTTTTCTGACTTGGTAACTGAAATGCTGGTAACTTGGGTGTGACGTCATCCCCAGCTTGGATATCTGACTCACGAGGTAACTTGAACGCAGCATTATTCTGGCGTAGCTGTTATCCTCATTCATCCCTTTACTTTTCATATTGTTCCGATTATATTTCAAACTTCCCAAATAAAAACATTGATGTTGTCAATAACGTTTGGAAATAACCATCAGCAAATCTAAAGAGATAAAGCTGCCAACCTGTGTGTCCATTCACCACACCACCTGATAATGCAAATGTCTGCATCCCTTTCAGCCTGACTCGATTAAAATACTGTAGATAGTTTCTTTTTAAAGTTATGTGTTTGGGCATTTATTAGAGAGGAGCCAGCTTCAGTGAGAAACATAGCCTCTGCACACAGGGGCGCGCTGAAACCACAAGGCCGTCTGTGCCCCAAAAAATGAGGAATTTCTGTTAAAAAATTAACGCCAAGCAGATGTAGAGAAATTAACTTTTAAGACCCATTTCGCTCAATGGGAATTCTCGGAGCCAGTAGTGTTGTGTCATTCGTGAATGATTTGTTTTAAAGAACCAAATCTTTTAAGTGAACGTACAGAACCGAATCACTTCCTTGAGTGATTCGTTCGTTTCTCACTTCAGTTGAGCTGAAGTGAGAAACAGCATTGCCAGGCCAGCAGCTGGCAGAAGAGTGACCACATGCACCAACATCTGAATCACAACCCCAATTTACTGAGCAGACCTGGTAAATAGCATACCATAGGACAGTTGCTGACACTTTAAACATCATAACTTATAAACAAGTTCATTGTTACAAACCTGTTTGCCAAAGCAACACAGCCAAACACTCTCGTCTCCTGGTCCCAGAAGCTATGATCTGCACTGAATCCTGAACCGTTCAGCTGTGTATCAGTTCAGGAGGTCGGAGTCACAGGCTCCTTCCGCCAAACGCTAAATGATTCAGTTCATCTAAAAGAACTGCCGTGCCCATTACTAGGAGCCAGCTTCTAGTGGACAAAAGAGGAACTGCAGGACTTTGCTCTTTTTTACTTGCACTTTGCACCCGAGATTCCTGCATGATTTCACTCAGCTGACACTAAAAAGTCAACGGTTTACTAAATACTTAATTCAAACAAATATAATTTGAGAGTTACTGTAATAGTATTTTTGTGCAGAAACTGTAGAATCACAGTTAAATCAAAGCAGAGACTCTATTTTATTATGTGCCTATAGTGTTAATGTAGTTCTGTGTCATGTTTAATCATGGTTGTAGGTTCATCATGGCGTCTTCAAACGTCTCCACGTTTGATATCAGGCAGTTTGGTTAAATCATTCATTCATTTTCCTGAACATGAATGTGCATGCGGCTGTAATATTTGTCTTTCACATGTGGCTGATGTTGTTGCCACAGCAACATCCCTCGCTGGCTCGTGAAGCAGTGCTGGGATTAAAGGCAACCCCCGATACCCAAAAAAGCTTTTTCCTTCTCTGAGCGGCAGACTTCAGTGGGCCTTTGGATGGATGATGGGGGGGAGGGGCTCCTGCTTTGAAGGGGGATGAGGGAAGTGATGTTGGTGGTCTGATGGCTGCGGAGGGGGGGTTGGTGCTTGCTTTAGAGTTCTAGGTTTCAGACTAGTACCACCACGTGTGTGTATGTAAGACTGAGAGCAGACAAAGAGGGTGGAGAAAGAGGAACCACAGAGTGCAAGACTGAGTGGGAGGAGAAAAGAGAGAGAGGGAGAGAGAGAGAGGGGAGAGAGGGAGGAGACTGAGCGGTGGAGAGGATGCTCACTGGGAGTGTGTGACAGAGTAAAGAGCTGAGAGTGAGGCCAGCAGGTGAATGAGTGATGGAGAGCCGCATGAGAAGCTGAAGAGAGAAAGAGAAGAGAGAGTCAAAGAGGAGGCTCAGAGAGAGAGAGAGGAGATCACTGTGACAAAAGAGGGAGGAGAGAGGGAGAGAGGCTTTTAAGCAGAGGAGAAACGTAGTCAGAGAGTGAGTCATCCCCCTGCCCGGTTACTGGTCACTGTCCGGACTTTTCCTGCTGAGCGTCCAGCTGCTGCTGCCAGAGTAAGTTTGCTGCCGGGCTCTAAGTAGGACACCAGGTTGCTGGATGACAACCTCTTCTTCGTCTTCTTCTTCTTCTTCTTCTTCTTTACGTGGATGATTTGTGCGGTGCGTCGTGAACCAGCTGGGGTGCGTTATGTAATTTGTTGTGGTGTTGGGATGATGCCGTGGCTTAGTGCTGCAAACTGATCTGCGGGAGCGCTTATGTGTTCACGCTGCATGGAGCACGGCAGGTGTGTGTGTAAACAACAGGATGTACAGTAGCATGCACTGTACAGTGGGGCAGTTTGGAGTGGCTGCAGGGGGGACATCTCCTCTGACACTTTTTTATGATGCAGGATTTACAAAGTGTGATTTTCACGGTCTGTTATTTAAATGTACTTCATGTACATGATAACGTCAGAGAAAAGATGCCTGATATTTCTGAGAAGTATGACCTTTAATCTTCAGCCTTGCATGAGTATTCACCCTTTTGGACTTTTCTATATTTAATAGTCTTACGTTGTTGATCGGAGAGACTTGTTTCAGCTCCTCTTGCTTTGTTTCAGACAAGACAGAACATCCTATCTCTTTGCTAATGTTGTCTTGCATATTCAGTTCTTTTAAAACTTAAATGTATAGTATATAATTTCATGCAAAATGTAAAAAAATGGCCTCTTCTTTATGCAACCCTTACACCTGCACTGACATCTACCCTGCAGCGATGGGAACAGACATTAAGTAAAAAAGTATCTCCTTTCTGCTGATCTTGTTTGCTTGTGCAGGTCCTTAAGAGGCATTATTGTTAATTTCAGCACAAAAACTCCTTACATGAGCTTTAATAAACACAATCAGACCCCCCAAAATTAGATAAGTTTAAAGAAAACAAAGTACTCCAAACTTTCCAGATTGTTAAAGCCTCCTTATATCCATTTTCTGCAGTTATATTACAGAAAATAAGTTTCAATTTGCAGCTGAATCACAACAACAAACATAACAGGTCAGTGAGGGGTGAACACTTGTGCAGGATGCTGTGTGAAACCAGTTGTTTGGTGTGTGTCCTGCATTCATGTTGAGCACCTCCTCTAATTAAAGAGTTGAGGGCAGCTGATGCACGATCATATCTCCACCTCCCGTGGGAGATCTGCTGCTGCTGCTGCCGGGGCTCCTCGCCTCATTCATGTTTATTTAGCATGCTGGGGGAAAAAAACATAATACAACTGTTCCCATTTTGTTTGGGAGCTTGTTTGACTGAAGATGCACTGGCTTGTTGTGTAAGAGCAGGATGCGCTGTTTGCTCGTGATTCACGCTCTTTTTTTTTCTTAACCTATATTTGGTTGTGGGTACAGTCAGTGGATGTGAAAACAGATTCTTTCTCGAACAGCAGCTGTTTGTCTGATCACAAATAACAAATAAATGATTACTCCTCCAGCGCAGAGAGATAGCATGTATTTAAAAAAGGATTTGCATTCAGGCAGTGCATCTCTTTAACTTATCGCACGCATTAAAGGGTGGGTTTTATCTCTTACACATGAAGATTCATATTTCATGCATCCGTCGTCATCGCAGGCAGGGGTATAAATTTTTCACTTTGCATTATCACCACTTCATGTTCATTTCAGATCCACTCGCACACTGATTGATCTCCCCATGTGTTTGAAATTTATTGAATTATTCAAACGAATTGAAAGCCTGCCGCGCAGTCTGGCCCGTCGTCAGTGTCAATAGGGCAGCACGTTCAGGGGGAGGGATCGATCGGTGATCCTGTGTGGGGATTGAGCCGTTCTAGGAGAGATATGGAGGTTAGAGTACAGGATGCGTGACTGTAGTATTGCTTGGTTTGGTGTTAGCAAGTGTGCTGCTCTTCTGGGAATGAGAGGAGGGATGCTCTCTCTGAATAAATGTGGGAGTACAGTACGGGTAGATGACAGTCCCCAAACCCCTGAAGTGTTGGTGAATAGAGGGTTTATGATTCGTGTGACAGACGATGAAGAATCTATACAGGGAGTTAGTTCAACATTATAAAGGGAGGATGTTAACAGCAAAGGCATGAGATATTGACTTATTGAGAGTGTAAAAACAAACTTGTGTGTTTCCAGAAAGTTATGGAGGTGAAATTTCATCATCAAGGTACAGCACCCACAGGGGCGTGTCCAGACAGTTCCGTTGGGGTGGCTCAAAAGGGCACTGACTTGTGCAGGGGTGGCATGAAGTATCTGTGTGCACATGTCCAAATGGCTTTATACTACATTTTTGTCTCAACCAGTTATTACAGTCTGTCTTGAATCGACATGGGCACAGTGATTTAGACCTAATGCAGTGATTTCCATTCCAGAGTCATATCTATCTAAGTTTGTGGAACAATCTGAACAAAGAAGCTAAATCAAATTTTATCTTCAAAAAAAGTGTCAAAGCCAGTATGTTGAGTAAATACAAATCTCAGTCTTGGTATGTTTGTTTTGTGAAAAAAATGTGAATTCTGTTTGCTTTGTGGGTTGTTTTTGAAAATAAGAAATTTACATGACCCAACCTAAGATGGGATTTGGCCCATCTTATCTAACATGAGCGACAGTGGTGAGGAAAAACTTTCTTTTAACAGGCAGAAACCTTGGGTAGGACCAGACAACCTTGGACCACAGTCCTCCATGTATCCTTGTTTTTTTGTACTGTAATTTCTCTGGGTACTCTGAATTTTTTGCACGGTAACATACTTGTAGGATAAAAAAAATCCTTAGGATTTTGGCTTAAAATGTTGAACTGTTCACCCACACAGTCCTCCATAGTTCTGAGGGATCTACATTTAAAACAGTGTCCCAGCTTTTTAGAAGCTAAAGTTGAACATTTTTCAACTTTATCTACCGTCTGTCAAAAGAAAGAGTTATATTAAAAGTGTTTCACCTTCTGGGCTGAAGGCAGTTGTACGGCCTCCAAAGTGAGTGACATTTCATGTCGGCGTTGCTTTAGGTTTTTCTCTTTCTTGTCTTTCAACTGAGTGACCTTTTCTAACCAAACGCTCTCTGACATCTGTCCAATTGTAGGAAACAAGATGGGAGTGACCCCCGGATTTCTGCAGCACTAGAGCCCCAGCTGTTCCAGCCGACACTCCCATACAGCAGCTCGCCATTCCACAAGGTAGGAGGAGTATGAAGAGGAGGGGGTTGCACTTTGACCTCTGACCTTATCTGATGGACCTCTGTGTGACCTCTCTGTGTGATCTGTGTAAGGTGTTGCTGCTCGTTTGGGCTCTACACCTGCTTCCCTCGGGTCTCTGTCTGTATACAGTCGTTCACATGTGTGTTTTACAGTAGACTCACACTTTTTTCCCCTCCGGTGTTACTTTGATTTTGTCTCCCCTTTGTGCGGCTTATGTAATTACAATGCGTCATGTCTGGGATGATTATATTTGGCTGATTCAATCAATTCAAATCTATTTTTAGCAGGAGACTCTATCGCAGCGTGATATCGATGATTTCTCAATCCAAGTTTTTTAACTTTAATGAAAGCAAACAAAACACAGCATGTCTGCACAATCATCCTTTTTTAGATAGAAAATACAAAAACTTTTACCACTTTTTTCAGGGTTTCAATAGTTTTCCATGAACATTACTTGGAAAAATGATCAACAATTTCTTCAGACGTTTTAAATGAAGCTAAATTAGCATTTTTTTTAAAAACTTGCTCTTATTAAACGTGAGGATTTTCTGCAGGGGGTGTCATCCAGTTCACTAAAACTGTTCTCAAAGATTTTTCAATCAGCCCAGTTTGATCTGTTATTCGCCCGTTCAGAGGAAATCATGTGAAGACTAAATTGCTGCAATTATTGATGCCGAATCTAAAAAAAGGCAGAACATGAAAGGGTTCAGAGGCAGTCCATTCAATAGATCTATTTAGACAGTCACGGCACCATTCACACACACATATTGCTTTCAGAGCTGTCATGCCCACCTTTTGGCATCATTTATCTTCCGTAAGTGTGCGACTGACGCAAAAAAAAACTGCACAGGGATGATTCAGGATCCAAGAAACTCAGCACAGCTAAGCTCAGCAGTGATTTGAAGTGGATACCATCTCACACGTCAGATTGGTTTCATAAGGTCTCTCACACTTTGGCAGAGGCTTACACAGCGAGCAGAGGGAGCGCAAAGAGAAAGGGATTATGAGAGAATTTCGGAGATTGGGTTGTCAAACCGTCACTTCCGATCCCGGCTGCACAAACCATCTGCAGGTGCCTCAGACTTACAAGATAGAAATAGTCGTACACAAGTCGAGGATTTATGGCCCTTCTGTGAGTCTGCAGGTTTGCAGAGATGACAGTGTACCGGAATTTTCTTCTTATTTTTGGGTGAAAAGCAACAACAACAAAAAAGGAGGTCTGTAAGATGTCAAATATTCCCGCTCTCTAAATGGAGTCAAGTGCAGCGATATTTAAAAATTGATCCCTGACCTCGTTTTCACCGAACGGTCTTTGGATATTGGATATTGAGGGGCAGCGTGGTAATGTGTTGCGCTGCAGTATGATAAGGGCTTAGTAGGGCAACACTCAGAGGAGCATATCGCTTTAATCAGAGCCCTGCGAAAACCAGGTCAATCTGCAATTAACCCCGGCAGGTCTTATGGTCAGCGCCTAATTCAAACCACAATGCCACGCTGTCATATTCACAACGTGGCAACTTATTATAGGGTTTGCCTCAAATACTTATTCAATATGATCCATATACCGCAAAACAAGGCCTTTCTGATGCTCTATATTGACTCCAGAAACACACACACACACTGACTCACAAAGACCTGTCAAATGATCCGGCGTTACCTTGCTACTTTAGGGTCTCCAAAGACATCCTCGGGTTTGTGTCAGCAAATAAAAACTGATAGAATCTGTGGAGCTTATTGCTTTCCTCGAACTCTGATGTCGTCTGTAGGAGTCACGATTTTCTGGAGCGACGGGTTATTAGTAATAGACCTCCGGCCGGGACTTCATTTCAGTGCGTTCGGTGCCATTTTTTACTGTCTGACTGGCAGCTGATGATAGATGAGAGTGTTGGTTTTAAGGTGTGACGTCTAAGGATATACACTCTGTCTTCTGAAAGACGTCAGATACACAACGCAATCAGTCTTCATTCGTTATCTATTTTTAGACTTCTTAAAAACATACGTTTAGGTGTTTTGGTCACGCGCAGCGGGCACCACTGGGCTGAAACAGTCCCCGAACAATTAAAATAAGACACTTTTGACGAAGGGTGTCCTGATCCTGGTCTTGGCTGTCATGTTAAAGCAGATTTGGCTACTTTTCAGCTGATCGGAGTTAGGCTACTGTGAACACTGATGTCAGCAGTGTAGAAATATTTTAAATAAGGAAGCAGACTAGAAAGTTGCTGCATTAAAGCAAGAGGAAGGATACAAAAAGGTGCTTGAGTTCATCACTTTGTACCATCTTACCTCATTTTTGTGTCGCTTTTTGGAGCTTTTCGATCCATTGTGTACATCCGTTTGAGACAACATATAAGGTGTTTGAAAACATGATTTGGCTGCTGTTAGATTTATGAAAGACTATTTAAACATGCAGTATTGCTTACACACTAGCTGGAAGAGGTTAAATGGAGTAAGCAGGACCCAGACCAGGACTCAATATCAGCAGATAGATCGTATCAAAGAAACTGGATCAGGATTTTGGGGGCCAAAAAGGCTGATCAGGATATCCCTACTTCCAATATCGATATCCAGTCCTGCTAGGTTCTGGTTGACTTGATGGTTTAAGCCATGCCCCAAATATACAGAGGACCTTGGCTGCTCTCACCTCTTGCCATAACCCCCTGCAGCATCTTTCCTCACTCTCAGCTGTCATTTCAGTTTAGGAAAAAAAGACTAAAGAAAAAGACTAAAAAAATAACTTCTTATGCAGAATCTGAGAAGCCCAAACATCCCTGAGCTGTCTTGAACAAAAGTCAAAAATCAAAAGTTCGTTATCACATTATAAAGAAAGATGAAATGTGACTCTGTGTGCCTCCCTAGAGTTCTTTTTTGGGGTATAAGTGACCTTGTCCGACTTGTTTACAGCAGCTGCTGTGGGTTATACAATCTGATCAGGTTGAATTACTGTAGATTCCTATTTTAAGATGCTAAATCTTCCTGTATTACCTCGAACCAGAATGTGAAACACAAAGCCATCCTGTGAGTGTGAACGGAGAAGACAAGCCCCGATGTGTCTCTGTGAGGTGGTCAGCGTTATAATGAGCTCCTCTCTAACTGCACAGAGTTGTTCCTGAGAAGTGTGTGGGAGAGGAGAGAGAGGTCTCATGCATTAAATTTGCCTCTTGTCATGATGATGATCTTATTAGCGCTCATAATGGAAGGTCTCTGCTCTGACACCTACGGTGCATGCCAGCCCGCACCTCTGCCCCTCTGTTCATGTCTGCGAAATGATCAAAAGTTTTCTCTTCAAAGACTTCCCTCTGCTCCTACTGCAGTTTTTGTGTCTGTCTAGACTTCTGCCCCTTTTACTCCATCCATCCTCTTTTTATTACATTCATATTTCTCATTTTTGGTTCTTCTTTCTTGGGTTTTTGGGTTTCCAGCAAAGTGGGACATCTCATCAAATAGCTCCTCCTTGACAGGCGATTGTTTAGAGACTTGTCTCTTAGAGTCTGACTCCACCTCCTGCTACCTGTCAGTCTAAGTCAAGAAAGGGCTGTGATAGATACACAGGTGGATGATATGTGGTTTGGATGTCCTCCTGTGATGCTTTAAAGAGAGAAAGAGGCAGACAAAGACGGATCAGCAGAGCACAGACTCCTCCATCTGCAGTCAGAGGATTAATACTGTAAAATCTGAGCCTCCTGAGACTTCAACTCACTCTGGTCTTGTGTGTTTAGAGGACACACCGCTTCAGCCTGTGGAACTTGTCTTCGGCTGTCTCTGATCCAGGACTTGTTTGCAGTCATGGTTGCACTTAGCGGGGATGCAGCTTTATCTGGAGTGTCTCAGTGGGACTCCGTCAAAAGTCTGTCACAGAGCGAGTTTTATCCAAACCTGTAGAAGTGAAGTAAGGTGAAGAAACATCTCTCAGAGCGGCAGGACACTTATTTAAGAAAATGGCTCGAAATCATGACAACTACTTCAATTCTCCAATGGTGACAAAGGCACGCTGGAGGAAACCCAGCCATGTAAGTAGCTCCACTTTAGAAAAATACAGGACAGGTAGGCTGAAAGGATGTCAGGTCGGAAAATAGAGTCTTCAAACTGAGACTAAAACTGCAAAATAGAAATCAGACAGAAGCCCTGACAGCGCTGGAAAATGTTTAATTAAAGAGGAGCAGTTCCAGCTTTATCGCTGATATTTCTAAGAGTGTAACAGGTAGCATGACAGGATTTCATGTGCTTTTTTTTTTTGCGTGGCTGTTTGTCATCACTGACTTTTACTGGTTCATAAAGTTGTTATGCAAGACTTATAATAATATGTGGTTTAAAGCAGGAGCTCCACTCGCCCTGATCCTCGATTAATGTGGCTGCAGCCGCTGTTATTTACTTTCAGGGTTTGAGGCGGACTGTTGTTTGCACATGGTGGAGGACTTTACTCAAACTCACACAGAAAGCTAAGATTGCTCTGTACACAAGCTGTTTGACTGTGTCGGGCTTTACTGGCTCAACCTTGCAGCCGTCACTTTTATCGCCACAGACCCACGTTCTCACGGGCCGCTGTAATTCAGCTTTATTGTTGTTATTAGATGGGTCATGCTCAACCGATGCATGGCATTCGGCATGTGAAGTTTTTAAAGGGCAGCGCTCCCAGCAGCTGTGTTTGGGATGTAAAGAGTAAAGCAGGTGTTTAACGCGGACAAACCGGTCCGCCTCACATGAATGAGAGACAAACCGCGAGGGGAGAGGCAGGAGATGACACACTTCAATCAGGTAAAATGTGAATTCAAACAAATAGAAGTCCAAACTTTGGCTGGGGAGGATTGTCATGAGACCACAAAGTTGTGCTTCGCAGACTCTCAACACCTGCCTTACAGTAGAGAGCTAATGTGTCAACAGTTTTTGGTTATTATGCAACACCTGACCCAGTTTTATTAAGTGATGATTTGATATTCTGTTTGAGCTCCTGAAGTTGAGAGTTTACACTGTCATCAAAGTCAAATGTCATTAATTTAAAATCTTTTATGTAAGCTCTTTGGTAAACATGATTCTAGTTGATAGGTTGATTCAAACGGCTGAAGAAAATTTCACTTTTTTTTCACGATTTTAGAGAGTATACGGCTTTGAAACCCTCTAATGCTGCAAACCTTTGATCCGGTTCAAAGTACTTTTTACACAATGGTGCCTGAGACTGATTTCACATATTTATTTGTAGTTTTGATACAAATTTAAAACTCCTGTTAGGAACTTTTAATTTATCATCCTTCTTAGATTTGTTAAAGTTGTAATTTATAACAAAAAATGTCATTATTTTAACTTTTGATGATCAAATGCACAAAAACAGAGCTGTTTCTTCAGCTGCTTGGCTGACACCTACCCTCCTGCATTAAAATAACAACATAAAAATCATCAGTCTTGTCACTGAAAGGTTTGTTTGCTTTTTTATATCATCAAAAAGCATCAACATGAATTTCAGTCTGTTTCATAAATGACAAAAAACGCCCTTATAGGAGCTTTAAGCTGCTTGTGCGTCAGTATTGATACAGTCATGTCACTATTTGATCTATTTATTCGCTTACAAAGAAAAGAGCAAGTTAATAACAATATTAGATACAGGACAAAAGCATGTTATAGTTGGTGAAAGGGCAAATTTAAACTTTCACTGATTTGAACCCAAATGGCATTAAACTACGGTGGCCAGCAAGGGCAGATAATCTGCGAAGAAACATGCTGCACACTCACATGCCACACTCTGTATTTGTGTTACATTTGCTATAATACTCTGTCTTTTTACCACAGGTTACTTCTCATTTGTTTTGCATTTAAACTCTTGCATTCACTTAAAACCGATGAATATGTTTTTGAGCTCACTTTGTTCGAGCATCTGCAGGATATGATTGCCTCTGTGTGTGTGTTTAGTTTACAGCAGAAAGATGCCTTTTATACGCTAGATTCAAACAAAAAAGCACTCAGATACAAAAGGACCAGAGCTGTTCCTGGTCAGAGATCACTTTGTACTTTAGAGAGAGCAGCAGATGTCCAAAGGCTCGGTCTGCTGAATAGTAATTAAAGTGTTCTTGAGGGCACAGTGCAGGGATGCAGTCATTAGTATCTGCCATGAATAGACACAAAAACATTAACAGAGAAAGGTCAGCAAAGTTCGAGGTTAAATCATCGTTTCTGAAACTGAAGAAAGCTTCAATCAGCCTGACGGTAAATGAACTCAAACATGTCATGTCGCTCTCCTCTCTGCAGACCCCAGGTTTATTTGAAATGATTGAAAGGATGCAGGTAAGACGACACCTTAATCTGTGTATTTCTGTCTGGCGGTCTCTAAGCCGCACTCACAAAGCCACTAACCAGCAGTCAGAGCGACTTCTCCTAACTCTGCGGCTCTCTGGCCCTCTGCCCGGCTACGACACCTGTGTGTGCTGGTTTCCAAGGAGCGCTGTTGGGGCATTATGTGTGTGTGTGTGTGTCGCCGCGTCTCTATTAACATTCTGGTTGCTGCCAGCACTTTAACTTCATTACGTCTCTTCAATAACTGTCTCCTGATCTCTTCATAGCTTTATATTGATGGATGTTTTAAACAAACCGTCCCCACTTATAATGAAGCGAAACTTTTATGACGGAGCTTTTTAAGACTTGAGTTAATTACGTATCATAAAAACAGCTTTTAGGAGCCCCAGCATCTTTCACATTTGACAGAGCTGGTCAGCGTTCCTGAATATTTTAACCAGATAAATTATATTCTTTGTAGCAGGAGTGTTTTTTCCACATAATTTATGGGAATGATGCATCATCTCTCTGGACGCTCAGTGCCATCGCGGCTCTGATTTAGTATCTCTGCATCTCTTCCTTTTGCACCCTCTCCATTCGTCTCTCACACATGCACACTTCAGGTCCCTTGGGTGTTTCTGTTTCACTTAGCTTAGCATGTTTTTAATGAAGACGCTTCTTCTGTGTGCTAACAGTCTCTCTCTAAGTCGCCTGCTCTTTAGCATCCTTGAATAGTATCAGCTGTGAGTGTGTGAGTGTGTGTGTAAGTTTCCGTCTGCCCCTCATGACTTTGCCTTGTTGTCTGCTGCAAACCTCTCGGGAAGAAAATGTGTCGTTACGTAATGACATTGATGATCCTCCTTTTGTCTAATTGCTGTCATTGAAATTTCACATCTTATTTTTAGAAGTCTTTATACATCCTGTCGATGACGAAGATTCAGATTCACAGATTTTTTAATTAACAGAAAAGCAGCTGCTATACGCCGACGACTGACCGTGGCCCCCTCTCTGTCTCTGTCTCTTCCCTTATCTTGTTTTCTCCTCTTGTAGGGCAACAGGATGGACGAGCAGAGATGCACCTTTCCTCCCCCACTGAAGGTGCGTTCCTCCATGCGCAGATACACTGTTTTCCACTCGATGCGGCCCATTGTCTCATGCCTGCTCCACCATATCTTGCTCTTCCAGACAGGCTGATTACTGCGGCTCACAGCAGCACAGTATTATTCATAATGCAGTGTGAGGCTCTCAGCTCCTGCCATCATTTTTATGCCCACAGAGATGGTTTCATGTATCCCTGGATGCTCTGCAGAAAGAAATGGCAAAAAATCTCAGTCACTAAGACTCTAATAGGATGTGATGTAATGCAGTATTTTAAAGCATCAGTCTGCGAGATAATGGCAATATTTTGATCAAGTGGTGCATTGATTCCTTGCTGTGTTGCATAACAGTTATGCAATAAGACTGAAGCAGTGTCCTTTGGGATTATAGGGTTGGACAGTGTGGCTATTTTTATTCTTTGATGAGAAAACAATACTTTTTTTTTCTCTGTTTGCTTTCAGACTGAGGAGGACTACATCCCATACCCCAGTGTTCACGAGGTAGGATGATAAGAACAGACTGCACTGTCACTTTACACAGTTGGCGCTCGCATTATCCTGATTCACGATCTTTGGTGTCGCAGGTGTTGGGAAGAAAAAGCCCCTTTCCTCTCATCCTGCTGCCTCAGTTTGGGGGTTACTGGATCGAAGGGACGAACCATGAGCTGAGTGACACGTTGGACGCAGAACAGCTGCAGCCTCTGTCTCCAGACACTCGCACCAAACTGGAATGTAACACAACAGCCACCATCTACCGGAAAGACTTCCTGGGCAAGGTTGGACATTTAATACAACGAGGGGAGGGATCACTTTGACCTGAACAGAGCTGTCAAAATTGTTCCAAAATGACATCTGAATATTCGCTCTAAAAATCACACATAGGTTCGAATGTATTTGAATATCTAGCTTACACAGCTTGCATATAACTGTCTACCATGTCTGCCCAAAATCCGAAGAATTTCCAAACAGAGCTTCTAAAGTTCGTTGGAGTCAAGATCAATCTCTCCAAGTTTGGCTCCGAAAATCCTACCATCTCTCTCTGCAGGTGCCACAGACAGTTTTTGTCGAGTCTCACTGCAGGTGCAGCTCCAGCTCCAATGACCTGTCCCTGACCCGTCGTTCCAGTGCGCTCACTCCCAAAGCAGCCGCTGTTCTTTTTTTTTTTTTTCATTTTTTTCCCCACTTAGTTTTTTCCTGCTGTTTATTTAATATTCAAATACATTTGAATTTTGTTTTTTTATATTCAAATATATATTTGAATTTAGAATATTCGTTGACAACCCTAGTCCTGAATTGAGCTCAAGATCTATAAATTTTTACGTAGTCACATGTATGTTACATTAAGCGATTTGAACCTGGTGTCAAATTCCCCAAACTTTTAGTTGCTATTGATTTTTTTGCGCCCCCTGTAGGGAAAGATGCCCATCTTATGGCTTTTCTTATCATGTCTTGTACATCCAAAGTAGGGCTGTCACAATATATTAGTATTGATGGTTATTGTCGTCATTAAGCCTAGAACACTATCGCTAAAATTAGTAACACCATCACTATCGCCGGGTGATTTTTACCCGAAATGATATACCCAAGAAAAAGTACTTGTCATCAAAATATATTAAAATAGGACAAAACATGACAAATTAAAGTAGTTTTCTTTTCTTTTTAACTGTGTAATGTCCTAAGGGAGGAAAAAAACGTGCCATGAGAGGACCATATAAAAATGCAACAAAATAACTGAAATTAAGCATTCATGAACAAAAAATTCCTAAAAAATATTTATAGAAACAGTAAACTTAGTTTCTTTTCCACACATTCCTGGGGCATGTGAGTCTTCCCTTGTGACGCCTTCAAAGATGTCAAAGGCAATGCTGAAGCTATCCATGAGGGACTCAGACAAATGCAACATAATGAAAATCACGTAAACATGTTTGATCAGGTAAAAAATCACCCGGCGATAGTGTTCTAGGGTTAAAACACCGTAATACCGTGAGTTCATACCGTGAGATAAAGAACAAGCTGTAAGCTGCTCTCGAGAAGACTCATGTGCTCAAAGTCACTCTGCTGTTTTTTTAAGATCTCAATCCGGCCATAAAACTCTTTCTCTGGAACTTTAAATAATCGTGTTTGCTCAGAAGTAAAGTTGGTTTTATGTGTTTTTAAAAGGTGTGTTCTGGAGCCACTTTCACTGCGATAATACTGCTCCACTGCACATCCAAGTCCTCATTACAGCAGCTTCCTTCCTCGGCAAATGAGCCTCGTTACTCTCGCAGAATATCCCACAATCAATTTCACTTCTTGCTCATTACGGTAATGAAATGAACGGGCAGCGAGTGAATCCCAGCCGAGGAAAGCGCTTACAGCAGCCGGCCCCACCGTTAGTCTCCTCATACACTCCTGCTAATGAAGACGCATTAGCCTCTGCCACCTGTTCGTACACGGGGCGTGATAATGTGAACAAATCTGATCTGAGGAAAAAAAAAAGGGTCTCAGATTGGACAGATATGCTGTGTCATGCAGTGTGTTTGTGATGCTGTCTGATGGTCGTATCCTCGCTCTCTGCCCGCAGGAACACTTTAATTACTATTCAGTGGACAGCGCCCTTGGACACTTGGTGTTCTCTATTAAATACGATGTGATTGGTGACCAAGAACACCTCCGGCTCATGCTCAGGTAATACTCACTATTTACAGCTCTTAAACTGGCATGGAGGGCGCAGACACGGCAAACCTATTATAGCTGGAAGCTGCTAACATTCACACATTTCATCCCCAGGTGTAAATGAGAAAACGCTGTTTGTTTGTTTTTTTCAACTAATTTCAACTCAGCTGAACCTACATTTAGCTTAAAGGCACATTTCATGTAATTATGCAGCTGAAGTTGCTTCATACTGGAACAAACAGACAGACAGAAAAAAAGGAAAGAAATTCACAGATTGGATTTTATTTAAAAGACTGAACAGTAAAACTGTAAAATTTAGGAAAAGAGAGACCAGGATCAGAGTTACTTTTAAGATTTTTCCAGCTGAGGTCAACTTTTTATTTTTCAAATTAAAACCATACAGTTAAAAAAAAAGCAAAGTGACGTAGGAAAGAATTAAATCTAGCCCTGTGCATCGGCATTCAAAGTTCAGGAAGAATGGGCTTAAGCAAATCGCTCCACTTACATGATCAACAGGAAATAAATGTTCCCAAAGTGCCCTGCGCTGACCGGATAAACACATCCTACTAGCTGGGGTGTTATGGTAAGAGTCATAAAGCTGGAGAGAGTGTCAACAGTACCGCCGTTTCCACAGTGGAGTAACAGATGGACTATTTAGGCCAGAGAGTGGGTGGGGATGGACGGAGGGAGAGAGAGGGATGGAGAGAGAGGAGAGAGAGAGAGAGAGAGAGAGAGAGAGAGAGAGAGAGCGAGGTCAGAGAAGGCAAAGAGAGAGAGCGAGGGTGGGGAAGTTTGAAGATAGTCCAAGCCGGATCATCTCTGTAAACGTTTCATCACTTTTTATTGCTCTGAAAACACCCTGATTGTTTTACGACTTGACTAGGAACAAGCTGAAAACCCATCATGATGTGATCCCCATCTCCTGCCTGACAGAGTTTCCCAACGTGGTCCAAATGGCTAAGGTGAGAGCAGCTGTTTGTCCTACGATGAAGATCAGCTGTGACCAAACATGAGTCAGTTTATGACATTTTTCTTCTCTTTCTTTAAACCCAAGCTGGTCTGTGAAGAGGTGAACGTGGACCGCTTTTATCCAGTCCTTTACCCAAAAGTAAGACCTGCACTGGTTTGTGTATAAACAGCATTTAAATATATGTCCTAAGGTTTTAAATAGTATAATGATTTAAAGGACAAGTCTGCGAGTTTTCCAGTTTTCTTTAAAATAAAATAAAAAAGTAAGATATGTTTTTACTTTAAAAGACACACACTTGATTTGTCAGTTTCAGTACATGAGCTTAACTAATGAATACATGAAAAAAAATCTAAGTACTCCTTTAAACTCTTTATGTCTTTTGTTATCTCTATTTTTCGCAGGCTTCGAGACTGATCGTCACTTTCGATGAACACGTCATCAGCAACAATTTCAAGTTTGGGGTCATTTATCAAAAGTTTGGACAGGTGAGCTTTTTAGCTATAATTCTGAGCAGTTTAAGCATGAATGTGAGACAAAGACAACCAAATATTGACTGGACCATGTTTCAACTTTTTTATACGTGGTTATACAAGATTTAAAAAGTTCTCTATCATAAGTGAACAAAACTGAAAATTTAAAGCTCCTGTGAGGAGTTTTTAGCTGATTATAAAGCAAAATGAGACTAACAATGCAGCCTCTGTATGAGCTACAAAGGCAAACAAAACCATCAGTGAGAAGACTGATCATTAATCAATAGTTATTAATAATGGAAAACCAAAACAGCTGCTGTGGGGTAGGTGTTGAAAGAAGTGATTAACAGCACGCTGTTGAGACAGCCTTCTGTTTGATATCTTACAAGGATAAGATCCTGGTCGAGTGACTCATTTGGCTGTTTTTATATTTATATTTATTCTAAAATTAACTCGATTGATTTAGTGTTGTTCATCTAAATGAAAAATTAAAGGGCTGTAGTGAAGATGTTGTTTATTTTTCGTCATAGGAAGCTCACACGCGTCCTTTCTATTCATCATATTCAAAGCTTGAACAATGAGAAAGTCATATACATTATAATTTCTGATTTCCTCAAGGAAGCTCATTATGCTCGGTCCTAATTAGAGCTTTCAGTCCGGCCCACCACTCCCTCTCATTTCTGAAGCGATCACAGAGCTCTTGTTCGCACTGTTAAGGGCAGAAGAGCTGTTGAAAGCTGCGCTGAGGGCACTTGGACTTCGTAACAGAAACCACCGCGTGAACAGATCTACAAAGTGTATACACTAAAGCCTGCAGTGCTTTAAATACCCTGTTAAATACATAGTAAATGATCCGCCTTCTCAAGGAGGCAGAGAGGACCGTCTGCTCATCCTTCAGGGTGTTTTCTATTCAGGGGGGAGATGCTGAGTGAAATGCATGATGGTTGAAGAGGCATATTGCAAGCAGAAAAACAAAACAGAGATAGTTAATAAGCAACAGAAGCTGTTTGTTTTTGTCAGGGAAAGCTTTGTGTTCACATCACTGCTGCTCTCGCTGACAATAGACAGTCTATCACGGCCTATTATTGTCATTATTGCCAAGCTTCCCTCAAGGCCCTGCAGCTCTGAACCTCCTGTTATACCTTCTGTTAAACCTTCTCTGTATTTTTAAATGCAAATTTGTTTAAAAAAAAAAAAGAAAGACGTGTAAAAGCACACAGAGCATCCTTCACCCTCCTGTATTGACTCTAATGACGCGTGGAGAAACAACACACCTTATGCAAAATAATCAAAGTAAATCTCACTTCTTGTTTGCTTCTTGCAAATCCCTACAGCTTGTTTATTTGTGATGCCATTATTACTGATCACTTTGTAAAGCACAGTCTCTTTTAACTCCAGGGTTTGATGCTTGTGATTTTTTTTTAAAATGGTTTCAGACTTCAGAAGAGGAAGTGTTTGGCAACAGCGAAGAAAGTCCTGCCTTTGTCGAATTCCTGGAGTTTCTGGGAGAGAAAATCGAGCTGCACAACTTTAAAGGGTGAGGATCTATCTCTGGTTGGAGGTGCTAAATATACCTCACTGTACATTTCAAACATGATGCCAGCCGTATAGTACATGAAATCAGTCCAGCAGCAGTAGCAGTGATGGTCATGCTACGGCCGTCGTGTTGGAGGATATCTTGTTAGACATGGTTCTCTGTGTGTTTACAGTTTCCGAGGAGGGTTAGACGTGACTCATGGGCAGACGGGCACCGAGTCCGTCTACTGCAACTACCGCAATAAAGAGGTCATGTTCCACGTGTCCACAAAGCTGCCTTACACAGAAGGGGACACACAGCAGGTACTGTAATGCAACACCAAACTAACACACCTTTCATAATCCAACTACAGGCAGTCAGACAGGTTCCATCTGGGCATTATAGTACCCTCTCGTATCTGCCAATCTCAGCAAATATTTAAAGATAGAGGCTAAAAAAGCACTCGGAGTAATTAAAGCTCTCTTTTAATGCATGCATGTGTGGAAAAGCTGATATACAGCTTTGTTCACACAACCGTGTCCTCCCCCGCCTCTCGCTCACATATTCACACAAACACTGATTAATTAGCACAAGCTCGCACACCATTTGCTATCATGGCTTGTACAAACACAGATGTGGCTAGATCTATATGTTCAGTTTCCCCTGGCAGCGTAGAGTGCACTCGGGGTGAAACAGCACCCCCTGGTGGTCATCAACAAATTCAAATCTGCATTGGAGATTGATTCATACAGTTCAAATAAATGTGTTTTTTTGTTATGTTTGGGTGGGGGCGCTGTGTGCATTTATTGCATTTATTTAAAGGACAGGACAGTGAGGATGAGAGGATGAGTGGAGATGACATCTGGCAAGAGGGTCAAGGGTTGGAGTCAGGCCCTGGGTCGTCGCCTCAAGAGGTCTTAGTGTCTGTTTATGAAGTTCACAATTTGACCACTGAGCTAAAGCAGCACGCTATAGCTACATTATGAGTCCAGTTTTAAAAAATCTAACATCAGTTTAACTTTTCTGTTGATTTCAAATCCTGTACACTCCTTCTTGGTTGTTTAACCCTTTTCTTTTAAAATATATTTGCTATATGGTATTAGACTGGTGTTTCTTTTGCTCAGATGAAACATGTGACCAGGATTTCAGACCTACTGCAGTGATACCTGAGTGGACTTTCCAGGGATGTTTGCAAATGAATTTCAAATTTTTTTGATACAAACATACATGTATGTATCAAAAAGTGATAAACTAGGGTGCAATCAATCAATCAATCAAATTTTATTTATAAAGTGCTTTTCCTACAGGAATGTGACTCAAAATGCTTTACAGTCAAGTTAAAAACAAAGACAAAAATTTATCCCAAATGACCCTTTACCCCCCACCCCCCACCCCCACCCCCACCCACACCCACACCCACACACGCCAACGCATCCGCACATACACACACTAAGATAAGGGTGCAATCAGCATTTGATCTGCACCCCTCAAAAACATGCAGCATCTGTAATTGATCTGAGAGCGAGAGTTGGGCCTTCATTTCTCTTCATAAATACATTTATTAAAGTTTGGTTAAATGTGATCAGGTGAAGCGACTTTTCAGTGTGCTGCTGAAGATTGTCTGAGAAGCAGAAACAGAACCAGATAGAAACAGTGATGTTAATTGGATCTGGACCTCGTTTGCTTTTCAAGATAAAATCAAAATTCCAGTAGGCCTTTATGAAAAATAAGGTTGCTGCAAGTATATCACATTTTGGATTACACTAAAAAATTTCATCTTTGCCTTTTTGACGAGTGAACAAACAAAATGCTTATATTTTGCTGCAACTTTAGGAATCCACATGCGTCAGAAACATGAGAATTCAGAACAGGTTTATATATATATATTCAAATTAATGCGTCTATAACTGATACTTAAAGGTGACAGATGAAAACTGAAAGATATAAAGGACACCAAGGAGCACAACAGATGAGACCATTATTATGAAATGGGCACAAACTGAGAAGCAATTTGGGTGCGGACGTGTGAGGGTGAGAGCAATAACCCCAGCCTGAAATGCATCAAGGGGACCTCTTGCATAATGTCTGTCAAATCTCTTTTTGCTCAAAACATGTCCGGAAACAAAACAGACAAAGACGACAACAGTAGAGAGGCATCCGTATACTTTGAAAGACTTGTTTTTGCCTGAATTGACCGTTAAGTTGGTTTTTATGTCTCTGGTGTGTTGCAGTTGCAGAGAAAGCGGCACATAGGAAACGACATCGTGGCCATCATTTTCCAAGAAGAAAACACTCCCTTTGTACCGGACATGATCGCCTCGAATTTTCTTCACGCCTACATTGTGGTCCAAGTGGTTAACCCGTGCTCTGACAGCGTCCTCTACAGGGTAAGGTGCTTCCCTCTGTGGGTGATGACTCAAATTCCTGTGAAAAACATCTGACTTTATTCTTTATATTTACTTTCATAGGTGTCTGTAACAGCGAGGGATGATGTACCTTTCTTTGGTCCAGCCCTCCCAAATCCTGCTGTATTTAAAAAAGTAAGACAAGAAACTACTTTTGCACTTGAGCCAAAGTATCATAGAGTTTTTCTCGTGACGCCATGTCTCCTTATTCGTCTTTTCCAGGGCCCTGAATTCCATGAATTCCTGTTTACTAAGCTCATTAATGCAGAATACGCCTGCTACAAAGCGGAGAAATTTGCCAAATTAGAGGTAAGATGCTAAAAGACATTTAAAGATTCTGAAGAGCACTCCAGAGTCTAATTTTTTTTATTTCTTTGTATGTGTATAAGGAGCGAACACGGTCCGCCTTGTTGGAGACCCTGTACGAGGAGCTCCATGTGAACAGCCAGGCCATGATGGGCGTCGGGGGAGACGACGACAAACTGGAAAACGGGAGCGGAGGAGGAGGGGGCTTCTTTGAGTCTTTCAAGGTACCTGAGGATTTAGCAGTAGAGGCTTGGGAATCTAAGTGACAGCTACATATGGTGCAACTCTACTGGATTTTAAAAGCAAGAGTATTGTCATATAAACCAAGATTTTTATGATTTTAACACTTTATGTTATTTATGTTAAGCAAGACGACAGATATCCTCATTTAAACTCAGGTTAGCATCCTTTAAAGACGCAGATGATCAATAATTGTAGTTGAGGGTTTCATAAGAACACTCCCATGATTATCTGCCAAATATAGAGTTGCAGTTTAGCTTAGCATAATAGCTGAAAATAGGGTTTAACCCTTGTGTAACACTGTGGCTAAAATCAGCCACTAGGGGCAAAATTTAGCCACTAATTTCCATGTAACTTTTTTTTACTGCAGCAAATGGGATGATTTTTTTGTGCAGATGCTTATATTGATGGACACTTTGAGAATATGACTTCAAAATATTCACCAGGTCAAAAATACGCGCAGGGCAAATTTTCATCTGTTGTTAACGCTCAGTGGCTAAAATATGCCACTAACTTTGACTGCTGTAAAATTATATTAGGTTAATATTTTTTTCCAATTTTTTTCATATATATCTTAATTAACTTCTGCTTTGATCAAAACTAGTAAATGTTTCATCTAAAAACATTTTTTTAACCCTTTTAGGGTCCATTCAAAACATAATGTCACTGATATGGTAGAAAATAAATCTTATTAAAATCAGTCATTTTCCTCCCGTTTTTTTCCCAATATTAGTGACTTTATGTTTTAAATGAATCCAATGTGTTTTTACAGCAGTCAATGTCAGTGGCTGTTTTTAGCCACTGAGCATTAAGAAAGGATGTAAATCTAAGGGTTACACAAGGTTGGCTCGGCTATGAAAGGGACACAACACTCCTTAAAAACAACATATGATTACATTTTCAGAGATAATCTGTTAAAGGGATAGTTCAGATCTCTTTTGAAGTGGGATTATGTGAAGTGCTTGACAAGAGTATACAGTGTATTATCCACATATGCACCAGGGTTAGAGACTAAGTTGACCTCATCTGCAGCCGTATATCGCCTAGCTTCTATGCTGGTTTTCCCAGATCACCTGTGGTTAATACACTTATTATTGACAAGTACCTCATATACCATCACTTTAGAAAGATAAGAGTTTATTTTGTGGGTATTTCAGAGTTGTTCGTCTGTATGCTTTCAAAGGCTTCCTCACATCCACAAGTCTCTGTTAATCTAAAAGAAGAGAAGCTCTGCCGCTCTGTCTCCTGCTGGATCACACCGCTCTCTGCTTCCTCATGCTCCCCCAGCTTTTTTTTTCTGCCTCTTCCCCTCAGCTGCTCCTCTAGCTTTCAGTCACTGATCACTAATTCATATGATCCTGTCATCTCTGTTCGTACTAAATTCAAAGACACTGGATAGGTTTCTTCCACCTTTGCCTCCTCACTCTGCTACTCACCTGCTAAGAGGTGCTCTGGGCTTTAAATTTCTCCTGGCTGTGTTTACACTCAGTGTGGTCAGACATCTGCGAGCCACTCGGCCCCTCTACTTCCCTTCTCCTCTTTTACCTCCTAATGACTCATCTGAACCCCGCTCGGGGCGCTAAAGCTTAGCAGTGCTCTCTGTGGCTTCCTTGTCTGTGAGGATTAACATCAGGCCAGTGCTCCCGGCCTGCAGGGGTCAATGTTCAGGGACAAACCCCCCCAGGCTCCCCTCGGCCTGTGATGCTGAGGGGTCGCAGGGGTCAGCGCCCATCTGAACGTATCTCCTCCTCGTCTCTCTCTGTAGCGAGTGATCCGCAGCAGGAGCCAGTCTATGGACGCCATGGGTCTAGCTTTCAAGAAGCCGCACACAGTCTCCACTAGCGTCAGCAGCAGCTTTAACCACGAACCCGCAGACAGCCCCAAATTCCCCGGGATAGTAAGTACAGTCCCGCTCCTCCTGATCTCCAGGGAGGCGAGTATAACTCCCTCTGCCTCCTCCCCCCCAGCAGCTCTACTAGATTTAACGCCCCCTCCTCCCTCACTTTGCCTGCTGCACTAACTTCTCACAGAAACAGGCTGCACACTCGGCCGAGCGAAGCGTTTGTCCCCGGGTCTTGAGCTCGGCTTTCTCACTGAACTGTTTCACTTTGTCTGCCACCAAAAGCTGAAGTGACCGGACACTCATAACAGACCTGAATGCTTGAGGGACACCAGGTGGATTTCTGCTCTGGGTTCAAGCTGCTTCTAACACAAACTGTTTGTTTCCTGAATGCTCATTTTTTAAAAGCTCATCTGCATAGTTTTTAACCCACCTACCTTTTTTTTATGAATGCAGAGCTGAGTCAAAGGTGTGTGTGTGTGTGTAGGTGTGTGGGTGTGTGTGTGGGCATGCCACAAAATACTTGTTTTGATAACACTTTATACATTTCGAGGTGGGATGTAACGGTACACTCAACCTTACCCACGATGCTGGGTTTGGTATAAAATGATTAGTTAGAAAAATCGCCTCGTATTTTCGGTGTGATGAAAAACATGCTTTTGTTTTTAAAGAGCACTTCAGCTTGATCCCAAGGTGAGATGGTGTAAATGAAAAGGGAACACATTTAAATATTTGATATTTCGAGGCCTGATATGGCGCGGTCTTTTACGCCTCTTCTCCACTGTCACATGCAGACACATGTGCAACAGCGGAGGAGAGATTGTTGAGAAGTTTATCAAAAGAAAACATTGAATTGCAAAATCTTGACCTGCTGCTTTCCTATAGACTCTAAAACAGACATTATGTAAACATGTTAATATTTGTTCTTAAAACTGGCCTTTTTGGATTAGTGTCTATGTGGTTTCTTGTGATTCTGCAGCCAGCCTCCAGTGGGCATGTGGGGAACTGCAGTGTCTGTCACCTCCATTCAAATCGTAATGATGCTACAGTAAAGCCGTCAAAGGCTTTTAGCTCCCTCTATTATTTATTGTTTCATCTTTCCTTCTTGGAGAAAAATTTGGACCAGTCTAAAAAGTATTAGAACATTTACGGTAATGAAGCAGTAGGGTTCAGACTCCCTGGCAGTGCTCCTGCTCTGTTGTTTTTCCGTTTCATGAGGTAACGTTACATCCCCGTTATTAATGGAAGAAAAAGAAAATCAAACTTGTATCTGCAGCTTTTAACTTCAGTGCTTTTTTTGAGTGAGTATATTTTGTTCAAAAATCACTGACACAGAGAAACGCAATATCTTTTCAACTCGAACAGGAGCTTTCATCGCAGATACAAGGTCTTCACTCTGCATATGGGTGCTTGTCTGATAATACCTGAACTCTGGTACTTTTGATGATTTCTTTGTGTGGGAACTTTTCTCGATACTGAGGAAAACTTTTAGTCATCTAGACTTAACCTTCAGTTATTTTGATTAGCTCACAACTCCAGCTTACATTGTTCTCATAACCCAGTCTTGTTTTATATCTAATGTGTAACATGCTGAGTGTCCTCCTCTGCTGTTTTTATCTGTTCTTCATCCTCTTTTCTCTCACAGGCTCACATAACCAGCTCATCACTTCTTCTCTCCCTCACCCAGCTGCCTGTGTTGCACCCATGGAGCCAAAATGTCCCTTTTTTGTATTCTCCAGTTGGCCTGTGCTTTGTATTTTGTTTGAATAACATGACTTACTGCATGGACTCATATATATCTGTATTTATCTCATGTTTTTTCTCCCCTCCCCTACCCCACCCTACCTCCCCTTTTTTTCTCTGTCTCCTGCCTCATCACATCTCTCTCTCTCTGTCTCTTTCTGTCCCTCTCTGGCTCACCTCTTCCTGCGTGGCTCAGTCATTGCTTGTCCCAGGCAAAAGTCCCAGTAAATATGGACGTCGAGGCAGTGCCATAGGGATAGGAACAGTAGAAGAGGTTCATGTCTAATTCTAACTTCTTTCTAACTGCTCGCTTCTCCCCTTTGGCGCTTGTTTTGTCTGCATGGCTTTAACATACCACGGCCAAACCCTTTTCTCGCTACATCTCAGCACTCTGTTTAATGCAGTGTGTTAAAGATAGGGGGTGGTACATTTTCCAAGTTTGGTGAAACAAATGAAGGTCTAATATTCTTCCCCTGATTTATTTTTCTTTATTACTTAATTGGACTGTTAAATCAGATATCTTAGGTCCACCTTTGGCTCTCTGCTTTTCACGGTCTTTCCTGCTTTTCTTCGATATATGTTCGACTACAATTCTGTATGTTACGTCCACAATACTTGATTCTTTATTTGTGTAAAGTGATGAATATTAATGCTTTAATGACCCCCCCTGCAGGGGAATTATGAAAAAAGAGTCCTCCCCCAGCTCTTTGAAGCCGTGCTGAATAAAAAAGGCTTTTTTCAGGTTCTTATTTTGAGAGCTTTAAAAGGGAGATTGAACGAACAAAGCAGTCGCTGAGAAAGCACATTTAGTGGTAGGCCCTGGAGCCTTTAAACCCATCTTTCATCTCCCGCCTTCGTGTGCTCTGCCCGGGCTGACAGACAGGCACCGGGGCCTGACATTAAGCTGCTAAGTGCATATTCAAACTTCTTTTATCATGAGAGGAACAAGTCAAAGGGGGAAATGTTACTGTTTAGCCTCGTAACTCTAGGCGACTCTTGTTTTCTTTTACCAGAAGAAAAAAACAGCTAAAAATATTCAATAGATACCTTAACTCTTGAGATTTTTTTAACATAATTCAAAGATATTCAGAGTGTTGGCGGTATTTTAACTCTGATTTCTTCCCTCCCTCTCCGGCAGTCTTTGATAATCCCGGGGAAAAGTCCAACCAGGAAAAAGTCGGGTCCTTTCAGCTCCAGGAGAAGTAGTGCCATCGGTATCGAAAACATCCAAGAAGTCCAAGAAAAAAGGTGAAAAAAAAAATCCCATATTCAAATTTTTTATCTGCTTTCTCATGCATCAACTTATATTCTTCATAAACCAAATCTTATTTATTATTACCTCATCTGCTTGTCCTGATATCTCCGATGGTTTTTTATTGTCTCTTGTAGCAGTAGAGAGAGCTCCCCAAACACCCAGAAGACCCCTGACAGTGGCCACGTATCACAAGACCCCAAGTCGGACAACTCGTCCAATCAGAGCTCTCCTGAGGTGCTCACAACCACCAAACACAGGTGTGTATGACGGGCAGGTCACACTCTTATATGACTCGATTTGTGGTTCATAATGGTGTTTTTGTAACTGCGGGTCGATTCTCAGATTAGTGGCTGACTCTTTTAGATTGAGATTAAGATAACCCAGTATGTAGTTCTGTTCTCGGTGGCAGGGCTCCGTCCATTCCTGAGGGTCACGACCTCTCGCGTTCGTCCTCCAACGCCAGCAGCTTCGCCAGTGTGGTGGAGGAGAACGAAACAGAGGCCACAGAGGACTACGACACGGGCATGGTGAGTTTCCCGCTTGGCGTGTGCGTGTCAGAAGCTATCATCCCTATCGTGCGCTAAACCTGGCGTGCAGCACAAGTGTCATTGTCATTTTTTTTGTTCCACTTGATGCACTCCAGGGTGCACTTTACGCCCAGCACCTAGGTTGTGTAAATAGCAAGTGAGCCTGTGTCGATGTTACACCCAGGGGTGTGTCGGATTTGAAACGAGGTGTGGTCATGTGCGAAGGTGGCGTCTTGCTGTCTTGAGGAAGCAGAAAGACTCAGCGCCTTTGATCAACAAAAACCCGGTCTAAAGTCCTGAGTCAGTGGTTCTGCTCCTGGCTCTCATGCATAAATGTTTGAATCTGCAAATTCCTCGAGCCTGAAGTGTAAATAGGTGTTTTCTGTTGAACTTAAATCCACGTGTTTCCATTTCCCTGCTCTGTTTACTTCTCAGGAGAGTCTGTCATCTGCGGGGACGCCTCACAAGCGAGACTCCCTCACATACAGCACCTGGCTGGAGGACAGCACCAGCACCACCAGTAACACCAGTCGCTGCAGCTCACCAGGCGAGCATATTGCGATTACATGCAAGTTAACGAACATATAAAAGAAAAACATGGCTAATCGATAAGATGTGCACCAGAGTTTTCCCTTTTTTGGGGGAAGCGAATCATTAATTTTGCACCATCGCTGGTAAAAAGTTGAAAAACATGTTGAGATACTAAACCCTTTATCTGTCCTGCAGGTCCAAGTAAACCTGAGCGAGGGAGGGGCACCGACATCCGCATCAAACTTGAACGACCACAGGATCGTCAGTCCTCATCGGTGAGTCAAGCCCATCCTGGACTAAACTGAAATCTCAGCTCTAAAGTCTGAGTCACTTCTTAGTCTTTGTTGTTGTTTCATATTTGTCTTTATTTCTTTATTTTTGCAGAACTGTTAGCTCTACACACCTGGTTGTATCCTGGATCTCCATCTTCAGGTGAGATTTTGCTCTTTTATTGTGTTTCCAGCTGCAGATTCAAATAGCAATGTTAGCAACAATGCTTCTCTGTGGTTTTCTAACCTGTGCACTGTTTTCGCCCCCAAAGCATTCCCATAAAGTCACAATCCCTCTGGGAGATGAGACGAGTGCAGGTGTTCGCCACGTTTCAGTGAAGGAAAGAGAACGATGAAGACGTCAAAGAGGAGTAAAAAGAGGTGGAGCCCGGCCGGTCTGCTGCTCAGTGAGGTCCACAGAGCAGCGTTTCCAGAGACCCTGGAGAGCTGTGGATGGAGAGGACGATGCACAAAGAGGGGCCAGCTTTTGCACAGTGTTGTTTCCTTTCACTCTTTTCTTTGCCTGTTCACACATCTGTTGCCTGATTGTATGTTTCTCGTTTTTGAAAGAGCACATTTTGATCTATTGAATAGTTTCATTCTTGAAAGAGTAACTTCGGTTTAGTTTGGTGTGTTAAAGCCTTGGTGTGCTGGAGGAGACAGTGCCATGGAGCTCTTTGTGGGGGTTGTGAGTTCAAGTCAGAGAGAGATTTTTAAGGTAGAAAATGAACCAAATATATAAAACAGAGGATGATTCTTGGTCAAATCTAATGAAGGACTTTAGAGCTACAAGAAAATCATTCTACTCTTAACATTTTCTCCATCTTCTCTGTAAGAATCGATGAAACACGGTGAAGAGAGTGTTTTTTAAAAAAGATGAAATGGCCTTAAACTTAAAGATGCATTTCTTTGCCCCTCAGTTTTATTTTACCTCACTTTTTTACTCACATGCTCTGCAGACAATAATGGAATCGCTGTATCAGATAAACATTAAAACTATAATCAGAATGATTTTTTAAGCACACTACTTTCTTAAAGAATCATGACGTAAAGCATTTATCTCTCAGCACTGTTTGTGTAGTCTGTTAACGTCTTGGTATCTTCATCAATGACTGACTCCACGGCTTTCTTCGTCTCATCTGTGGGTGAAGAGACCAGTCTTTGCTTTCTTACTCTGAGATATAAGTCTTTATTTATTGTTTTATTTTTCTGTTGAAGTGGCATTTATGGTGTAAATCTGTTCTACTGTACCTCTATGGCGACTACACTAAACATCCCGTCACACGCTTTGACTGTACGTGTTGCTTTGGAGTAAATTATTATGTTGTCAACTGTGAAGCTCTGTCTTGCTCAAGGGTCAGATGTCTCTCTCATCGCAGCAAATTTGATGCAGTTCTGATAAAATTGTGAATATTTATTTGCTTTTGCTTCAAATAGCTCCAAACACAACTACTGATTTTGTAAAAATGAACATATTTAGTTGGAGTATATTGTGTATAATGTATAGGTCATTGATTTAAAATGGTATTGACAAACACAAAGGAATTACTGCCAAGTTACAGTTTCTAGTTGTTTGATTTCTTGTACCCTTACTTTAAATTATCATTCAGTGAGGGTTTTTATTTTTGGTAGAAGACATTTATTTTCATTTTTTCAGACTGTTCTCTCAAAGGGAAATCTCACAGTACATCCTGCTGATCATTTCAGTTGCCTTATTATCACAAAAAAGATGTTGTAAACTAATGATAGTGATGCAAATAGCTAATAGCCAGCAGGATTTACAATGGAATGAATGTTTTGTTGTTGTTGTTTTTATTGTAAATAAATGCCCTGAGAATTTAACAGATGTTTGTACAGATCCCTCAATGAAAACGTACTCTGGCTTTATCTGCGCACTAATACAATACTCGGGATAGCACATGGGGAAAATCCCTGCTGTGAAATGCCAACCGCCTGTACATGTTCGACTTAATGATAGTGAAGAGAGAGAGAGAAAGCCCCATGAATAAATGATTTGATGTGGCTGCCCACAAGTATGTCAAACTAGAGCAATCTAAAAGTGGAGGCTTCCCCGGTTATGCAACTGTGCCACAGGGAAGATAGAAGCACATTTAACTTTAATGAGTGAAAAGAACCGAATCATTCTCCAATGAAATATGCTCTTATTGTTGCATTGTCCTAATAATCAGAACTAGGCGAAGACTACAAGTTTTACTATGAGGGAAACAACATGATTGATAGAGTTGAGAATAAATGCAAGCTCTTAATTCCACTATCCTGACTGTTTTTAATGCCGAAATCATGCACAAACCATGCACATATGCTTGTGTTGCAGACTAACTGTGATTTGATTTTAGCGCAAAAAAAAAGATTTGTTGATCAATAATTCTGTCTAAATATGCATTTATATTCACTCAGAGCCCAACCCATAAACATAACAGCACTTTGCTCATCACTAAAACAGTGTCTATAAAAGAAAAAGAATATATGATAGTATACCTACATCTACACACATGTACCTGTACATATATACACGACAGGTTAAATTTCTGCATAAGTGTAAATTGATGAGTTTGAATAAAAGCTTTGTCTTCTATTGTTTCCATGAAATTATAATCTCTTTGAAATTGATCTCTGAACTGTACTAGAAGCCAAAACCTCCACAGATTTATGGTTTTCTCTGAGCCCTCTGGTTTTGGTGTTGACTATTATCGCCCTCCTGTGGTATCTTTGAGCATTCAGTAAATCTGTAATGCTTTAAATTCTAGGAGATAGCATGTGTGAAATCATATATACAACAACGTAAGTAGAAGAGTAGATATTAGTCACTTAAATAACAAAGCTGTAGTGAGTTATTTTATTTAATTAAAACAACGAAGGAAGGAAAATACAACAAATTCTTAAATTTAAATATATGGACAAACTTACTCTCTTTCCTGGTAAAATTGCTGTATTTTTCGAAAATGTTTTAATTGTGAGAAAATGTCGATAATGCTTTATTTTATAGACGGTTGGATGAGTCTTAGGTTACCGTCATATTTCGCAGTTTGTTTTGCGTTACCTCTCATTATTCTTTCTTTCTCCAAACAATATATCATTTCCAATCCACAGCTCCAAGCACAACGTCAAAAATAGTTTTAAACAATTTATAATAACAATTTTATTCGAACTAAACCGGTCTCCTCAAAGGTTTTGTAAGGACACCTGCTCCGCCTGAGCGGAACCTTTGTCAACCTGCTGGGAAACCGGAAACACTTTAGATCGGCGTGGGACGTGCCGTATGTGGTCTTTTGGAGTCACATTGAAAACGCGAATCCCGGTCACAGGAATTTAAGGTAAAATATTAACGTTTGGAAAGAAATACGCGGATTTGTTGGCGTTGTTAGATAAATGATGGCGGATTAGGTTTGCTGAAAACATGACAGTGGATATATTGTCACATTTAGGATATAGGAGGAGATAAATTGCTAGTTAGCATTAGCATCAGAGCTAGAAAATATCGACGAGGGGAAGACGGTTTTGTATCGATGTAGTTATATTTAAAGAGGAAATAACAGCTGTAAGAAGATTATGATAAAAATCAGCTACAAACACTGGCTCATAGTAGATTATTGTCAGTTTATATGTTCACTTTGGTGGTTAATTTACGCACATTTCTGATGGTGCTGGTCCGGAGCATTGATCCAGACCAGTAGGAACATCACAATCTCTTGTACACTCAAACAAAAATCTGTAATCTATGTTTGTAGAGTCATGAATCAGACCTTTTTTCTTCCATTGTGGTGACATTAATAGTTCTGACTGACATGATCTTACAGGACCAGTGACCAGAAGACCCATCCCTCATGTCTTTATCCTGATGATCATCCAACATGTTTACCTCAAAGATCAGCCCAAGTTTAAGTTTATTCCGCAGAGCAACATGTGAGTATATATGACAAACTGATCACTTTATTTAACTGGGTGTTTATATGATGTCTCTGAAAATGTCTGTACAAAGGAAGTCAGGTGCAAATATGACTTAGCAAAAGGCTTCTCATCTTTTTTTTTTAGAGTTAGGTGTTCCTTATAACAAACTAAAAGTTTGACCACTAGAAAGGTGTCATGAAGCACAGGGAGACACCACTGGTGAATAGGGTAAAATTTTGAACTAACAGATATCACCATGACACTTCCAGAGTTTATAACTTACATAATTAATTTACCTTATTGAAATATTACATGGTCAAAACATCTATCAGGCACCAGTACTCCTGGTCTAGAAGGAATATAAAGGAGTCATGGTCATTTTAAGGACCTGAAAAAAAAAATGAATTTTTAGGGGTGGTGACAGTATTTTCTCATTTACAAAGTGATAAAAAAAGACATCCAAAGTCGAAAATGACACCTTTCTAGTGGTCAACTTTTAGGATGTTATTAAGGACATCTAATACAATAAAATAACAGCTGAGAAACCTTTTTGTTAGGATTTTTTTTAAGGGTTAGTTTTTTTTTTCATAAATGCACCTGCCTAAATCTCCCTTTCCCTGATTAGGTGTACTTCAAGTCCATGGAGAGAGTTTGAGTAAATGTGCACCGCGGGTCCTTCCTCACTACTCTTCATCACTAATAAAGGAACAGAGAAAATATTCAACAGCCGCCGATAACACGCCTCCTCCCCGATGGGTCCAACTCGAGCCTGAACTTGAGGAGGCTCTGGTGCCCCGTAAGCTGTCAGTAAGTCCTCTAGAGAGCTGGCTCTCCCTGCGCTACTCCCTCCCTCCCCTGCTGGAATCCGCTCCGCCACAGGAAGATGTGGGGATAGTGGAAGAGAAGGTGTTGCCACCCATCTCTGTCCCTGTTTTAGAGGAGGGGGAGGGTTCAGTGACACCCCTTCAGTGTAAGAATGTTCTGAAAACCCGGAGGCGGAGAATGAACCGGCATAAATACAGAAAGCTGCAAAAAAGGACGAAGTATTTGAAGAGGAAAGTGTTGGAAAACCGGGGAAAGAGAAAGCAGGTGAGACTTGAACTTAAAAGACACTTAAGATTTAACTATGTAACACGACAAGAGAAGGAAATAAAGTCTGTGATAGAATTATAAGATGACCGAATGTTGTATTTAGTCCTTTGGAGACAGTGCAACATGAATTACCGTCTGTAAAGTCCGTCTTATATTTGAAATCCTCTAATTAGGACACAGTTTTCCAAAAGAAGCAGCATACAAATTCACTCATTATTGTGCATTATTACTCTCCTGCAGAAACAGTTTGAGAGGGACTTGAGGAGGATTTGGAGAAACGCTGGACTGGAGAAGGCTCCAGATGGATGGAGTTCACCTAAGCTTTTCATCAAGCAGCATGGAAACAGAAGGGACTGAAAACCACTGACAGTTCTTTGAGTTTGTGTCGCATCTCCTCGTCCCGGACTGCTCAGCACAGATCACACCTCACACACACTCTGCTGTTAAAACAAACGGCACGCTCTCCTGAACGCAGCTCCTCTCAGTGATGAGGACCTCTTCTGTGTATCATTTTTAAGAACGTGTACATAATCTAATAAAATGTTTCCCTGTCAAACCTGTGCTGTGCTGTCCTGCATGTTCTGTGCCTTACTTCAAAGTTGTGAAGTTGTCAACTAGCAGTTTCTTTTTCTTGCAGTGGGTGGCAGTGTTGTACAAAGTCTGAGAAGATCCATTCACTCTTAAAATTCTTGTTGCTTGTTACTTAACCTCTTATGTCTGGGAAAATTTTAACATTCAACTCGTTTACATAATCGAACCTCTTGTACTAGGCCTCAAAGTTAAACCAGTTTTGAGGCCTAGTACAAGCTTTACTAACAAAATAAGTGATTTCTGTAACACTCACTTAAAATCGTAAATATTTTCATGTGCTCATCAGAGAAAAATTGTGTTTCAAAAGGAATTTCCTCGACTGCAAAGACAAAGTACAAAATCTACCTGCAAGAGCAAAAGTATTTAAAGCTCCTGTGAGGAACTTTTGAATTGTGACGATTTTGGCACCCCTGAGGACAAAAATTTGCACTTCTTCTCTACACCAGTAAGTATTTTAAAAGCATCTCATGCTGCCTTCTTTTTCTAAGATTTTATTTTTGGGCTTTTTTGGGAGAGAACTTGAGGGACATTCCGGCGTAAAATTAAGTTAGGGTCAAGTACACCGTAACACAGACTTGGACACCATGTCGAGAGATGAATGTTACCGACCGCTTGCTTCTCTAGTTACACAAACTTTTGTAACGATTGCATGATAGCAATACAGAGAGCCATGCGCTCAACCAAAACGCCACTCTATAGCCACAAATAATGCTCAGAACAGCACCTAGCTTCATCAACAGTACATATAGGGTCCCAGCCATAGTACTAGCCAGCAAACATCTTTTTAACTTTGCCTAATTTCTTGAGCAAAGAGACTAAACACAACTCACCTACTTTCTTCCAGCAGCCACTTGTTTGTCGCATGACTACGGGCCAGTCCATTACGGACTGTAGGGGGGTGGCGCAGCTCAAGGAAGAACATTTGTGATCATTACTTTATAATTTCCTTGAAGTAATAATCACCATATTTATCATTTTCCTCTGCAGACGCGGTAGTTCTTCTGCCTTAGCATCCCGGTCTGATTGCATTTCCATAAAGAAATTATCATAAATGTTCTTTCTTGAGCTGCGTTACCCCACATCAGTCCCCAATGGACTGGCCCGAGGTCTTGCTACAAAAAAGCAGCTGCTGGAAGAGAGTAGGTGAGTTGTGAAGAAATCAGGCAAAGCTAAAAAGATGTTTGGTGGCTGGTGCTGTGGCTGGGACCCATTTTGGTTGAGCGTCTGGCTCTCTGTATTGCCATCTGCGGTCGTTACTAAAGTTGGTATAACTAGAGAAGCAAGCGGTCGGCAGCATTCATCTCTGGAGGTGTTGTCTAAATCAGTGTTACTCGGTGTTCGACCCTAACTAAATTTTACGCCGGAATATCCCTCTAATAGCATGGCGAGTTATGTAGGGATAGAGCTGCTAACAATCACCTGAGGCATATCCTCTGTAAATAGGGGGCTGTTACCGCATGCTGCTTTCTTTGAACACTCAAATATATCACTTTTATCGATTCTGAAGTGTGCTATCAATAATGTATCTAACTAGCTCTGCAGCAGCAGCTTTATGCATTAAACATAACAATCAAACTTACTGATAGTTTGAAGCTGATAGTGTCATGGGTGTTCATTTCAGGGGTTGTGGGACTTGGTGAAAACTCCTCACAGTAGCTTTAAAACAGCTAAAGCATGTTATGGTTGACAGATGTTAGACTCATGTTTGCACAGTCTATCAATGGAGGATTCTTGGATGCATTTTTAACATTTGTCTACGTCTGTATATCATAAAACAGCATTCCGAAGTTTATTGTACACATGTTTCTGGTGAGAGCAGCAGGCCTGAGCGGAGACGTGTTGGGTTTCATGGAGTGATGGAGGCGGAGCTCCTGCAGACTCTTCACTGCAGCAGAGGAACAACAAAACACAGCTGAGCTGCTGCTGCTCTTCGCTCTACTTGAAGAGTTTCTTTTGTTTCATCCATTGATGCTCTCTTCACCTCTGCGGACAGCACCATGCAGCTCATTTTGACTCTTCTTCATGGTAAGTTATCTTAATTGATTTTTTATTAAAGAGAAAAGTGTCCAAGTGAAACTTTCTTGGTGCCATAATTGGATCCAGGTTCGAATTTACCGTCGGAAAAAAAGGAGAAAACTTATTAAACTTGTTTTAAAGTTCTTATTGAAATATTTTACTGACATTTCAGCTCTCTAGAAAGAAAAGCTTTGACCCAGAAACACTTTTTTTCACTTTACCTTTTATTCATTCATGCGTTTTTTTATTTGACCCACTTCTCTGCTTTTAAAATAAGTCATAAAGCCCACATAAATGAAGTTACACATATCGAAACTAGATATCCTTGACTGTAAGTGGAGTGTTTTTGTTTTATTTCATCTTTATTTCCCTGCATTATTAACGTATCTTTTGGTTAAGATTATAAATAAGGCCTAAACTCATCATTTCATTGACAGGTTTCCCTTGAAATATCCAAATGTGTGAAATTATTTTCCAAAATTCACGCATATTAAGCCCTCGTGACTTCAAAGTAACCTGAAGCAAATACAGTATCTCTGCCCACAGCCCGAGGAAACAGTGTTTGTGGGACTTTTCATGGCTTCAGCTCAATGTGTTTCTAGTTAACTGCGGTCCGAGCTGAGGAGTCAGCACAATCCTGCACTCAGTCATTATATGTGTCAGTAATGAGTGTTTCACCACGAGTGGGCTGTTTGAGTCCATGCTGTGGGAAGAAGGGGGAAAACTACCCCAACCCTATTTATGATTGCTGCTGTCTCAATTAACAGGCCACCAACAACAAAAAATAGGGCATGGAAAACATAGATGTGCTGTTTTGATCAGAATAAGGTCAAAACATGCAGCTGCTGGTTTGTGGGACACGTTTGTGTTTCTGTGCTGCTACCTTTACTTCCTGTATCTTTTTTTTAGCAAGAAAAAAAACTCAAATCTTAGCATAAATAAGGGTTGACTTCTTATATAAATATCTATTTACACTTAATCAAAATTAAACTGATCTGAAAGGTTCAGATTTAAATCTTATTTCAAGATGTTTTGAGTCCAAACTTGACATTTAGGTGACAAAGACTTTTTGTTTTGGGAAAGTTTTGTTTGTTTCATTTGGGGGCTTTTTTTTTTCACTTCACTTTTAATTTTTTTTCACTTCCATATCCATTAAGTCCTTATATTTTAGCTTGTAAAAACAAGCCTCGATGAATTCAGTGTAGATTTTAAATAAAGTACTTTTTGCTTTTACTTTAGCGCATTAGCTGACTAATATATATTTTTTTATTTAAAGCTCCTGTGAGGAACTTTTTGTTTGTGTTGAATTTGGCGCCCCCTCGGGACAGAGTAGTCTTTGTTTATCTTACCAAAAATCTTATCTGGCTGACAAATTTGTAATTTCTTGCGAGTACCTTTTGAAATCTTAAAAACAGGGTTCTTTCTATGGCTGCTTGGCTGACACCAACCCTCTTGCAATAACATAGAGGAATGAAAACTGACTATAGATGTTGTCAAACTTGATGTTGACAGCCTTGTTTGCTTTTGTAACTCATAAAAAAGCCACCAGAATTAATGTTTGTGTGTTTTTATAAAAGATTATGAAGCCATTATTACTTTGCTCATTTAAAACAGCATCACAATTGAAAGAAAATCAGCTAAAAATGCTCTAAAATAGATAATGTGCAAAATAATTAAAGCCACGGATGGCCTTGGATAATAAGTTTCAGGAAAGTTCAAGTGGAAAGTCCAAAAGGCTGAGCTGATTTTCTCTGTCTATAAGATCTGGTCAAGGGTTTTGAGACGCAAACAAAAAACCCAAACAAGAAAAAGAACTTCTACATCCACTTTGAGCTCAATATGCAAATTAAGTGACTAAAATTAAGAGTAAATTCTTAGCTGCCTAGTAATGCACACCTTAGTGTCTCCACAGCAGAGTCAACAGAGTCTGCCGGCCCCTGAATGTATCTTTGTGTGTTTAGCTGAGTCTGCAGCTGGACACATGTGTTTGCTTTAAAGTCGAGCCGTGACGCTGCTGTGAGTAAACTAAACTCACCACCACATCATCCATGATTCAGAGAGATTCTGCTGCGTAAAAACATATTTTTTGATTGAGTTGAACTTATATAACATATTTTTTCCCCTTTTTTTATCCTTGGGGATAAGTTAATTGTTAAACGGTTCTCAATGTGACTCCTGGAGTGCCTAATAGCAGCAGTGATTTGGTAGCTCATTGGTTAAATGCCTATTATTATAGCCAGAAACTCAATAGCACATTGTTAAGTCTTTAGAGCTAAAGCAGCCTTGTGAGTCAGCGGCCTGTGTGTGTGTCTGGAGATGAGATGAGAGAAAATTACAGGGGCTGGGGCACTTTGTTTTACCTTCTGCAAGAAAGTTTATACCCCTCAATAGAAAACCCACCAGAGTTTTCCAGCATGAGGTCTGCTCTCTCATTGCCAGTGTGTGTGCTTGAATAATCCTCAGCATACAGTGCCATTATCATTAAACTGGTGCATACCTGCGAATTCTCTGCATGCTCTGCTGGGTTACACTAAATGTATGCAAGCACTGTTTAAACGCTCAGGTGAAGTTATCTTAGCATAAGGGAAGATAAACAGACACTGTGATTCAGCCGTGTGCAGTCGTGATGAGTTAAACATCTGGAGAAGAAAGCTCATTCTGGGTTGTATCAAACAGATCCTGTGCAGATTGGATTCGTGGTTTTGGCCGAGCTGTCAGAGACTGAAAGGAATTTTATTTGAGCTACAGTGCAGTGGTAAAAAAGGCAACTTAACGCTCCTGTGAGGGTTTCTTTTTTTAGCTGATTATTAAAAATAGAAGGTATTATTTACACATGTAGGGGACAGGATCATTGATGAGATTCATTGTCCTACTTTGGGGTGATAAAACCGTACCTGTTCAAACCTGCATGCAAAGCCCCTCAGTGAGCATGTTTGAGGCCCTCTGTGGTCCTACTTTTATCTTTAATTTGAAGTTATATCACAGTAGGAGTCCAAGCATTGTTTAAGATCTCTTTGAAGAAGCTTGAGAGGTGTAGCATAAAACTGCAGGAGACAGAGTTTAAAGAGAGGGCCTCAAAGCCGCCTGAGGAAATCCTGTAATCTGGGACAGATTTCACCAACCCTGCTTTTCTTTTTTTTAAATAAAAAGCTGATCCTGACTTTCCTGATGATTATATTTAGATTTTTTTAATCACTAGTAATAATTTATTGATATTAATTTACAGCGTGTCAAACGTCAGGAATCCTGGCTTCATAAAACGGGTCCATCAATCACTGAAAATGATATAAACAGTTTTTATTGCTCTGAATCTACAAACAACAGCACATGGAGGGCTGTGCACCTCTAGAGCTCATACAGCTCTGGCCAGTGCTGTAAAAATACACAGGTGTGTGGTGCTGACACCCAGCAGTACGTCTGAAAGGAGCCGAACAGTCGCTCAGTTCTTCATCCCCTCAGGATCACGGCCTCGCAGCACCAGGATGAATAGAGGCTCTGTATGCTTTGGCTGAACGCGTCTCTCCTGGACCTTCAGTAAACAGGCGACCAAATAGCACTGTGGGGGGAAAAAAACGACATTAGAAATAGAAATGAGCTGTTGGAAAATTTCCTACCTCTTGGAAGAGACAACACAAACAGCAAAATATACTTTGTTCTGCTTTCATAAAGAGCTTTACTGCTTTCAGATCCGCTATCGTACCGTGTCGTCGTTTCTGCAGTTTTCCCTCCTCTGTTATAAACTGTCCTCTCACTGAACTCACATCTGCTCCAGAGCTGAAACTCTCCACTGTTGGGTCAGTCCAGGTCAAAACCGAAAATTTGAACGATTGCAACTTTTTAATGAGATTTATCGCATAAATATCTCAAAACTGCTTCTTATCAGGAAGATTGGTCTTACGCAGCAGAAAGCAAATGGGAATATCACAGCTCTGCAGTTTAAGCACATTTTTCCTCCCTTCAAGCAGCTTTTACTAATTTAATGTTTTTGTCTGTTTCAGTTCTTGCCGTGCTCCTCGTACCAGGAGGTAAGACTTCTATTTCAGCCCCACCTGCGTAAAGCTGAATGCACAGTAGTTCACGCTTCTCTCTCCATCATTGAGCTAATGCGTTTATTATCTCGTCTCAGCATGGGCTCAGAGCAGCAGCAGCCGGGTCGGTGTGGTGGTGGAGGCCAAGAACATCACCCTCCCTGAAGGCTCTAAGGCCGTCTTGCCGTGTCACAGCCCCAGGATGGTGTGGACCCAGGACAGACTGAAGGACCGGCAGAGGGTGGTGCACTGGGACGTGGTCCGCAGCAGCCCTGAGTATTCTGTCGAGAGAGTCCTGGATATGTCTCCTGGAGGCCGACAGAGGGTCTACAACAGCTTTAACAAGGGGCGTGTCGCCGTCCCGGATTCTGCTTTTACTGACGGCAACTTCTCCCTCGTCATCAACAGTGAGTCTGATAAAATCTGATAAAACTGATTATATACTGTGTGTCATATTTGTGTGTTGAAACCCAAGATGTCCCTCTTTTCCATGATCACTTCTTTCTTCTGCTTAAACTCTCATCTTCTGTTTATTTCCTCCAGATGTGATCACAACAGACAGAGGCGTTTATACCTGTAACCTGCACCATCACTACTGCCAGATCCACCAGTCCATTCAAATCCAGCTCAATGTCACTAAATCAGGTGGGGTCTCCTGATTTTTTTGGCGTTTCGTTCTACTGTGAGTCTTAATGCATGAAACAGTGGTTTATATAACTATGTGTTTTTCCAGCTCGTAAAGAGAGGCGTTACTGGGACGGAGAGAAGACCGTCTTTGTGGTCTTGCTGGGCAGCTCAGTTGTGTTGCCCTGTGTGAACCGGCGCCCCTTGTGGAGGGAGGGTCTCCAGGAGGACCAGCAGCAGGTGGCTCACTGGGACTTCCAGCCTCCTGGAGTGCGTCCCGACAGAGCCGACCGCCTGGTTGACCTCTACGCGTCCGGAGAGAGGCGAGATTACGGACCCCTCTTCGCCCGGAGGAAGATGTACGTGGAGGAGGATGCTTTCACTTTAGGGGACTTCTCTCTCTCCATCTCTGACCTGAAGCCCGTCGACAAAGGCCTGTACTCCTGCCACCTCCATCACCACTACTGCGGCCTGTCAGAGAGACGCATCTTCAGGCTTATAGTGGGACCTCCGCTTCCACCCGCCCCCACTACAGCGCCAGAAATCTCTGAGAATGAGATCCCAGAGCCAAGTAGGTCACTGCATTAAAAACAACATCACTGTAACCGCTTAAACCTTTGTTTTTCTCCTGATACTAGTGATGGTTAATGTTTTTCCCCCGTACGGTTTCACGGGTGAGTTGTGCAAAGTGAGACAACACAGCTCCTGGGTTTTTTTCGCAGTATTTATAGGCATAGTTGGTCAGTTAAATCAGCTCCTCCTCTCGCCAAGTCTTTCCTCTGACCTCTGTTTTTGTGTTTGAGCTGGAAAGGGAGGGAGGAGGTCGAAGGAATGTAGGAGCAACCATGGGAAGAAAAAGAAAGAAAGAAACCTTCCTCTTTGTCGCTAACTGCGATTAAAAGTTAATCTTTTCGCAGCTAACTTTTTGTTGTTCCCAGTAAACAGCCTCAAACTGGCGCTAAAGGAAGTGGTTTCATTTCCCTTGCTGACTTTTTCTTCATTTACAGCCTGTTAACCACACCGAGCAGAGGAGTAGGCTCCAACAGCCAGTCATTTTGGGAGTGTATCTTGTGTGTTTTTCCCCCTCCATTTAACCCCATTTTCCAAAAGTCCCGACCACGTGTCTAGACGGGTTACACTGTATCTCCAGTTTTGTTTATTCTTCTTTTCTCCCAGCGCGCTCTGCTTCTCTGCTTCTCTGCTGATTTGTATCTGTCTCTGGTGTAGTGGAGGCGTGTTTATCAGCAGTTAGAGGAAGTCTCATACATCTGTTCAACATCTGGGCCAGATGAGACATGAAAGAGCAGAGTAAGGGGAGAGGATATGTCCGATGTCTATAGATCCTGCTGTCCAGTAAAGAAATTACTGTCCTGTATATTTACCCTCTAAGAATGGAAGAAATGCACATGTGGAAAAAAAATCGGTGGTATGAGCAAACATCACCTCGAGATTCATTTCTTCTTCATGCACCACTAGACTTGAAGCCTTTCAGATTTAATCCAAGTTGTTTGTACGCATGAAGGAGCCAGCAAATCATCTGTCATGATGAGAGCGTTTCACTTTAATGCTGTAATTATTTATGGCATGCACAAACGGATTAGTACTTCTGGGTAAACATGGAGCGGGCGTTTTGTGAGCTGTCAGAAATCCAACAAAAATCTCTATCTGTGAAAACGGAGACGCTCCCCTCCAGTTCATTGACTTGCTAATGATCCGCATCCCTCCAAAGATACTCTGGCTAACCTCAGCGTAGCATATGTGAGAAAACAGCCAACACACGCACACGCTTGTCAGATCCGTCAGGAAAACGGTATCGGGACACGGCTGCAGCTTCGACAGACGAGCTCTGGAGATGCTGACCTCAGACACATCATGTGATTTCATGTATTTCAGGTTCACTGGACAATGACAGGTGATAATTACGAACGGAGGCCCCCTTCCTGCTGCAGACATGGGTGATTAAATCAGAATCAGGTCCTCTTCATGACTGGATGGATTTGAAAGCTCGAGCAGAGACGGTGCATTAAATGTTACCCAATTAGGCCCGGAGTGGTAGTTTAAGTTGTGCAGAAAGGAGCTGCTTTAATGACAGGCCAAAGAGTAACGATATATTCAAGACAGATAAGCTAAAGGGGAAAACTCACATCTTTGATCATTTATTTTTTTATGTGACCAGGCTGAGTATTAACTAAGGAGACTTTTTCTCAATCCAGTAGCTCTAAAACTGGATTTAAAGGGCTATTCTGTATATTGTGATCGTCGCAATCTTAGTTTTCTTCTTTATTCTGGTCACTTTAATTATTTACAGTAAACTAACAGTCTGGGTCATCGTCAGCCTCCAGCTTTTACCAATTTAGCTGCATTTGAAGTCGTCACAGATTTGTTTTCCATGCACGCAGAAGCGAGACACATGTGTTTGTAAAAACAGGTCGAAATGGAAAACTCATACAGACATGCAGACAGACCACATAACAGAGTTTGTGTCTCTCTTTCCTCACACTTTGCCTTTTTTTCTGGTCATTCTGTGTGTTTTTTTGCGGAGGGGGAGGGAAAAAAAATAACAGCTGCATGACATCAGGTCTGGAAGTCATTACCACAGAGCGGCGTTTTGACATTTAACTCCCGCTTTCCTTCACTCCTGGTCTCTGACTTTTGGATAGAAATGAAAAAGAAAGGAGCCTCAGGGGGAGTAGAAATGTTTAATTTTGTTGAAATCCTACTTCATCGTCTATTGTAAATCCAGTTTAACAATCCAATATATTAGAGGTAGAATTTGACACTAAATATCCCACAATTTATTGTATTTTTATTTGAAAGCACGCTGAACTGTCTTCATAATTTTATGGGAATTACTTACCGTCCTCCTACATGACCTGCCAATATAAGAGATGATTCATGATGCTTTATTTTATCACCCGTTTGCCTTTAGGGACGGACGAGTCAGAGAGTCCTCGTGTGGTGAACGTCATCCTCCCTGAGCATCGAGGTTATTTCATGCAGCATCTGGGTTACTTCCTGGCTACTTTCTTGCTGCTGGCGTTCATTGTTGTAGCCGTCATTGTGCTGACTCGACGGCGCAAAAAGAGAGGTATTACACATGTGCATCTCAAACAGCTGCATGTTTTTGGCATGTATTAAAGGCTCGGCTCTCCTGTTTCCAAAAGCACTTCATCACATTTTATTGTTCCCTGAGATTTTCTATTTCATCAATTTTTCAGAGATGGATTTTGAGCTGCGTGGATCTGATCGGTAAGGCTTCACTACAAAATAAATTATGCACTATTTTTCCTTTAGAAGTTGAAATCAGAGGTAGCCTATGTTTATTTCTGCGCAGGGGAAGCAGGATCAGCAGGGATGAAATATCTTACGACTGCACAGAGCTTAAGGCCTGCAACCAGACACCTCTGAATTCAGGTACTGCAAGCATCACACAAGGTAAAACACACATAAATAAAACATATGTTGATGCTTTTCCATAACCTGTATGTTTTCTGCAACCTTTAGACTACAAAAATAACCTGCTGAAAGAGAGAGATATGGCCAAAGACTGCAATAACGGTGAGCATGCACAGCTTTATCCAATCTGAAAAAACCATAAAGCATGTAGAAAAAGTGACATTTTATTTAACAGATATCCTTTCCATAACTTCTTCTCCTTCAGACTTTGATGGAAAACTGTGGAAGTGAGAGGGATTTTTTTTTTTGAGCTGCTGCTGGCAGGTCCAGAGCAAACACCGGATGAGAGTGAACGGACTGTGGAGAGAAGGAAAAAAAAGGAAGAAACCCAAAAGAGGACAGGAGGAAAGCTCCCTCTGCTGTAACTCTTACACACTAAGCTTTTTTTTTTCACTAAAAGCCACCGTAACTTTGTCACATGGTACTTGTTTATATAAGAAGCATTTCAGCAGTATGGTTACACTTGTATTTGATCCTTACTCTTTGCGTTCATATTTTGTTCATGTTTAATTCGAGGCATATTTTATGGTTTTTATTATAGTTTTTTTGTTGTTTTTACAGAAATGCATGCTGTTTATTGAAGTATGTTAATCTGTTCTTTACATGCTTTCAGGGCTGCATCCGATCATTTTTCTTTTTGCACAAACTTTACTGTAATTTCTACATGTATGTCATTAAGAATCAAGGGTAAATTTACTGTATGAAATCAGCATTTAAAACAAATGCCTTCCATTTATAGCGATGAATAATATAACATTTGTTACACAGAACTACACTCCCTCATTCCTTGAGTTTAAAATGCTTTAGGGACAAATGTACTTTTTTTCCTGGATGAGAAACTTTTTATTAGATTTGATGGACCTGTTTTTTTTTCTCCATATAATACTTTTTTATTAAGTGGGTGTATACTGTAGCGTCAAACTGTTTAGTAATGATTTAAAAGGTGAAAAGTGATGATAATACAGGACTTAAGGCTCAGTCTACCGAAGCTCAGGAAAATAAAAACACCATTTGTCAAGTTTTTAAGGGGTTATTCAGGACTTTCTTACAGTAAACATTTATAATGAACCCTGTTTTGCAAAACACTGAATCAATCAATTCTAAATCTGCTGGTCAATAACATGTTATTAACTGTCTGGCTATTTGCTATTTAAGTTTTACTGCAGGAAATACAATGTCTACTGCCTCAGAAGTACTAAATTGCAAAGTGTAATTTTGACCCCTTTGTTTCCTCTGTCTCTTGCTGACTTGCACACTCTTATCTTGGTTTCTTCTACAGAGAGATTTCTCCTAATAAAGATTGAGAACTGTTTCCTCTGTCTTATCGGCTTTGTGCTCACTCTAATTAACAAGAAACTATGATTTCAGATTTTAAAGTCCCAGTAGGACCTGAAGCCTCGGTGGATGGATGGACAAGAGGAGGAACTATTGAGGTAAGTCTCCAAATCTCTAAAGTTTTAGCGACTTAGATGACATGGAAATACTGCAGACTGAGATTAAACAAGTAAACACAAACTATAGTTTTTCATTCAGTTAGATTCAATTTCTTTGTCTTGGCATCAAAATAATCGAACCAAAAGTTTTAAGTGATAAAAAGATTAAACAGGAAAGAAAGAGAAATCTACAGAATGGGGAAAAATAAGTTGAACAACTCACAAACAATCACATGGTAAATATCTGCTTGTTAAATCAATCACTGCACTGATTGTTATTGAGATTTAAAAGAAGCCTACTAAATGAGGTGGAAAACCCATTAGCCTAGATAAATGATTGGTGCAGCTGTTTTCCAGGGGCGTGGCATTCCCCCATCATTATATGTAATTAGCAACCCCATGCACTCACAAAATCTTGGACTATGATTGGTATTTGCCTGTCAGAGGTGGGGCATTTGTTGAAATCAATAGATGTTTACAAATTATTCCTAGTCTGGCATCACCAGACCAGTTCACTGTGACGAATGGGACTGGATCCATTGGATTCATTACTTATACTGAAATGAGGAATGAGGAGCATCTTGTTATTTGTACCTAATGTTTTGGCATCACATTGTTACATATATTAAGACTCTAAAAGACTGAGACTTTAAAATACCACAAAGTGGCTGACTAAACCAACAATCTTATTTTCTGTACAGCTATGACTTTAATCATGTAACATAACTAAAATATCGTGGTATAACTTTGCCATGACTTTACACTCATGAATATGATGTTAAGTCATAACACTATGAGCTTATTGTCATAATGTTATGACTTAACATTAACTCAATCTAATATTTTGACTTTATTGTGTTTTTATTCTCCTTATTTAACTTTATTTTTTTAACACAGACTTGATTTTCTTGCAACTTTACTGCGGTGACATAATGTTTTTCCCAAAATCTTTTTTTTTTTTTTTTGGCCCTAATACTCCATCATGGTATGTTGCTTTAAATAAAGGAGCATCACTGTTAATTTCAGCGTTTTTAAAGTGATATTCCAACGTACAACTAATTTAGGGTCAAACACACCGTAACACCGAGTTAGACACCCCCTCCAGAGATGAATGTTAAGGACTGTTTGCTTCTCAGTTCGTAATGGACTCTCCCAATGTCTGGCTACAAACAAGCAGCTGCTGGCAGAGAGTGGGCGAGTTGTGTTTAGTCTCTATGCTAAAGATTTTAGGCAAAGTTAAAAAGATGCTTGGTCGCTAGGACCCTTCATGTACTGTTGATTAAGTTAGGTGCTGTTCTGAGCATTATTCGTGGTGTTTTGGTTGAGCGTGTGGCTCTCTATTGCTATCTGCGGTCATTACTAAAGTTGGTTTAACTAGAGAAGCAAGCGGTCAGCAACATTCATCTCTTGAGGGGGTGTCTAACTCAGTGTAACGGTTTGTTTGACCCTAAATTAATTTTACACCGGAATATCCCTTTAAGTAAAGAAGCATTACCATTAATTTCAGCTTTTTATAATAACAAACAAAAACTCCTTACTAGAGCTTTAAAGTGAATTAACTCAGAACTGAATTGCTGCCTCATTAACCAGAGTTATTAATGATTATTTGAAGCTTTATCCAGTCTTAATAAACTAGTCCACTTTGTCTTTGTTCCATGTTGTGTGTGTGCAGTATCTCATACAGGATGTGTGTGTTGTATAACCCTGCGCACAGCCCAGACACACCACTAGATGACAGCACTGTCTAACCAATTACCCTGTAAAAAAATAGCAATATTCCCAACTCCATATCGCAGGCAAGGATGTGGACTGTCCCTTCCTGTTTTAGTGCTGAGAGAGCCACCGTACCGACTCACACTGGAGCAGGAATACAGACACTCACAACGCGATTATGTCGGGATTTTTGCCCCGCTTGTCCACCACACGGAGCCGTCTTTCCCACCGTGGAGTGTGCGGGTTTCTGTATTAGCCAGCGCTGTTATGTTATTCCACGGGTAGCTGGTAACATAGCAGGCCTGTTTATTTCGCTGCCAACCCTTGTTCGTTTGCCGTGTCAATGACTGTCCTCCCCTCACTCCTTCATGGCGGAGACTAAAATCATATATCACATAGACGAGGAGGAGACCCCGTACCTTGTCAAACTGTCCGTTTCTCCGGAGAAAGTCACATTAGCGGATTTTAAAAATGTCCTCAACAACCGACCGGTCAACAGCTACAAATTCTTCTTCAAATCCATGGACCAGGATTTCGGGTAAGTAGCCACCGTCTGTGCGTATTTATTCTTATTAGCTGGCTCACTTGCTGTTTATTGTGCGTGTACGAGGAGCTAATTACGCGCCGTGATAAACGATAATGGCTGTATCATTGTTACATGTGCGTAAACTACAGCGCCCGTGTCTGTTTCCACGCTGCTCCTGGCACCTGCTCATTATTGCAGGGCTCCACTGTGCGCAGTGGAGGAGACACACGAGTGTTTGAAGTGATACCAGATCCGTCCAGAGCCCTAATGACGCAGCCCCGTCCGGATTACACACAGACAGACCCCTGCTCCCCTTATTACTGCCAATATATTAACCCAGATTAAAGCCAGGGAGTGTATTAACCAAGTGGAGGAGAAATACGAGCGCAGTGTTGACAAAAGCATCCACATCTTCAAGTTCACAGCTTGTTTTGTTTTTATTTATTTCTATTTATAAAAAAAAAAAAAAAAAGAAAATCCAGGAAAGGTCTCAAGAGATTATAAATCACAAGCATGATTTCATCCTATCCTCTCTCTGTTTGTGTAATAGTGCAGAAGTGTGTCTCACACAATGGACTGGAGGTGAATCCCAGGGGAATATGGCAACCACAAGACAGTGTTTGTGATCATGAGAGTCTTGTAAACACATTTGGCATTTTATCACCTCAGAGGAAAAGCTCTATCAACCTCTCTTTGTTCCCTTTACGCATGTTTTCCTAACAAATGTTGAGTTATGTGTGTTTTTTTTTATAACATTTATGCTGAAAAAATGGTTTTAAATTCTTATTTTTTCTTCCAGCAGCAACATGGAGGTTAAACGACGCACCCTAAAATTCAATCCCTTATCCATCGGGCTATTTTAATTTGCCTTTTTGAAATTTAATAAATGCAAACGCCTTGGCCAAAGAGATTTATTTATATATTTATTACACTAACGGCCATATTTTAACAGCTGACTGAGTTATAGCAATAGTAACAGGAAAAACAGACATTTTCATATTTAAATTTGTGGCACGGGGACAAAGTTTTAAGAAATACTGCTGCTCCCACCGCTATTACTGATATTAAATAGTGACTTATTATAAAAATATGATTTAAATTGTCAAGGCCTTTTCAAGCTCAGAGGAAGGAGTTGTTTTTATTGACGCACAAAAACGATTACAAATGTCTGATTCGAAAATAGCAACCACAAAATCAATTAATATACATTACAGCTTTTCATCAGACTACATCATGTGGTTGGACTACAGTGGAAAATGAGTTTAACAGCAAATATGTGCCACTTAGCTGTAAAAATAAGTGACTAGCTGACTGAAGAGGGCTTCATCATCTTTGTCTTACATTGAAATGTGGACTTATGATGAGGAATTTGTCCACTCTGTATCTCATGAGATACTTTTAAAGGTGGATTTTTACCTCAGAGAGTCTGAAGCAGCACCTCTCCTTCACCGGAAGCCAGGCTTTATGAATAATAGAAGTATTTCCTGCCTCTTTTTTCTTCTTCCCATCCTGATTTTCAGGACTTACACCGAAGCTCTCCAGCTCTCTTGGTCAGTGAGATCTGCATGTATCCCTCCTCTGCTGAGGGTGACATATTTCTGTCAGTGCCTGTTTCTCATTCCAGTCTGATCAGTCATACATGGGCCCACACACACACACACACACACATTAATATCTGGCACTGTAACAGCAAACATGATTGGAGGAAATGCAGAGGCAGGCCCTGTCTTCAGAGCCAAACGTCATACATTTCCACTGCAGCCTGACCTTGTGGGGGAAACCGGCCCTTCCTGGTGGCTGGAGAGGCTCTGTGCGCCGCTTTGTCCCCCAGCCCCGGCTTCCTGCCTCTGTTGCAGTGCAGGCCGGGTTGCTCGCAGGGCCTCAGGTGATCGGCAAGCAGATTATGGAAACAAACAAAGCATGTTTGCCTTCTCCACATGGAGACGTGGCCGAAAACACAGCTACAGTAGGCCAACCTGCTTCTGCATGTGCATCAACAAAGCGTTTTAAATTATAATGTGAATTTGGACATTGTCAAAAGACTGTAAAGCCATTATAGATAGATGATAAAGGCATCTCCCTCAGCAACGCCAGCCTTTGAGTTAAGGTTGAGTATTCAGGCTGTGTGAGTGCCGTATGGTACTGGCACAGTATGGAAGCAAACCCAGTCAAAGGCAAAGAGGATAGCTCGCTTTGTGGTAGCCATGCTGGCTCTGCTGCATCCACACAGACAGTATGGCTGCTGGAGAATTAGCTGGGGAGGAATAAGACTGCTGAGCAGAGAGGGAAAACATCAAATCCCTTGCAGTTATAGACAGTGTTTGAAATGTAAATGAGCAGTCAGTGCAAGGTCCTCTGTAGTAGACCCCCTGGTGTGCTAGAAAAACCAGCCATTTTCTTAAGGGATTGCTGAACTACATTCATGCTCGTAGTATCAGCTCTTTAAGCAACGGCCGCACCAATTTGATAAACGCTTTGCCCCCCAAACGACTCGGCTTACTGCGGAATAATATGTGCAAAATGTAACCACGGACTGAGGCATTTCTGTCACACAACAGGGCACCACAAATCAAACAATCAACGTTTCTTTGTGCACATTTCATACCTCAGTTGTTTTCCTTTCCCCGTAATATTCATTCATTCATTCATTCATCCATATTCATAAGACACGATGCTAATTGAGACGGGGTTGTTTGGAGGCAACCCACTTGGCTTTTTCGGAGACTTCAAGGTGATGATACGGCGCTTTGTGGTTGCCACTGGTGGTGAGTGGGTTTGAGACTTCACTATAATGCAAGTCACAGAGGCACTGTGGAGCTGAGGAAGCAGCCAAGCTGCAGGTCTGAAAGGAACAGGCTTGTTTGTGCCTTAGAAAAGTGGGGAGAGGGGGCAGGGGTACTGGGGATCTTTCTCCTGCTGAGGATGTGATCCTAAGCCCCTGTAGGACAGAAAAGTGCAGATTTTTGCAGAAATCCTCTCCTTGCTTTTTCGATTTTGACGGATTTTGAAGGTTATGCACCTTCTAGAGCCTCTGCATGAACAAAAGTGTCTCTCATTGTCAGATAGCGACTTAAAACTCTCAACCTTTGTCGTTGTAATGTTGTTGACATCCCACAGTAACAGCTAAAAATGTGACATCAACAGCCTGTCTGCTATTTTTAAAAGCTTTCAGGTGGTTCAGGTTGGATTCAGCCGGTCAGACGTGGTGTGACATAAAAGTCTATCTTATTTACCTTCAAATATTTTGCTATCCTGTTTATAGTATCGTTCACATCAGTCCTTGGACTCGAGGCTGGACTGGGCCGGCTGCTCCTTTCCCCCCCTGGTCTCTGGGTTTAGGCTGTAACTAGCCAGCCCTCCCATGTCTCTCAAAGTGAAAACAAACACATCTAATCTTCCCACAGCTACACAAATATCCAGCGCAGTGGAATATTCGGCGATCACCAGGGTAAATCTTGTGTCATTATCCTGTGAAATCTGTTAAGACCTATTTAAGCTGTCTGCTCTAAGAAGTCAGATCTGTGACAGCGGCCCACACCAGACACATGCTCCTCTAAACAGGGCTTATGAGGGAGGGTGTGTGTGTGTTCAGGGTGGAACTTAGAGTGCTCCCGGTATCAGATCTGAAAAGAATGAGGACCACGGGTGTTTCGCCACATGATGAAGACGTCATCTGTTATGATTGGAGTTTTGTTTTGCTCCTTTTGGTTTCGGCTTCTGTAACAGGCTGAAATATTTTCAAAGGCTTTATCCGCACACGTTCATCCGAAAGCCGTGAAATTACTGTGAAATTTAAATCAACAAAGCTAACCTCTTTCCTGTCCAGGATTAGCAAGATGTCTCTGCGCTGATACTTTATTTGTACGGACCACTCCCTCATCCTCATAATTCACCTTACAGCTGGCCGTGCAGCCTGAGCAAGAGGATACGAACACTTCCTACCTAACAAGCAGCCGGCAGAGTCAAACCCCTCTCCTCCTTTCCTCCCTTTTCCTCCCTAAGGAGGAGGAGGAGGAGGAGGAACAGGCCGCAGAAGCAGCAGCAGACTCTTAGGCCGTCAGCTCTAGCCACAAGGCTACGTTATCTCCGTCCACCACTCCCAGCATTACAGCTCCCACAGCAGCAGCGGCAGCAAAGCACACAAAAACACAACTAGCCTGGCTAATCATTTCAGTAGCAGGAAAGTTCTGGCAAACAAGAAGTGAGAAGCGGGGAGGGGGGGGCTATAAAGTAGCTGTCAGATACACCCCTGCTCTAAATCTTCTTAGGCCTCCACGTTGCTCTAAAGTCATGCCTCTCCCTTTTTTCATGTTGCATGTTCAAAGCCAAGAAGCTAATGTGAGATCTGCGCAAAGTCTCAGAAACGCTTGGATGTACCAATCCTGGGGAGGAAAAAAAAAACAAACAATGAGCGGAAAGTTCAAACTGCTAAGTGCATCAGGGTGTCATATTCAGAATAAGACTCTCGTACCTGCTCTAGAAGCCAGCTAGCTCCGGGCTCCGTCTGTGTGACACGGGCCGAGCAGGTGTTGTGGCTGCTTTCTGCTGAACTGTGTCCCGGCAGGTCAAAGGTTAACTGGGAGGTATTTTTGTTGGGAATTTACAGCCAAAGACGAACTCAGTGAGGGACGTTCACACACTTGATCTCTCTATTAATACATGCTACTGTGTCTTGACACCCTGTTGTCACGGCTCAACTCACTCAGAAGTGTTCATTTATCTATCTCTGCGGCAGGAATATTAAAGAGCACCGCATTAGCACCTGCACCGGGCTTCAGGAAGATTAAGAGCTAATGTAAGATAAAACTGATTACTTACTAGCTTCACACACCATGAATTGACCTGTCAGAGGGAATTAGGCCAGAAGAATTAGTACAATCTGTGAAATCCTTTAAAAAACACTTTTGTTAACAGGCATTTGGGAGAATAAGCAATTAAAAAAGGTTTTTGCAGCTCCTGCGTCTCAACTTCTAGGCTGTAGTTCTGTTTGTGCCCTTAAATTAGCTGTTTGGCAAGCAACTAGTGCTGTCAACAAACATAAACAAACATATTGATATATACCTCGGGGACAGTTTTAGGAAGGTGGTGAAACAGTTTCTTTTGAGTCCTGTGCTTTTACAATAACTCTCATGCATCCTGATTTAATAATCAAATGTCTTTACCCTCCTAAGGGACAGCATATCAAATCTGAAACACTTAAGTGTCTAAGCTGCAGCACCCGGCCAAGGCTGCAGCTTCGGTTAATTCGGCTACTGCCAAAAACGCCAAAATGCTTTATTACCCTGATGCATGCAGGTGACAGATGGGATCTCGTGGCAGAAAGAACGAAGTCTTGAGACTGGATCCAAAATTAGAAACTGTTTCAGGTGATTGAATCAAAAGTGGGGACTGTTCCAGAGCCGGGACGCCTTCGCTCGATCTTTTTCTGACCGTAATTTTGACTCAGGAACAGTTAGCAGGCCTGAATGCTGCTTGTCTAAGAGGTCTTCTAGGTGTGGGCGGTGTGCTTGCGCTTGGATGCTGAGGTGTTACAATAATTTAGAGGAGAGGAGATAAAATCATGGATAACTTTTTCTACGTTGACCTAATTCCGAAAATGTTGCCAAGCTCATAAAAACAAGACTGAAACATGATCAAAACTCAGATCACTGTCAAAAATGACTCTTAAATTTCACATTTTGTCTTGAATATTTGGAAACTAGAGGGCTGAGCAGCGACTGGATCTGTTTGTGGAGGTTGTCAGGAGCAATAATGAGCATTTTTGTTGCGTCTGGGTTTAATTGCAGCAATTTTCCAGTGTTTAACATCAGTTTGGTATCCAGTTTATTATATTTGGAAGATTTAATAGAGAGATGATATGACCTAAAGGAAGCATATATGGAAAGAACAGCAGTGGACCGAGTGTTGAGCCTTGGGGTACTCCATATGTCATAAATACCACACTTTTGTTACCTTCTTCTGTGATACTACTTTCACTTTTTCTTCCCACCAGTGCTCTAAAAATAACAATTTAAATCTACAAGATGTACTTGTACAACTTGTATTCCCTCATGCAAACTGATGTTAAAGTCATACATTGCGTTCTGTCTTTGTGAAGCTCACAGTGTTGTCTGTGTGTTGCGGTGGGAATCTGTCAGAAAGGTGTTTGAGATAAGCCTCAAAGTTTTGGAGCTCAAGTTTGTCATTTACATCCGTTCAGTTCTGGCTGTGAGCACGGATAGAGAGATTACGTTATAATCCCAGAGGGTAAATTAAAATGTCAAAGCAGTCAGTGACTTTTAGACTAAAATAAAAACGGGCTTTTTAGAAAGAGGACACGGATACATACATGGAAGAAAAACTTGTGCGAAGTTGAACCAAAGTTGACCTTGTGTGACTGTCATGTTGGTACAGAAAAAGGGCAAAAGGTAACAGTTAAGATGCTCATACTGATAAAATAACAAGATATTTATTTGTATAATAATTGTTTATAACAGTATGAAGTTGGTAAGCATACAGTCCAAAATGAAAACAGGTTATGTCTCGTCTTTGCTGGGATTTAAATCTCTGCCAACATTATCTTCCTGTCAATCTATAGATACTGATTTATGACCCCATCCTCACCAGGTGGAGCAGCTCTTATCGCTTTATGTTTTGTGTTTTTTGACGGATATGACGTTCATAAATCACTAACAGACACTCAGGGTGTCATCGCTGCTGCTCTGCGGGTTAACCTGGGCCAAACTTCAAGAATTCAAACCTGGTCGAAAGCCAGGCGTCAAATGTGTCTGAGAAAGTGTGTCAGTATGTGTCAACTTGGCAGGAGGAGTAAAGTGTCTCCAGGCTGTACCGGGCTGTTGTGCTGTTGATCTGACTCTCTGTCCCTGTCCTGGCCAAGCGAACCTGACTGTATCTGTCCGTCTGCTCCCCAGGGTCGTCAAAGAAGAGATTTCCGATGACAACGCCAAGCTGCCGTGCTTCAACGGGAGAGTAGTGTCCTGGGTAAGTGAGATGAATGGTGCGCACCCTCCCCTCCTCTCTCCTGGCCGCCTGCCTGAACTGCGCAGCCTCGCCTCTCTTACTAAAGATATGTTGAGCACTCATGGATCATGTAAATGCAGCCATGCAACGCCTCCGCACAGCTTTTAAAACACACTTCACCTTGATGTCTCCACTGGGCTGTATCATATAGGTGTTAGCGATTTCCATTAGATATGAAACTTGGCTTCAGTTACAAAAAAACACAACTAGAAGTACTACTTAAATCAGGAAACACTAAACCTTGTAATGTAGCCCATCTGATGCTCCATTACTCCAATCGACTTCTGCTGATATGTAGTGGTTTGTAATTATGGAAGATAAACAGCGCGGAGAGCCCAGGTTCCCCCTCTGGGACATTAAACATGTTACATGTTGGGATCAATCCATCATGTTAGAGGAGATTTACATTTGAATCACAGTTGTATCATAACGCAGACTGAACCGAACTCACAGGTTAGTGCGCTGCCTCTAAACATCGACCAAAGACTCAGAGAACGGACGTGTAAATCAGTTTGACAGGTTTAATCTCGTCATTGGCTTTTTGTCCGTTTTTGTTAACAGTCCTGCACTTAAAAATTAGACTTTATTGATCTCCGAGGGGAAATTCATTAGTTAGCTCGCCTGCCCCCCAAAGGGAGGTCATAGGTCAGAATCAGTGTCACTGTGGCAGCCATAGAGTAGTTAAAGACTGTGCTGCTCGATATGACTTAATCAGTGTCAGCGCTCTTAGCTCTAACTGTACCTGAAGGGGCCTCGCTGTAAATAACAGCAACCCAACAACCACATTTACACATTTTTAAACCTTATTCTTATTCAACTTTCATAGATATATTTATTATTTGTCTCCTGTGTACAATATTTGCATACAATTCATTAGCATTTATGACTCTCCAAGGCAGGATTGTGAGTTTGCAGACTCCATATTTTCACATCTTACTTGTAAGTCCAAATTCTACATCAGTAGCTCCTTGAATCTCTCTAAACCAGGCCATTCCCTCTTTGAAGACACTTTTTTGACTGATTCAGACGGAAACATTCATGTTTAGACTTTTGCTTTCAACTTTATTAAAAAAAGTGAACAGGATTTAATGGTCTTTGATAGCTGTGCAGCAGTAATCCAAAAGCAAATACGCAAAGGTATAGAGTTTGATTACTCTAGTTTTGATTTATTACAATTGAAAGGAATACTATTTTGATTGAACGAATCAGTATTTTTGTGCAGCAGCATAACAAACAGAAAAGTGATTTTGATATGACGGTCTTGACGTGCGTCTCGTGTTTTGTCCATAAATGTGAAAATGTTGTGAATACAATCATTGTCTCTGTTTTAGAGGAATTTTTAGCTGCTGATAAAGCGAATGGAAATTCACAGAGATGCCTCTTTTTGACCCACAGAAGCAAACTCGATTATTAAAAAAGGAGGTTCAAGTTTTTAAAAGTTGTAGCTGCAGAAAGAGGCGATTAACTGTGTAGTAAAGAAAATAGTTTTTGACCTTCCCCTCAGCGAATACTCATGATGAGTGACTGTGAGAAAAAGCAGGATGGCACTTTTTGAGAGACAACATGATTAACGTTTGTCAAAGATGTCCACAGGGGGCGCCAAAATCAACATAGAAAGTTCAGGAGATCAGCTTTAAAACTTTGAAGATATGATAAGAAGTTAATAGTTAAAATCCTGTAAGGAACTTTTTCTCTGTGTAGATTTATCTCGCCTCGTTCTCTTTTTACTTTAAAATTTATGACTCATTGTAAGCATTACCAGTCGGGAAATTAGCAAGGACAGTTTTTTTTAGCAAACCTACCCATTCAAGGTTATTTAAAATTACTGTTATTATATTATTTTCACTTTTGAACAAAAATAAATAGGAAATGATGAAAAAAAAACAGCAGAAACCTGAATTTAGAGAAATAAATAACAGTACTGCTCTGATCTGACATATTGGAAGATCGAGTTTCCACTATTATTCGTTGATCCTTTAGGAGTAGAATTTACATCGAGAGGATGTATTATTTTCCTAATCAAAGTCTTCTTAGAAAAATGGAGGTAGTGTTCGATCTAAAGAGAACAAGGTCAGTTCTTTGTATACCTGGAGGTATTGAGGTATTTTTCCCTCATAACTCTGTCAAATCAAAGTAGTAATTCCTTTTTTCCTGTAAAGCCATTTTCTATTAAAGTGGATAACTAAGGACCGGAGTGAAATCTGCTCCTTCATAATGGGTTTCACACAGAGAGCCTGTAAGCTCACACCAGACGTGGCACGCAGACACAGGAGGTGAGGAAGTAAAATGAAGGGAAAAAATCCTTTAAAATCTTTGAAATGGAGCAAAAAAAAAGGCTCATTTTAGTTCATTTAAAAAAATCTCATGGCACTGAAGTGACGTCTGAGACTCGGAGAGCTTGCATTAGAATAATCGCGGCTCATACCGTTGTTAGTCTGCATGGCTGTCTACTTTAAAGTTCATTATTCTGTCTGAGATGAAAGCAGAGTGCTCGTACCTACAGGTTATTGTACATCATCTTTTGTACCTCGCAGTCGTCTTCAAAGTTTCCCCGCTGCTTGCCGTGTTTCTCAAGTTATTTCTGAGCAGCCACTAGTCATCTGTCGTCCTTTTTAGCATCTCGTTTTGTAGCTTTCCCCCCTCGTGTGTTTCAGCTCTCAGGATGCATCTTGTGCCCGCACCAGTATTTGTGTTTGTGTGTTGATGCTGTTTTTGATCTTCTCTCCTCACAATGGGGCCTCTGTCACTCAGAAAAAAAAAACATTTATCATAATTTTCTGCTCCTCTGTCTGAATCTTTTCTTTTTTTCTCTCCAACTTTTCTCTCCCACAGTTGGTCCTAGCGGAGAGCGCCCACTCTGATGGAGGATCTCAGTGTACGGAGAGCCACCCGGAGCTGCCCCCTCCCCTGGAGAGAACAGGGGGCATCGGAGACTCCCGCCCCCCCTCTTTCCAGTGAGTAGGCTGTCATGTATGCACAGTTATATAGGGTGCCGTCTGTAAAGCAGCCCATTATGAAAACAACAGCAAGATTTGGTCACATTTAGCTTCAAACAGCATTTACAAAAGTGATGTGAATTTTCGGCAGTCATTTTTTTGCACATTTACAACAACATTTAAATACTAAAACTAAATGTTAAATGTTAAATGTAAATGTGTTGAGCAAAACTAAATATTTAGCTAATATGCAAATTCACGGTCGGAAACCGGAAGTGCCAAAATAAAAGCTCCAGAAGGTCATATTGATGATCCTTGTGTCGAAGAAAACGAATTAAAACCAATTTAAGGGGGGAACAAATACTCGGGGTGATGTTTCGTGTTAATAACTACTTACAATAGCAAGCATGTGTGTGTGCGTGTGTTCGTACAGTGTCCGCGCCACACGGAGAAGCGACACTGAAAACTCGAGTCTTTCTAATAAAGTTTTTGTTGTTACTGTCGCTATTGTAGGTAGTTATTAACACGAAATGTCACCCCAAGTATTTGTTCCCCCCTTAAATTGGTTTTAATTCGTTTTCTTCAACACAAGAATCATCAATATGACCTTCTGGAGCTTTTATTTTGGCACTTCCGGTTTCCGACCGTGAATTTGCATATTAGCTAAATATTTAGTTTCGCCCAACACAGTTAGATTTAGCATTTAACATTTATATTTATATTTAACATTTAGATTTAACATTTATATTTAGATTTAACATTTAGATTAAAGGTATATATATTTAACATTTATATCTAAATTTAACATTTAGATTGAACATATATATTTAACATTTATATTTAGCATTTAGATTTAACATTTAGTTTTAGTATTTAAATGTTGTTGTAAATGTGCAAAAAAATGAAATTCACATCACTTTTTTAAATGCTGTTTGAAGCTAAATGTAACCAAATCTTGCTGTTGTTTTTTATAATGGGCTGCTTTACAAACGGCACCCCATACAGTTACACACACATACATGTACGCAGATTTGACCTCTTTATTCCATGTGTGCGCTAATCAAGTTTTTCAGTCCTATGGGAGATGTAGGTGGTCTATACGCTCGAGTGTGAAAAAGCCATGAAGTATGTGCTAAAGCTCGAACATGCATGGGTGTGAGTAGTTTTCCCACTTGAGTGTGCGTTCCCTCTCGCCCACTCAAGCATAGAGTAAGGCGTTAGTCCGCTCGTCTATGTAAACATGATGCGTACACCGCCGCCGCTGCTGCTACTGCTGCTGATTCTTGAAATAGCCTCCACAGCACAAACATCTTCAGGCAAATACTGGCACTCAGTGAGGCACCCATTGTGTTCAGCCCTCTCAGAGCAGTCATCCACACTCGGATAATAAAGGCACATGCGTCATAAAAAAAACACAAACAGGTCAGAAAATGTAGTTTTTCTTTTTGCTCTTTACCTGAGCCTGGACTTAAATTTCAGCTGCCAGATTAAAGAGTCTGACTGCAGTAGCTGAGAAGTCCAATGCTAAATATAGCTGTTAGTGCTGGGGGCAGTGGGGGCGAGGGTTGTTGCCATTACAGCGTGAGAGCAATATGGCCGAGGCTCTATATTGAGAACATGCAGTCTGTCATGTCTGAGTGTATCTCTTTATCCAGGGTTTGACATCTCAGCTCGCTTTTGCCCTCTACGGGCCGCTCCCTGCTGCTCCCCTGTCAGCTGTCCTCATGGTTTTATTGTTCCTGGTCAGCTTTCGCTCCCGCTACCGCCACCTTGTGGAGGAAGAGAACACCACGCCGGCCCCCTCACCCCCGACGTCACATCCCCTCCTCCACCACCTCCTCCTCCTCCTCCCTTTCTCTCTGCTTCTTTGAGTGAGGCCTTTCTCTCAGAAACAGCGTGCTGAATTCCCTACAGCGAACCTCCTCTCTTTCTGAAATGAATCCAGTCTTCCTCCCTCTTCCTCTCTCTGTAAATGGGGAGAATATTATTACCACTTCATTTGTCTTTGTGCTTTATTCATGCATTTCATGTGTTTGTCGGCGTGAATGGCTCTATTTGATGAGCGCACAGAATAGGTGTTTTGGGCTGAGAATGGACACAACTGATGTGCCTCTGCCTGGTAATCCGGATTAACAGACATTAAAAGCGCCCATCTCCATTTCCCAAGAGGGAGGGGGGAGGCGGCAACTGGCAGCAGAGAGGAAGGTGGTGATGGGGAGGGGGTAAGGGGTTGAAAAGGGGGTGGCATTTGTTCACAGCTGCAGCCCTGCGCCTCGGATAATCTCCTCCAGGATCAGGAGAGCTGCCCGCCCGCCCGCCTGGTCAGCAGCCATCGACAGCCTGACAGTCAGTCAACACAGCATCAATCAATCGGCACTCTGCTCCCCCATCACTGCGCCCTCGCTCGTATTTGCACACACGCGGTGACCTGCGCCTGGCCCAGGTGCACCCATTAGCACTCTGCAGCAGAAACGTGTAAGCACGCCTCATTGAGCATTTTATCCCGCTGAGTGAACACGGCCAACACAGCGTCCTGTCCGCGCCGGTGTTTTTAATTTACATTGATCATCCACACTCTGACCATAAGGTGTGTAATTAAACTGTTTGTTGCAGTATTCAGCCGTTTTCCCCCCCCTGATGCTATAAATCACAGTATAGTAGAAAAATACTCTCTTTACTCCACTACCCTTTGACAGGATATATGAATGTATGAAATTATGACTGTGTGCGACCAGAGTGATTCACTTTACAGCACAATTACACGCATGGAAAGATAAACTCAAAAATAGATACAAGGTTTGAGAGATTAGAATAAATGTAGCTTTACAATTTATAATAATATAAAAAAATGGACAAAATTATATTTTTATCAAAAAGATTTTAAAGGGATATTCCAGCGTAAAATTAAATTAGGGTCAAACACACCATAAAACAGAGTTAGACACCCCGTCGAGAGATGAATGTTAGTAACGACCTCAGATAGCAATAACCAGCGATCTGAGGAGCCACGTGCTTAACCAAAACGCCACTCTATAGCCACAAATAATGTTCAGAACAGCTCCTAACTTCATCAACAGTACATATAGGGTTGTAGCCATAGCACTTGCCACCAAACATCTTTTTAACTTTGACTAATTTTTTTAGCAAAGGGCCTAAACACAACTCACCTACTCTCCTCCAGCAGTCACTTGCTTGTAGCGGGGTGACGCAGCTCAAGGAAGAACATTTATGATCATTTCCTTGAAGTAATAATCATCATATTAATCATTTTGCACTGCAGACGCGGTAGTTCTTCTGCCTTTGCGTCTCAGTCTGATTACATTTCCATGAAGAAATGATCATAAATGTTCTTCCTTGAGCTGCGTCACCCCACTGTAGTCCGTAATGGACTCGTCCAAGGTCTCCGTACAAACAAGCGACTGCTGGAAGAGAGTAGGTGAGTTGTGTTTGGTCTCTTTGCTAAAGAAATTAGACAAAAATAAAAAGATGTTTGGTGTCTAGTTCTATGGCTCAGACCCTATATGTACTGTTGATGAAGTTAGGTGCGGTCGGCAACATTCATCTCTCCATGTGGTGTCTAACTCTGTGTTACGGTGTGTTTGACCCTAACTTAATTTTATGCCGGAATATCCCTTTAAAGATTTAAATTTTGTGTGACAGATCAAAACTCTCTGAACTCTTTGACAGAGGATAACATGTCCGTCAATCTCTGCAGGATGATGTTTGTGTTTGAAACACTCTGAATATGACTCTGTTTGTACACCATTTGAACATGCATGGTTGCACCTTCACGCACATGCAGTTATTTATGCAGGTGTGAGGTGCGTGTAGCACTTCTGCTCAAGTGTGTTTGACACCCTGACAGTGTTGAGCAGAGTTCTCACCAGCTTCAGGTTTCCTCGCTGCCCGGTGGCTGTGTGAGTCCTTTTACCCCCGCACCCCGGGGCCACAGCTTCTCCAGCCCTCTGACAGAATAACAATCTGCCCTCCAGCACCTCCAGAGCCCCCCTGACTCCTCCTGGACCCCGAGTACACAGATCAGCTCATTGCTCGGCTCACACCTGATCTGCCACTTCTCGCTTTTTTTAATGCAATCTGTCATTCTCCTCTTCTCCCGATCAAGCTGCAGGCACCATCTGGGCTTTCAATAGGTCTCATTAATACCAGTATTGTCCGGAACTGCTCCCTCTCAGGGTATCTGGTCATTAATGACACTTAGCGAAAAACACATCACATACCCCAGAACAATGAAACTGCTATTCTGGCTGCAGGGATTGAATTTGAAACATGGTCGCAATATGAGCTGCATATTCCCCTCAGGCTGAATGGCAGGCAAACAGATAGTATAACAGACAAGAGCGGATTGTAGCTGGGGAGTTTGTTCGGGAGTTAAGGAGGCTGGAGAATTAATTTCAAAGACTTTCTGTGACAGAGACATGTGTTTTGTACGTTATTGTGGATGTGACTGAAGTTTTTCCGATGTGTGTGTTGCAGCGCCAATGCGGTGAGCAGCAGAGACGGCCTGGACACCGAGACGGGGACCGAGTCTCTCCTGAGCCACCGCCGAGAGCGAGAGAGGGAACGTGCGCGCAGGAGAGCCAGAGAGACTGAGCGTGAGTGTGTTATCAACCCGGAGCAGATGGGCCTTAAAAAAATGCAATTATCCTGTCATTTTCAACTTATTACTTTTCACTCCGAGTCTTCACAGCGAGGCAAAGGTGGACAGAAAGGAGGCATGTATCAGAAAGAGACGAACCCTCAGGGATCACATGTTGAACTTTAGCTGCATGAGACCCAAAAGCACGAGTTTTTCAATCTCTGCGAAGAGTCGGGGAAAGTGAACAAGTTCATTCTGTGTCAAAGTTTCAGGAATTTACCGTCTTGCCTAATAATTCCCATCTTCTGTTTCCTGCATGTGGCTCAGGTTTATGGTCAGGGGCTGTTTTCCACTCGGTAGTCACACTCCAGCCTTGTAGGATGATTATACGCTGTCAGAGGAGAAGAGTGTTTCATGAAGAATCAGAGGAAAAGTCTGTCATTGCTGCAGAGTCGAACAGGAAAAAGAAAATGTCAGGATCTTTATTTTAAAAGCTTTCAATAGCTGCTATCAAGTGCAAACACATCTGCTTTTATTGTTTTGGCATTTGGCTGCAGCGTTTCTAGTAAAATCACTTTGGTAAGAGGAGGGCGAGTTTCTCTCAGCTCTCTCAGATTTTGATAAAAAACCATGTGTGTGCTGTCCATAACAGACAAACTGGGTAAACTGGTGCTGCTGCAGGGAAGGAAGCGTTTGTTTTTATCAGCATCACACTGCTAATAAAGTGAGAAACCCTCTGCAGTCTGTTCCTGCTGTTGGCAAATATTTAAGCAGTTTTGGTCGATTAATGACAGGAAGTAGGAAAACAGCAGCTGCTGCAAAATAAATCATCTTTTTCTGTTTGTTTTTTAGATTTATTTGGAATAACGTAGATGATAACTGGTGAGGGGGATTTCAGAGTGAGACATTTTTTTAGCCTCAGGGTTCCTACACAGTTGGAATTTCCAAACTTCTCCATACCCTACTTTATTTTTGGAAATACCAACTTTTCTATTTTAGAAAACAGTATTTTAGAACTGTGGTGATAGTCAAGAAACATAAATATTTTTCCACAATTTATTTTTCATTTACCATACTTTTTAAGACCTGGAAATTGATCAAATTTATTCCATACTTTTCCATACTTGCGTAGGAACGCTGTAGCCTTTTAAAGTTTACACCCAAACGTAAGACACAATAAATAAACGTATCAAATTAAAGCCGTGAGTATTTTTCCATTCATAAAAAGGAGAATATGTACATTAGTTATTCATTAACCATATGCTAATGAGAGTTGTCAAAACCATATATAGAATGGACGCCGTCTGCCTCCTCGCTGGGTGAAGCCACTCTGAGAACAGCACCCTCTGTTGACGGGCTGTAGTATAGGTCATAAATCCTGCCTCCTCCAGCAATCCCTATGGGGCTGTGGACAAACTTTAGAAATTTATTACACAGAATATAAATGTTTCTCCCCCCTGGTTGCGATGTTGACATGTAGTTACTGTCAGACTGGTTTGTGCTCAAGTCCTCTTTTTTTCTGTGCAGCTCAATTTTTTAAAGTTGTTAGGGGGTTCATTTTCTCTATGATTGACACTTGATGCAGCCTATGGGCGTACGAACATTGCTTTTTGAGCCGAGCGTCATCACAGCAACTCTTGGTGATTGTCCCACCAAATGCGTACAACGCTACTGCGCAATGTTGGTTTCAGGAAATGGAGAAAAAACGTGGAATTACTGAGAACTCTTCGGACTCAAATCTGTACACTGGCAGAAGATGGAACCAAGTCGTCCATAGTATATACAGTCTATGGTTAAAGCATGAGGGGTGCGCAGATTGCTGAGTGGGTTAGTGCACCCCATATTTGGGGACCACGGTCCCTGCAGCGGTCACAGGTCTGAGTCCGGCCCTGACCACGTGCTGCTTGTCCTCCCCTCTATCTCCTCACTTTTCACTCTATCCTATCAATAAAAGGCGAAAAGTTGACTAAAAAAACATGTTACAGCTACTTGCATGTTATTTTGTCCCTTTAAGCACACCATAGTGAACTCTCTGCTGCTTCCTTCATGACACTCTCCACTCTCGAACGGCACATTTCACTCAGAATAACTCCCACACGGCTCAGCTGACATGTCATAAGTAACACACACCGGTGAGCTAAGCATGCAGGTGCAGACTGATACCTGCAGCTGCATCACAGAAGCTAACAAAGCTGTGTGGGAACTGCTACACACACCTATATGTTGAAGAAATGTGCTTTTTGTCATGTGCTGAAGCGTTGCCCTAAAAAAAACAATCAGAGACAGCACTTTGAAGCTGTCTCCTACTTTTAAGACCATTCTAGTGTAGCTGCGCAGCATTTATTTAAATAATAGATCTAAAAGTCAAGATCACAAAGTTTATTTCCACTCACAGGAACTGCAGCTCTTTCTCTCTTCCCTGCATCCTTTCTTCTCTTCACAGAAAACTACCTCTCACTTCCTGCACTCTTGGCTTATTATGCAATTAGTATCAGAGAGCGCAGCTTCAGGATGTAGGAGAAGCGTCTCTGTAGCTGGAGACAGATTTAACTCATCCTGTCAGAATAAACGCATCATCACATCAGTGGATTTCTCCTCCTTCTTTGCATCCTGTGTTTCTGGCTCGGCTGGAGACGTATCATCTGCGCTCTTACCGTCAGATCTGCCGCTGACTGCACATCTGTTGTTTTGCAGGTGATGCTCTCAAACCCTGAGCCTCAATGAACTTAGCGTCTGTGCTCTCTCTTCTTCTGCGTTTATCAGCCTCGTAAAAAAAAAAAACTGCTTCCCCCATCTTCTTTAAGTGGCGTCTCCCCTCGGCTAGCTTGTTAGCTCTAATTAATTGAAACCACTGGGGGAATTGGGTGGATCTCTCTTGGTTTTACCAGCAGTTTTCACAGCTCATAAAGCCCTCTGCTTCACTTAATTTGTGTCGGCTCAGCATTTGCTCTCTCAATCACATGACCTGGATATATAGACATATAAAGGTGGAGCCAGAAGCCCCGCCTCTCTAACCTCACAGCCTGCAGCATCAGCAGCAGCAGCAGGAATTCCCCTGTCACCTTATCCACACGCTCTGAGTGATTTGTCTCGGTGTGAATGCCGCCTGTTTTACAGCGATCGGTTAAAGTGGTAAACGTATCCTGTCTTATTTGTCCGTGTGCTGCAGCGTTTTAAACTGAACGGATGAATGAACAGGTGTAGGATGGACGTACGCAGACTTATATATCCTTTGTGGGCGCCAGGTGTGCTGCATTTAAGCAAAACAAGATCTCATAATCAGTTAAGTGCAGTAGCAGAGAGTCTTTGTTGGTAAAAGAGGAGAAAGCATAGCAGTTTGATAAAGCGTCACGCTGCGGAGCACAGCGGGGATTTTAAGGTCGAGGTCAGAGAAGACATGGTTAAGCCAAAGCACTTATGCTTGTATTAAAGTATTAACACAAAGCGCTAAAAACAGCTGCTGAAACTGTCGCCAAAAGTATCTGAAGGGCTTATTTTTCACTGATGGAAAGCTGCTGGTTTTTAAAAACCCGGAGCTGTTTTTTCACCTGAGGCGGAGACGTGAGAGGATGGTACATCATATGAAATCCTCTGTTTAGGAGAACGCCATCATCTGATTGGTCGAGGACAGATTAGCAGTCATTCTATAGTTGTATGCTGAGGGGGGAGAGAGGGAGGAGGAGATACTTTGTCCTGACTCTCAGTTCAGATTGTCAGTGCGACGGATGAGGACACACTGTTGGCTGCGGTGAGAGAATTCAATTTTTTATGATTTATGACTTTTGATTATGTGAAATGATAATTCAGATTTGGTTTTATGGTTAGCTTGGGGCTTGTGTTTGAGTTAATTGAATATGTATGAGGGAAGTTCCTTAGTGAAAAAAAGGTTTCTTGTTTTGAAAGGAGAGAAATATATAGTCGTAAACTTAATCAACTCCTCCGCTGCTGCTTATCGACTTTATTTGAGAGAAACTGATTTAAAATGATCGACCAATCTTTGGATTTTCGCAGCAGGCTTATGTCTAATCATTTAAAAGTTACACGATCTTGATAACACCTTATCTAAAGTTGTCCATGTGATGCTCTGACTTCTGATTTCCTGGCTGAGCTCAGACTTTTCACTCTGTCTCTGTCACTGCCTCTGTTGTAGATAAGCTGTGACGCCTGTCAGCAGCCAGCCGGTGAGCAGAGAGCGTCTGCGGCTCAGGCTGACTTTAGCACAGCTGAGGCCGAGTGCAGGGACGCACGTTTCAGTCTGGCTCGGTGAACCTGCATGCTCGTCTTCTTCTTCTTTGTTTTTGTTCTGTTTTCTCCGCCGAGGCAGTCACTTGAGCGTGGGAGCGAATATGTCTGAGTGACTGTGGATGTCAGGGCTCTCTGGTGATTGAGTGCTTGTGTGCAGCAGCAGCAGCAGCTCAGCTTTCATAGAAGTGCTCAGTGGGCGGAGCTAACAATGGGAACAACCACATTGCTGGAATGTTTCGCTTGCTCTCGGCGAATTCGCTGGCTGCCACGCCCTCTTCGCCTTATGAGACCTTTCCAGCCAATCCGCTGTCACCCTGAGACAGCTCCACCTCTGCTGCAGTGTACGTATGGAGGCCGACTGAGTGATCCAACACAGCTGAGAAGTGAAATTATCAAGAGTGAAGTGAACTTTGATCCCACAGATCTGCACTCTTAGGCAGATATCACTCTTCATTTCACATCTTCTGCTCAGATAAATCCAATACTTGTGCGATTCCTCCACTCTCACTAACACTGACTCTTCTCCCGGTTGCTCCCTCTCATTCTGATCTGACCCCCTGATGAGCTCCGTGACCCCCCGGGTCTGACTCACTGCTGCTCTGCTCCCTCTCTCTCTCTCTCTCTCTATCTCTCTCTCTCTCTGCAGTCCCTCGCATCAACGGTCACTCCAAATCAGAGCGCACAGCCAGGGACTCAGCCATGGGTTATGACAGCGCCTCGGTAATGAGCAGCGAGTTGGAGTCCAGCTCGTTTGTCGACAGCGAGGAAGACGAGGACGCAAGCAGGTAAAGACCTACCGAGTATGAAAGTGTAGCTCTGCAGTAAAAGCTTTTTTCCTGAGGCTTGAGATAAAAAAGGTCAATAAAGAAGCAGGGTCACACTGAATTCAATCCAGTAAAGTACGCTTGCCTTTATTTCCGATAAATCTGCATTTCTAAAAAGATTGCTTTGCTTATCCATCTCTCAAAAATCAAAATAAGCTCCATTTACGAAGATTTGAAACACATTAAAATGACAAATCTCTCCTATTTTTTCAGCTGGGATTAGTAGAGACTGACGTTTTGCGTGATTGCTTCCTCAGACAAAAATAATCGTCGCTGTTTAATCTTTTTTTAGTTGAAGCTCCTTTGAGCCTTTTTCCTTTTTTTTTCAGCGGAGAATATTAACAATGGTGCCTCTTTATGAGCTTGAAAAGTAAACAAGTCCCAAATGTTTTACACTTCATTTGTGGGAAATTTTAACGCCTGTAACAGCTGCAGGGGAGAAGCTGTCAGACCAAATGACTTACAGCCAAGCAAAGACTTTTATTTTTAGTTATTTATTTATTTTAATGTTTATTTAACAGGAACAATACATACAACAATGCCACAAGAAATACAAAATATACTGAATACTATAAATGCAAATATACCAACACAGTGGATAATACAGAGAATGGTCAGGTGACACAAATAAATAAACACTAACGAAATTTAGATTGAATATTCTCAGTGAGGGTTTAAAGATGATACTTCAATATTCCAAAACAGAACTCAACTAGAAAAGCACTCGGAGAGCGCAGACCTCCGCAAAGCAGCTCATGTCTCCCCTTATATTGTGATTCACACCAAAACTTTTAGTGTTACGTGTCTTTTATTAACTTTTATTTGTGTTTAAACTGGTATGTTCACTGTTCATAATGTTCCTAAAACAAGAAAGCTCATATTAGATACACAAATGCATGATTTATTATGCAATATTTGTAAGCCTTCACTTCCTTGTATCTTCATTGGTTATCTTTCAGCATTGAAAATTCCAACAACACCCTTATTTTTGTGTGTTCTGGATCACAGTATCCGGAATTTTGTCTGGATCAGGATCAACCTTTGACACCTCGTAAAACTCAATGAGATCCTTTTGTGTAATTTTTTACTAAAGACTCTGGACATTTTTATAGAGCTAAATGCAAAAATTCCAAAATTTGCCCTATCTCACAATGATAAAGAATCCTTCAAAAAATTCCTGGATCCAGAAGGCGATCCGGATCACCACCAAAATTTAATGGGATCCTCCTGGGGCTGACACGCACCTCTGGTGAAAATTTCAGGTCAATCCGTCTGTTACTTTCTCTGTAAAGTTGTTCACAGACAAACAAACAAACCAACGCTACCGAAAACATAACCTCCTTGGCGGAGGTAAAGATCAAGTCAGAGCAGATGTCAAAATTCTTTCTCTTCTCTTTACGTCTCCTCTTCCTCCTCCGTTTCAGGCTCAGCAGCTCCACAGAACAGAGCTCTTCCTCACAGCTGATGCGCAGACACAAACGCCGCCGACGGAGGCACAAAGTCGCCAAAATAGACCGGGTGAGACGGATCAGTGCTCGCCTTTGAGACACCGAGAGAGAGAGGACTGATGGATGAAGCCTTTCACTCACTTTGATTCTGTTTTTTTGTCTCTTTTCTTTCTAGTCTTCATCCTTCAGCAGTATCACAGACTCCACCATGAGCCTCAACATCATCACCGTCACACTCAACATGGGTAACCTGACTCTATAGATAAGATACACATGAAAATATATGAGATGAAGAGTAGCTATTTACCTCCCTCTCTCTTCTTGACAGAAAAGTACAACTTTCTGGGTATCAGTATTGTCGGTCAGAGTAACGACCGGGGAGACGGCGGTATTTACATCGGCTCCATCATGAAAGGCGGAGCTGTTGCTGCTGATGGAAGAATCGAACCTGGAGACATGCTCCTCCAGGTACCTCAGCAGACACTTGTGCCTCTCTGGCGCTATCTGCTGCTGCTGTTTGTACAGTGTGAAACTTAATATGACGCAAACGTAGACGACTGATCTTCTATCTGAACCTATTAATAACCACAGAGCTGTAGTCGCTTCCGTTTGTGTGCTTTTGTAGAAGTCACTCTGCCTCTCCTTTTCCTTCCTGTTCGTGCCTTTCTTTTTGATCTCTTCAGTTACGCCCACTGTGAAACACACAGTTTGTTTCTGCTCCAACATTCACAATATCATATGTGTTATTATGAGTCCGTGTTTCCCATAGAGAGCGGCTTAGGATTTACAGGCATCTGGAGGTCCAGAGAGCCTTTCCAGGGATTAGTGCATAAACAGAGCGGAGGCCTCTGCAGAGCTTCACAACAATACTTTAGTTATTAAAACACGCTGTTAGAAATGAGTGATGCATTTGATTTAATAAGATAATTACATGTTTTTTTGTTCTGCCAACCAGGTTAATGATGTGAACTTTGAGAACATGAGCAATGACGATGCTGTGAGGATCCTCAGAGAGATCGTTTCTAAAACCGGGTAAGAGAACAGAGAGTAGATACTGCAGAGGATTCACCGATTATTGAGACATTTTAACTTCACTGCAGAGGATTATCAGAATGACAGCGTAAATTTAGATATCAGTAAGAGGGTTTTTTGTGTATTTAAAGGATTAATAAAGAACCTGATAAGACGTATTATGACTTTGAGGACAGACAAATCCCAAAGTTGAGATAAAAAGCTGTTTTTGTTGTTTTTGTTGTTGTTTTTTTATCTGGCTTTAAACCCTTTAAGCCCATTTTTAACTAATGATAAAGAGCAATATTTTGAGTGGAAATAATTTGCGAATATAAATATCATTTTTTTAAATTAATGTTATAAGGTTATGTTGTAGATTTGACTTCAGTTGTTTGCTACTAAATAGATAAATTCAGGTCCTCTTAAGTTGAATGAAACGGTGCAGACTCTGGTTTGAGATGCATGAAACAAATATGGAGGAATCATCACTTCATTTATGTTCAGATGAGGTTACATAACTTCTTTGTCAAGTTTCATAGTTAAAGTTACCTGATGTAGAAGTTTGTACATGTTTCCATGCAGTTATATAGTGTTAAAGTCTCAGTGCAGTTTCAGGGTCATTCGGTGGTGTTTACACTTAAACGACAGGATATAATTAAATAATTTAACAATCCTTTAAGAAGTTTTTGTTGTTGAAGTTTTTGCTGTCAGTGTTTTTGGTGAAACTTTTGGGGAATTTGCCACTGGGACTTCCGGGCCTCACAAACCCCCTCAGGGTCAGAAAGAAACACAGAAATAGAGAAAAGGAGAAGGTTGTGTTTGAAGTTATGTGAGGCTTAACTAAGGTGTAGTCCTGCACTTGAAACTTTGCTGCAGAGCATAACTCGTGGTTAAAGTGAGATAACATGACTTCAACTCCTTTCTATCCCAACAAACACAGTCTTAACTCCCCTCTCCTTGAAACCACCAGATTTCAGTGACATAAACTGTAATTTTACTCCGTCAGAGGCAGGATTGTTTGGTTGTGGTGAAACAAAACAAACTGATTCTCTTGTTTTTGTCTTTCACAGTCCTATTAGTCTTACTGTTGCCAAATGTTGGGACCCGTCTCCGAGGAGCTACTTCACCATCCCTCGTGGTGAGACTCGTTACTTTCCTTTAGCAAACATCAGCTAACCATCCTGAAGTGATTTTCTTTACATTCAGAGCAGTGAAGCTGATGTTTAAGTGTTTTTTCTCTACAATTGTTGGTTTAGCTGAGCCCGTGCGACCCATTGACCCCGCAGCCTGGATCTCCCACACCACCGCCCTGACAGGACCTTACCCACACTACGGTAAAAACCACCAACCTCCACCTCCATCACACGCTATGAAACATCCCTACTGTGGTAATTACGACGACCCTTTGACATTTAAATGGAAAAGTCCTGCCTTTTATGGTTTTCTCACACACTCATCCTCGCACCCTCCCCAGAGTTCGATGACTTGCCTCTATCTGCCAGTAAAACGGACATGGCGACCATCGTCAAGGTGATGCAGCTTCCTGACTCAGGCCTGGAGATCAGAGACAGGATGTGGTTGAAAATCACCATTGCGAACGCTGTTATTGGTGAGTGGAGCTGCAGACACACGCAAAACTTACAGATTTGTTGTTCCTGTAAGTCATGTACGACAAAGAGTAGAGTAGACTAAGAGCTGTGTTGTGTAAGATGTTATATGTCACTAGAAATCTTGAAAAAAACCCTCCTAATTTAGAGAAGTAATAAAATAGATGACTGCTCATTTAGGATTTCCTGAAAACTAAACAGGAAGTTTCATTTCAGGCAGTTTCATACCATTAACTATTGGAAAAAGCATTACAGTAGCTACTCATGTAAGCAAAACCACAAATTTGAGACCTGCAAAGTATCATTCCTCGCTATGACATCAACCGCAGCAACATTGTGCTGTTTGTCTGCATATAATGACTGTGGTTATGAAATTATAAACAGTATTTTTAGCATCTGCTCAACCTATCAAAGCAGGAGCCCACATGTCTGTGTGTCTGGCTGTTTCTATGTGTGTGTGTGTGTGTGTGTGTTTTGCTGTGTCAGGTGCTGACGTAGTGGACTGGCTTTACTCCCGAGTCGAGGGATTCAAGGACCGGCGAGATGCGAGGAAGTACGCAAGCAGTCTGCTGAAACACGGCTACCTGAGACACACGGTCAACAAGATCACCTTCTCTGAGCAGTGTTACTACACATTTGGGGACCTTTGCCAAAGTACAGCCCCTTAAATCATCTATTTATCGATATCTTACAGAAAAAGCAGTCATGTTTGTGATTATTGACTTTTTTCTTTCTCTCTGGTTCTGTTTTCCTTCCAACAAAGACATGGCATCTCTTAATCTGAATGAGGGATCCAGCGGAGGAGGTTCTGAGCAGGACACTCTGGCTCCGCTCCCTCCCACCAGCAACCCCTGGCCCCTGGGCGGACAGCCATTCCCCTACCCGCCTTTTCCCTCCGCGCCCCCCAGCTTCCCGCCAGGATACTCAGACCCGTGCCACAGTTTCCACAGCGGGAGTGCAGGCAGCCAGCACAGTGAGGGTGAGCGATGAGAAGACGAGCCTTCGAGTTCTTCATCAGCCTTTCAGTATTAATACGATGATTTGACTCAACATGCGACATGATATCACCCCGTATCTTAATATTCCTGAGGTGTGCCGTCAGTAACAGATATTTGACTCATGCTAATGCTAGCTGTTCCGGCTCACCGGGGTGGAAGAGGGAATCTGAGTGCATTTGAATTATATCATGTGTGTATTTTCTAAAACAAGTCCTGTGTTGTCAAGGTCAATCATGAGCATCTTGAGTCATGCAGCGGACAGCTCTGCAGTACTGGGTGTGTACACGTGAAAACAAACCTGATAAGCCTTGTGATTACGAATCACCAGCTTGAAACTAGAGATGTTCTGATACCACTTCAACATTTCAGACACCAACTCTGCTACCGAAACTCCTCTATTTACTGAAACAGAGTACCACTAAACAAGTAGGCATGTTAGTGTTACTATTTACTCGCTGTAGGGTTTAAAATAACCTGCAGAAGCCTAGATTACCCCCTGGTGTCCAGAGAAAAATAATGTTAGAGGCTTAATTGTGGGATTTTCAAGATTTAGGTCAACTTAATTTGAGCTTTCAAAATAGAGAAGACACAAAAATGTTAAAATGTGTGTTTGAAAATGCTCTTTAGTAACGCTTAGCTAGCTTTTTAATGTTTAAATGAATGTAAATGTAATTCTGTGTCTAAAACCTCCCCATAAAATCAGGCCTATTCAAACTGCTTAGTTTAAGTTTATTTCACTTAGTTAGTTTAAATTAATTTTAGATTTATTTAAGTCACAAAGCCCTGAAAATGTGCTTAGAAATACTACTTTCCAGTATTTAACCAGCTAAAGTAATGTCAGCCTCTCTTCTCGCACTAAACTGTCTCTGAAAAAGAAACAACAAGAGGCTGTTGTTAATTTTAACGGTTTGATTTTGGGTTTTTTTTCATTAACTTAATTTAATTTATCAACCTAGCTTATGGGGACTTAATACACTCATTCGATAATAAGAGTCTGGAGCACCAGTGGGGTCAGTCTGAATGAGATGCAGCCCTAAAAACTCCTCATTTATCATTTGCTGGCGTCTATGAAACCCTCCTTTTTCAGCTTCATTCAACTTTGTTTTAGCTGCTTTTCCAGTGGTGAGTTTGCTCCCCACTATAGCTTTGAACACATTATTTGCTGTTTAAATTCAGCTACAGCTTGTTATTGTGGACTTTTATGAGAAGTCTTAATAGATGGACAAATCCACCTTATGCATTTCAACATTGTCCTAATAGGGCTGCAGAGTGTGACTTCAGGTTCAGGTAAATTTAGACAGCCAACATTGTCACACTACTAAAATACAGAAAGTGTCAAACTGTCAAAGCAGTTTAGTATCTAAGGTTAGTTTTTCTATGATCTGTTAGCCTTTTCTGCTCTTAAACTTTTAGTGGTCGCCATAATTTGCATTATCACGCTGTAATCTGCTGTTTCGTGATAGTTTCGTTTAGTTTATCTGTTTGGTTTCAGATTGGTGTATTAACTCATGATGTTTCTGAAACATTTCTGAAACTGGTATCAGTATCAGAACAGCTCTACTTGACTCAATCAACGCCACGTCCATCCCTCCTCATCGGCTCTTGAATAATCTTTTGTTTTCATCTGGGAATCAGAGCGTGCTTGTTCTTTGTGTTGCTACCGCTGCTGCATGGTTATTGTATTCTGCATAGAGGAGAGTGGAGATCCGTGGGGGGGCTTTGTTCAGCGGTAGAAGTGGGTGGCTGTGACAGTGTGTGTCTATAGCAAACATTTTAAACCAGTCAGCCCAGACAGATAATGGTAAGTTTCATGTTACCATCTTTCAGCCTTATTTTCATTGTTCCGAGTGACTCATCCAGGCATTGGCATGTCTCGCTTTTGGACGGTTGTCATGCTTTCAGTGGGTTCATCTGCAGCCGTTTTATTAAAGTAGAAGAACAGGGACGACAAGAACAGTCATGTAATGAATTTAATTATGAGTAAATTTGCAGTTTTGTTTCTTTCGGCATATCAAAGCAAGTGCTGCGGATAATTATGTGTCTGCCTGCATCACAAGTGGATGTAGCCTCTGTGTTGTATCACGAACTTGCATTTCCTTTGCTGCCTGCAGGGGGCGACTCTAACGGTTGCCCGAGTGGTCTGAATGAAAAATTACCCTCTTCTGCAAAAAAATGGTCAAATTAAAAGTTTCTAATCTTCTTTACTGCAAATATATCGCTAATGCAGGCGCACTATAACAAGTCGCCACGATAGCAAAGAAGCTATCGTGTGCTAACTCACTTCGGCTACATCCACTTTTTTACAGTCTGTTGTCTGCCTGCCTGTTTAAAGGGGTCATTTTTGCTTTGTTGCATTTTTGAGGGGACGTCTCTGTAAAATAATTTGGTTTTAATTCTGTTTCTGAGCTGATGAGGGAATGATCCAGAACAGCCTTGGGTGTGTTTTTAGCGTAAGCTCAGTAATAGGGTGCACTAGTTAGTAAAGGAAGGGCTGGGTTGAGGCAGGGAGGTGTGTGTAATTCTGTTGTTCCCTCTGTTTCTGCTGGGCAACGGTAGACTGAAGGAGGAGGTAGTCCCAGGACACTGGGGGAACCGGTAAGCCTGCTAACCCCCTCTCGTCTCTGCTTCTCTCTTTCTAACCATCAATCCTTATCCTTCTCTTCCTCTCCTCTTTCTCCTGTGCTGGAAATTCTCCACCTGTCATACCGTGGCTTTAAGGTTTTTTGTTTTTGTTTTCTTCCTCCGCCCGTCCCATGTATCAGTGTGTCTCCTGTGTGTGACTCTCCCTCTCTGCACCTCTGGGCATGCGATCGTTCTGCGCTGGGAGGTGCATGACGCAGGATGGTGATCACTCTGAGGCCTGTGCTATCATTCTCACTGATAGGGGGCGATCATGCACCATTTTTTTACCCAGTACTGTTGGGCTCATTGTGAAAGGGGAAGTGTGGGATGTTGATTTTCTGCAACAGTGTGGTACACCTCTATTGGCATGACACCACACATGTGTACTGGCACTAAAACTCGACATTTACAGACATCATAAATACGATGATGTTTCCAAATTGTGTCATTCCTACGTTAATCAAAAAGTGCTGGGTGCGAGTGTCTTTCTGATGCAGGTGTATCATTTTCAATCTGTGGATGTTTCTAGCGTTTTTATCAATATTAGTTGAAGCTTCAGGCGGAGATTTGGGAAGAAACTCTCATGTTTGTCCTTGTTAACTCTTGCATAAGGAAATCTCTTGTCACACCTTAAACAAATTTATAGTTTTCTCTGATTAAATCATGCCCTACATGAAGCTCTTCTGAAGCTTCGTTATTATCATTTTTGTTTAATGTGTGACTTCCTAGATCTGCAGATTTTGGAGCTGCTGGAAATGTGTGGGTTTTTTTTGTTCTCCTGTGATTGGCCGAGCTTAAATGTTTGTGTTTTTCTCCTCGACAGGAAGCCGAAGCAGTGGATCCAACCCCAGCGCAGGCAAAGGCAAACGCTCCTCCCCGCAAGAGAAAGGTCAACGGTCAACATGCAGCGAATCGGAACCCCGCGTCCACGGAGGAGGTAGGCGCGGCGACAGATCCGCCAGTCAAATGAGTCACCACAGCCACGCCGTGTCCAGTCACAGTCACGCCCGATCCAATCTCAGCCACAGTCAGTCACACCGGAGTCACCCCCACTCACAGAACAGCCACCCCTCCTTCACCTACAGCCACGCCCCTTTCTCCCAGCCGGGGCCGGGGTCGTGCGCCCACAGCGAGCGAAGCCACGCCTCCTCCTACGGCCCCCCGGGCTTACCTCCCCCTTATTGTCTGGCTCGACTGGCCCCGAAGACCTCGGTCAGCAGCAGCACGCCCCCAGGTGCCCCTCCAGGGAGAGAGCTTGCCGCCGTCCCTCCTGAGCTCACCGCAAGCCGTCAGTCCTTCCAGCACGCCATGGGTAACCCCTGCGAGTTCTTTGTTGACATCATGTGACAGGACAGTGCCTTTAAAACTCATCGAGCACAAAAAACAAAACCACCCCCTTTTTTTCCACGAGAATCTCTTGCCTCTAAGATCAGAATGTAGACCCTGACCGGCCCTCTACCTTTCCCCTGCTGATGTCTGAGCACAAGCACAACATCGGGGTCTTCAGCGGCTGGAAGCTCCTCTTTTGTATTGACGTGACGTGTACAGTTTGTGAAACGTGAGTGGTTTTCGGTGTGGTGATTCTCTCAAGCTGCCGCGCAGACATTCTCGGGAGACTGTACTCTGTCTAGGACTTTTTTCTCTCTTTTGCAAGACCTTTAAGCTGGTTGGGCCTGGATCTCAATCCCCCAGACCCAGACTGACTTCGACAGTCTGCACTTAGGAACGTTTCTCTTGCGTCTGGAACATGGAGTTTATCTCCAGACTTGGGTGTGCTAATGAAATTTAGCACCTTATGCCAAACCTCTTGCCCCATCAAGGCTTATTTAAGCTCTTACCTGCCAACTGCTAAAACGCTAACTTTGATCAGTCCACGGTTTGTGGATCCCTGACTTCACGAGAGAGGCAGCCGATAGTCTAACTGAGCTGCATATTGCATGACTGTCTCAACTGCTTTAAAGAAAAGAAATTTTATTAACAAGTTTTGTTTCAAGTATTACCCTTATTCGGGGGGAAGGGGTTACCTCTTGCCAATGTCCTAAAGGAGGGATCCGTACACTGGATGATTTTTGTGATGTTATTTATGTGATTTTGTTGCATCGATGGTGTCATACTCTGTCTTTGACGACTTACTGACAGACAATCAGACATCACCCTCTTGTGAATCAGCGGTCGAGTCTCCACTGTCCTCGCTGTGCTTTGTCGAATGTATCATTGTTCCTGTCGGTGATGAAACCCTGGCGTTCGAAACTCTTGGATAAAAACACGTTTTTAAGTTTTCAGATCAGCGTACAAACAGGATTGCAAACAGTTAAAAACACCCACAGCTGCAGAAGCGAACATAAAGAGTCGACATGAGATTAAACCGGTTTGTTACAAGCATCAGTGCGATAAAGCCAAAGCCTCACATTGTGCGGTGAATATTTCTGTCTACAATGTAGTAAATCTCTGATGACGAAAACACGACACTTCTCATTTTATAACCTCAAACGGCCTTTAAGGGGAATCCTGGCCTTCAATTCGGATCTCCTTGCAAAACAACGACAACCCCCTGATTTACCTACGATTTACTGTAGATAACAGGAGGGAAAAACCACAAACACAAAGACAAGGTCGTTTTCTGAGCACTTTCCCTTTTTTGTCTCTTCCTCCCTTTAGTATGGAACACTGTTTGCAATCAAAGCTTTCTCTTTACTTTTGTTTCTTTACAAAAGATGAATAAATTGTACATAGAAATTTATTATATATATGAATAAAAATATATATGTTCAAAATCTTCTCTGTTTTCTCTCTTAACTGTCTTAAGCACCACTAGATGGAGACATTTAATGTGAAAGTACCATCCTGTTTGCCTCTTTTCATAAGTTTTAATTGAACAGACTCTACAGTAGTTGTGCATAAAGCATTTAGACCCGGCTTAGTCGTGATGTAGGCTGGTTTAAAACTATAAAACTGTAGGACGTACAAGAACTACCACACTGACTGTGACAGCCACACTTTCTTACTTTCACACTTTACACGTCTGAGTGGAACTTTTCTCTGCGTGTACTTTCCCAGTGGGCTGAAGTTGCTTTTCTCTTCATACCCACCAGAAACACATGCAGACCCCCAGACCACAGATGCTGTACGACACCACTGGTTGAGTGTGACGCCACGTTCGTACGTCTACAACCCGTGTTTAAAAGAGTTATTCAGGAAGGAAGTGAGGTCCGCGCTCAGTGTAACGATGCATGTAGAGGCAGATTAAAATGATACGCCTCCATGAAGCGAGCGTTCATCTAAAATCAGCTGCTTATGCAGAGAGAATCTTGAGTCGTAGCGACGTCTGAAATAGACGCCAAAGCTTTCAGCCTACATGCAAACACACACTCACACACACACACTCAGAATGAATACAACTGACTACTCTTCTTACCGGACAGCCTCACAGTATTTCCCAGGTCTCTATGTTAATCAAGCTGCTGGGGTTTACGGTGCCTCAGAGCTGAAATTTGGGGATGGGTTGAAGGGTAAGTGTGGGAGGTGTTTCTTGGCCACATGTGAGTGGGAGGTGCAGCCTTCTGACATCACCGTCTCAGGTAACATGCATGTGCTCTTTGAGGAGGCAGGTTGTGGTATTTTGAGGATAAATGTCAAAGGCGAAGATTGCATTATAACTTGAATGTCAAGGTTATTACAATATGTTTCAAGCATGACTCAGAAGCAGCTGGATTCTCCTGAATGTTCGGGTGCAAACCAGCTGAGTCAGAGGATCGACTCGCCTTAAATAACCTATGAGAGCTGATGAGCCGATTGTCATGTAGCGTCTCACCCTTAATCAGCTAATTTCCCGTTTTACAACCTTCACACCATCCACTTACAGGAAACGTGTTCCTTTTTCAGTGGAATTAAACACCATGACCTTTTGTTGGGGGAATGTCAGGAAACAAAAATGATATCCAACGAGAGAATACCCCCATGGAGGCTGTGCTTTCTTTTTGGCACAGCAAAAAGAGAGCACAGCTTGTAGTTTCAGTTTCCCTTCCCTAGATTTTTCAGATTTAAAGCGCATGTTTAGTGTTGATGACAGCCACCTAAAGCAAGGAGGGAAACTTTTGAACTTTCCTGATGCCCTCTGGTCAGGCTCATGATCCTGTGTGAGTAATCATGTTGATTCAAACAATGACTCATCATCACAACAATCAGGTGTGCATGAGAACTACAAAAGCTTCTTAAAACTCACTCTGCCTCCCTTCTAAGTAATTTAATTGATTATCCATTGTAAGAATTTTCAAAGTGAAAGACAAAAAAAGACACAAGTTTGAAATTTTTATCAGATTGCGCAATGACTCCCCCCCGAAGACCATGACCGTACAAGAGGTGGAAAGTCCCCCCTACACACACGCTGACCTCAAGCTTTGCTTAACTCAAGCAAGTCAAATCAATACAAACACAACTACCCTGTAATAATATTCAAAAGAGGCTGGAAAGTTTATGTGTCAAATTTAACTGGAATAATAAAACGCCTCCCTGAAAATTTCTCCTCATCTGTCACAAAATACTTTTAAAAAAGGAAAATATTTACATCTTAATTCAATCAAAAGAGGAAATCTCAGACTCTTTTATAACTGCTGTCATTTTTGAAGATACTTCAAATCAAAATAAAGCCTAAAATGCTTTTTTTAGTAAAAAACTAAATTTAAGTATGTCCAATTCTAGCCGTCTTAAAAACATGCCTCTCTGAACTTTCAGATGACTTTTAATATCAGAAATAGAATAAAACGTGCTTAGTTTTCAAGTTTTGCGGTGTACTTTGGATCATTATCAAAGTCTTCATGCGTAAAATACTTCTCCAGCTGTACCCGGAAATTTGTAGTTTCCTCCTTAATGGTAAAAAAGTTCAAAACTCAAATAGCATATATATTTCTGTGGTATATTACGTTCATCTGAATGGGAATGAGAACTAACATTTGCATAAGTATGTGTCTGATTGCTGTTTTTAAAATATACTTAAAAGTCTTACAAAAATTGAAACTTATACTGACATATCTAGGATCTTCCTCTGAATTGCCAGTCATCCAGAACTAAAAACAGATTCTGGTCTGGTTACATTTTTGAGGTTAGCAAAGTCAGCTAATGTTATCTTAGTGACCATCCCAAACCACTACTAAACAAACACTCTCTAAACAGCTTCAACACAAGGAAATCAAACTGCTATCTACATAAAAAAAGCTGCATCTTTACAACTCTTATCTTCTAACTGTCAATTATGATGAACTTTTTAATGACAACTATGAAAATGAAAACTATGTAAGCCGTGATCTGAAGGATGATAATCTCATACTTACCTGCATCCAAACCTGTTTCACTGATCAGTCATAAATAATCTCCACTTTATCATCTCTGAGTGACTCAGGTTTTGCTGAATTTGACTTTAGCCAATGCTTACTTACAGCAAACTACCATGTTATGTCACAGCATTCGCTAATTGAAAATTTCCCACCTTTAAATCCTCTGTCTTTGTTTGGAGTCTGATGTGAGGAATCAGATTCCTGCTTCTCGTGACTTGGACTGTGTTCTGTGGAGGTGATGCGATGCTTTGTTTGATTTACAGTAAACCTGGTGTTTTTATCTCCACAAATCCCTAAATCTGGACAGGTTGGAACAAGCATCACGTGAACCACGCTGTAATCTAAAACTCATCTCTGAATCTAGTTTCCAGGAGCAGGATTGTATTATGATATGGGCTCTGATTCTGAAAAGAATAGAGTGTGAGAGTTTCTTTCTTTGTGAGTTGTCACAGGGACATACCTGAGACACAGAGCGTTTATTATTTACAGATCTCATCATGTAACACTGATGGAACAATTAAATATCAGCACAGAGGCAGAGGAAAGTAAGATATTTTAGCCATCAGATATTCCTTTGGGTTTTCCTTTTGTTTCCTTGTTGATTCCCCTGAAAGAAAAAATCTTGATAAATGATAATAAAACTTTTTATTTATGACTAAACTTTCCCAAGATGAGACTGAAAATATTTCTCAAACCTACATCTGTCGTTCGTACCCCTCTGGCATGTTTTGTCAATTAATAAGACACGCCCCCTTTGATGAAAAAAAAAAAAGCATATGAATAACAGACTCTCTGCTGTTGGTTAAATAGTGTGAGAGCACCGAGACCACAACACAGACAGACTTCCCCCATGACACTGTTCATGCTTCTTTCCATTTCAACACTACAGCTGAGTTACTTCAGTTAAAGTTTACAGATCTTTAAGACGCTACAGCTACAGATTTCAACATCAAAACTATACAGTGTGCTGGGATATACCTTGACTGGATTGGATTACCTCTGCTGGTGGAGTTTTTTTCTCTAGAAAGGAGATTGTGAGGTGACATCAGTATGGCAGTGATCCTCTGGGTGCTGGGTCTGACTCTGCTGGTGCAGAGCTCGGTGTGCAGTGTGGGAAACGTGAGGAAAGGCTGCCAAAAATGGTCTCCAAATGGAGATGATGTTTGCTGTGAAATCTGCCGTCCTGGTGAGTAAACAAACACAGAAAGAAGTTAACAACACTGTTTCTCAAGTTGTAATGACCACTGTTTGTATATTTGTGTGTATCTACATGTACATCCTCTATTCATACTATAGTATTTATGTGTTTTTCATTGATTGGACATAAATTAAGTTAATTAAAATACTTTAAAAATATATTTTCTGAGGTTTTAGAAGTTTAAGTGAATCTAGGGGTGAGATTTAATATAAGACGTGATATCATAGCCAATGTGTTTCCCTCATAGACGGCAACATCTTAACTGCAACTGCAAATAAGTGTATGGTACAGTATGATGTAATGGGATATGATACCAGACCAAACTCACTTGTCCATGAAGGTGATACAATCAAGATGCAGCAATCCTGCAAAAACTGAAAAAAGCAAAAATATGAAAATGTGATTTAATATGAAACAGTACAAACAGTTTAGCCAATATATCATGGATGGAGGTGATCGTATCATGATCATTGATACACAATACGGCATGACACGACACGACACAACACAACAAGACAAAATATGATACGAAGGGACACAAATAATACAATTTGGTTCAGCAAAATACAACGTTAAAGCAAACAGTTACCAATGAAAATGATAGTGTCATGATTCAGCAATTCTGACTCACTGATGCTAGAATAGATATCATAGAACTTGATATATATGTTATTTTTTAGAGGAGCAATTTTTGGTGCACACAGGGGAGAACTTTATCTATCCATACAGGGATTTTGTCGCACCAAAAAAAGTTTCTGTTTGTTGAATTGTCTTTGCACTTTGAACGGGATGTGGCAAACTCATATTCCAGCCTTAATGAATTTCCTCTGCTGCGGTTGTTTGTAACCGAAATACTCTCAGTGGTTTTGTGCAGCTGTTACCACAAGTCAGAAAACAGTTTGGATTTATTCTAATAATTTATCAGATAACACAGAAAGGTGTGAAATGTTACTGTAACTCTAAAATAGTGAGGGGAGTTCTCGTCACAGGAACAGAGACCTTTTGTGCTTGTTGACCTTTAGCCTTTCGTGAGGAAATAAGTCATTTTATCTTGAATATCTCACTGTGTGTGTATGTGTATGTGTGTGTGTTTTTCAGGAAACCGCCTGGTCAGAAAGTGTGGTCCAGATCCAGAGAAACTGTGTACCCCTTGTGAGGAGGACTCATTTACAAATAATCCACTAAGCATGAGATGTGACACGTGCAGACGCTGCTTAGGTATGTTTGCTGATCAAACTAGTCGCAAAATGACTCAGATATTCCCGTAGAAGTGGTTAAAAGCGATCCCTCTTTATGTCTTTTTTGTACATACAGGATCTCTTGTTCATGTGAAAGACTGCACAGCCACGTCTGACACCGTGTGCGGCTGCGAAAAGGGTCTCACCTGTGGTAATGATCCGTGTACATTCTGCGTGAAGAAATGTGACAGAGGTCAGGAGCGTGCAGATGGAAGTAAGTCCTCAGAAATACGACACATGAACAGCATCTTAAGTGAATAATGAGATAACGTGACCTGAATGTCTGCACAGGTTCCTGCAGACCCTGTCCAGAGGGAACCTTCAATAACCAAACCCAGCAGCAGAAGTGTCAACCCTGGAGCACTAAGTGAGTTCAACTCTCCTCTGGTGACACGATTAAAACACAAAGAAATCAATTTAATTCCTTGAATTTTTGTTTCTCTCCTAAGGTGCCCTCATCCGGGTCAACAGATTATTGCCAAGGGAAACGCATTTTCTGACATCAAGTGTGCTGTGATCCAGATCCACGAAACAAAGCAACCAGGTAGGCTGCAAATCTGGTCATCAAATGCTCTTGTACTTTATTTCTTTGTGATCTAGAACTAACAATAATTTCTATTTTAGCAGAAAACCCAAGGCAGGCATGGCTGATACTGCTGGTGGCGTTGCTTGTGGTATTTGCAGTACTTGTGATTTTTATCACCACTGTGGCCTGTGAAATTCGTAAGAGGAAGTCAGTGAAAGTCACGACGCCAGAAAAGACCAGTGAAAAAATGTTGATCAAATGTCCTTCAGGTAAATTGAACAGGCTGTCCTGCCTCCCCTACATTGATTAAAGCGATTATTCATAAATCCTGTTGTAAATAATCGATTGTCTTTGTTTTGTTTTTTTTTCATTAGATGAGCCCAGAACTTTGATTGCGATTGAATGCAGCTTCCATGAAGCCCAGCAGGAGCAGGGGAGTAGCTCAGAGTCGCTTGTCTCCAAAGATTCCGCCGAACAGCTTCTACCTTAAACAAAAAGGGGACCAGGCTTCTCTGCAATACTGGGAAACCCTGTCAAAATCTGATGTTGCTGATTTCATTGAAAAGGAAGCAGGATATCCTGAATCTTTGTGTCACTGGTGTTCAAGTTTAGGGAGTAACTTTGCTCACTGCGAGTTTCTTCGGCTCTTAATGAAAAACAATGTCGCTGACATCTATCCTGTTTAGTCTGTTTTCCTTCTCTTCACAATGGCCATCTCTGCTATGATAACCCCGATAAGTTAAAAGGATACAGTACTCTGATGTTTAGATGATTCAGTACAGAAGGGAGGATGGGGAATTCTGGCAGGGAAAACACACACTCATTGAAGGCTATTCATCATGTTAATTTAAGGCTTGCAGACAGGCTGTTTTTTCCCCTTTTACAGTGGCTTAAAGAGAACATGAGCAAACTATTGAATTGACTTTGAGAGGTGGGTACAGTAAAATAACATGCAAAATCGTAAGCCTTTGGAAAACTATGTGAAAAATTGCAACGTTGACAGACTTGAATGAGCATGAATGAGTTGTACTATTCCTTTATTTGCATGTCAGAGCGTCAAACCGCTGACTGTTGCTGCTCTGAGTGTACAGTGCAGGTGGGTGTTCAGCAGCAGGAAGTTTCTGTCACGCCTCATACAGAGCCTACATGTCTCCAGGCCAGATGTTTTGTTCCTTTTGAGCTCTAATAACCTGGTTACCTCCTTTTAACTGCTAATTTATGAGCTTTTCAGACTTTGTTTTGTCACTCATTTCTTGAATCTTTGGGATTACTTGTGATAAATTCATAAGAGCACACAAACCTGTTTTAACAATGTAAACAAAGCCTTCAACCCTGCATTAGGAGTTTCCTACAAAGTTTATTAGTTGAAAAAGTCCAGAGGAAGAAGTTCCCCTCTTTATCCACGAACAAAGTCCAAGTACCAGAGACGCTACAGGGCAGAGCAATTAACTTTTTTCTACCTTCTCTGCTTAGTCAAACAATGCAGAGCAAACATTTGGCACAGCTTCAACAGCCTTTTTCTCATAAAACATGCCAGAACAAGCCACTTAGCCCAGAGTTGGGAAACACTTCTGGCAGTCCCAGTGTGGATTTTTTTAGAGATAAAATCTCAGATTATCTTATCGAATTTGGACTGAGGGTAAATATTAAGAGTCTTTTCAGATGCGTCATGTAAGGAGTCCTCAGTTTTATTATTGCAGTTGTTTGTGGTGAACATAGTATTGAAATAAAGCTACAGTTAGTCCTGTACTGTTCTTTTTTTTTTGCTTATCTTCTTGTAAAACAGAGTGGGCAGCTATTCAGACCAAGTGGAACTTTTTTTTTTTTTTTTTTCAAACATATGTCTTCTCTGAAGTGGAACGTTTGAGAAATGTGTCGTGTGGGTTTGAGGCGCAAATGTTAGCCCACACCTATAGTAATGTATCAGTGAGCGTGTGTGAGTCATAACTCTGACGTCTGTACAGAGTCATACAGTTAATCTCTGAACAACTCTAGCACTTTATGTGGATGCTGTTATCTGATTGATTTTATACATTTGTTTCTGTGAACTTTTTACCTTTGATGCATTCTAGTTTAAATTATCTGTACACAAGAGAAGTATATAATGTGTTGAACTTTCTTATTTTAACTTAATAAAAATCAATAAAAGCTGGGGATTCTTTTTTATTTGTTGCACTTTTTACAACAGTTTAATTCATAGTGATTTGTGATTCATTAGGGGAAAAATTAATAATTGATATCCACTGAGGATTATAATATATATCCTAATGGGTCTGAGAGGCTAAATCTTAACACATGGTCATCCCTGACTCAAATGTCAAATAAATGGGCCTTGATATGAAAAAGGTTCAAAGCCAGTTACACAAATTAAAGCTAAAACTATAACACATGAAATCCTGGGGACTCCTTTTTAGTGTGGTCCTAAATATACAACGACTACTTTGGATGATTCTATCCCTATTCTATTATTCTACTATTGTATTATTATTCTAACAGAATAATAATAGTATCAGAAAGACCCTGTAATACACTCAGGCAGACAACAGCAGCAGTGGAAATATTAACGTATTTTAACTGTCCTTTGAGTTTAGTTAGAAATGTGATTGAAATATCGGTAAAAACGAACTTTTTCAAGCTAATAGTACTTTAATTAACATACAACAATTGTTAGCCTTTTTTAGACAAAAATACATCCTTTAATTTGAAAAGTTTCCCAAAATTAACTTGAAAAAAGACAGCCTTAATGTGAGTTTCATGCAATTTTGTTTTAATCAAATATTTTATTTTTCCTTTACCGGATATCCGCTTGTCACGTGACTCAGAGCCACACCCAGCCAGGTGTGCAGAGTGTAATAACGCCGGAGAACTGCGTGTCGATATTTTCATCAAAATACTGAAAAATAGAGGAAAATAGAGCCGTAAAAAATGAGGACAATACATTCTTTATCACATCTCATCGTGACCCTTGAGGTGAGTAAAAGAGAAGCGAACAGAAACACGAAGACGCTAAGTGGACGATGCTAATGCTAACAGGCTAACCGCGCTCGTGTTAAAGCCTAATATGCTAGTGAACAGGTACTGCTAACTGTTGTCATACTTTATCGCCTCAAATCAAAAGTATTGAAATGGAGTTGAAGTTATGAAATTATAAAAACTTTTTACACAAATGTGATCAAGTTTAACCCAAACTAAACTCAAATTCTGATGATTTGTTTGTTGTATTTTGTGGTGCAGGTGCCTGCAGTTGGACAACACATATTGGAAGAAGAGGAGGATCATCATCAAACAGAGCAGCAGAGTTCCTGAAGTGGTGTTATCAACTGTGTTTTTAAAGTTCATCAGTATTTAAATTACTTGGAAATTAATTACAGCGTTGCAGATGAGACAAGACTTGAAGAAAACGTGAAAGTCAAAACATCAGGGCAATGATTGAATGAATTTATTCACCAAAAATCACAAATCAGCTAAAATTGAAGTGTTTTTTATTTTATTCACTGCTGTATAAAAATTAAATCAATTGACGTTTTTAATCATGACGCTAGGCCATGTTACAGTATCGCTAAAGTAGCCGTTTTTTTATATAATGTTGTTTTGAAACCAGATAAATATGAACAAAATACAACATGTAGTTTAAAAGTAAAAAAATAAAACAATAACATTATGCTAACAATAATCAGAATTTTTCATCTTTAAATATTTAGTGGTTTCCAAAAAAAAAACTCGATCAACAATAACTGTCCAGCAGAGGGCACCTTCTCTACACAGAACTGCCCTGCTATGAATAAAGCGAAATTATTCACTTAATTTAAATAAGAAATCATTTACAAACACATTTTATGAGTCTTGATCAAAATATTTCTGGATAATTTAATATATTATTACATTTTTTATCTGACAGAAACATACTGGTAGTATAAAATTGTGACGTGTATTTCTTGAAGAAGTTAGCGGACGTTATCTTCTGTCAGCCGATTTTTAATTTTTCATCTTTATATTTTTATTACCCACTCACAAAGAATGCTACAAAGAAATATAAGCTTTGAGTCCAAGCCCAGAGTGGTGTTGTATTAGTAGATTGTGACTTAAACTCTAGCTGACCTAAGTAAATGTTTTTACTCACTTTTATTTAAGGGAAGGGAAAAAAATCTACAAGCCAAAAGTCCTGGGCACTTTACATTGGAAGCTCCTATTTGCCAAAATACTCAGCAATAAATATAATTCACTAAAATAGTGACTTACAAGAATAACTGCTAAAACTGCTAATTTAGATATCACTAATCTAATGTGCATATTAATTTTTGTCAAAGTCCAGAGACTCAACTATGAAGAGATGATTTTCAACTCTCTCATTCACTAATTAAACATTTAGTTCCCTATATTTTTAGTGTTTTCTTTAAGTGTAATGTATATTAAGACTATTGTACTTAATCATGAAAGAATCACATTAGACACTGGTGTTAAAAGACCCTTGTGTAATAGATACAAGAATAATCACACCAAACACAGCCAAAGGTTTAATTATTCTTCATTCATAGATATTTGACACTTACATCAGCTTCAACAGATCTCAAGCGCAAAACCTTTAAAAAACTTTTGTAAAACTATTAACTTAATTTTGTTTTTACTGTTTCAAAAGACGTCACGGTTAAAAACAACTTCTTGATCAGTGAAGTAGCCTGAGAGCTTCTCTGAGCTCTCACCACAGTCCAGTTTTGACATCCTCAGCTCAGATTTGTGTCTTTTGTTGGGTTAAAGGTGACAAACTAATTGTCTCTTCTTTTCTGTCAGGACTCATCACCGGCGGATCCTGGAGTTGGGGGGGCCTCCTCCTTCCCTCAACCCTCTTCCTCCTGTGTCTCCCTCAGGTCGAAGTTCATCTAAAATTAGGAAAAAAACTAAACATCAAAAAAGACTCTTTAGTGAACTGTCGGAGGAGCTGATGTCACATTTAATGTTGAGTAGCTGTTCGATTGTGTTAGATGAGATTTTTATTGCCAATAGATGTGCTGGAGTTTCTAATGACAACACATAATTCTATTTACAGTGCATCTCAATGAACCAGAATATCATGAAAAATTCAACATTTTTTTCTCCTTTTATTTATAGAAAATATTTTTTTTCTTGACTATTTCAGATCAGTTCAAACATTTGTTTAATTTTTCATAATCATGGCCTAATTTTATATTTCCTTGACTCACGACTCATCAATTCAAATGTTTTTATGCATTTTTTCACTTTCAGTTTTGGCCTACAGCTTATATTTATGAATACAATTATATATATATATCAAATGTATTCTCAATAACTCAATATCATCATTAATAATGAACATAGTCCTTATATAGTCATCTATAAATTTCAAAATGGTGTTTCCTCACATTCCCATTCATTTTTCTATGAAATCGAGCCCCTCTTAAGCTAATGCATTTAACTATTTGTTTCTGTTGTGCTTAGATTGAGAGGTGGGGGGAATAGGGGTTGGGTTGGGGTAAATTCAGGTTTTCTTTGTCTTTATTATTCCTCTGCTGTGTAAAACATGTTATTACATGTTTTGCATTAAAAGTGCTATAAAAATAAAGACTAGTTGTTTATTTGACTTATTGATTGTAATCATACAATTCTGATTTTTTTTGCATACTAAACAATGACATTTTTGTCAAACTTTACTAAATTTTTAAATCATACTGTACTTTGATATTTTACTAAAATATGACATTTTGACATCCTATACTTTGACATTTTGATCAGACTCTACTATTGAAAGTTTTTTCAACCTGAAATCTTAACTTTTTTCACCCTTAAAATCTAAAATTTTGGTCATAGTATACTATAGTTTTTTTTTTTTTTTCAGACTAAAATATGAATTTTCTATTTTTTCGCTAAAATGTGCCGTGATTAACATCCTATGCTATGACATTTCAATCAGGCTATACTATGCTATACTATTACTGAGTGTTTAGAGACTTGGTACACTTGAATTATTTACCTAAAAGCTTTTAGGTATCATTTGTCAGCAGTTAATTGAACATACTTAAGATTAATTTATGGAGGGAGGGGTTGCCTGGCCTCTAATATAGTAAACCTTTCACAAAGATCTTCCTGTGTGTCCACATAGCTCAGAGGATAAGAAGACTGACTGGGACTCCTGAGGTCGTGGGTTCGAACTCTTGTCTTGGTGAATGTTAAAGTCCAGAACACAAAGATAAAAGCGGGCGTACCTCATGCCCTAATGTGGATGGTATCTAGTTGTGCTGTGAGGTAGTCTACTAGCACCCAATGGGTGCCGGTTTGATCCCAGCTCGTGGCTGGAGAGTATTAGTCATGGTCAGATTATCATCATCATTAGAAGAGATGATGATTATTATTATTTATCATCATCAGAAGTGATGAATAGTACTTCTTCTTGCTAGAGAAGAATTCTCTATTTATTATCATCATCCCATTACTTTAAACTTCCTGTCTTGGGTGGGTATCGAACCGGAGTACCCACATTGGGTGCCGGTTGACTACCACACTGCGCTACCAGATACATCCACACTTTGGCATGAGCTCCGCGCACATTTATCTTTGTACTTGAGCTCCTGGACTTCAAACTTCAACTCAAACTAGATAGGACCAAGATATGAATTCTCCTTTTTTGCGCTAAAATATGAAAATTTTAAACATCCTATACTATGGCATCTTAATGAGGCTGTACTATGGCATGTTTCTTCATCCTAAAATCTGAAAAATTTTTTCACCCAAAAATCTGAAATTTTAGTCATAGTATAGTATGACCTTTTTTTCTGGACCAAAATATGAATGTTCTTTTTATGGGCTAAAATATGCCATGATTAACATCCTTTACAATGGCATTTTGATCAGGCTGTACTGTGATGTTTTTTTTTCTTAGACCATGATATGGATTTTCTTTTTTCACAATAAAATATAACATTTTGAACATTCTTTACTATGGCATTTCAATTAGACTATACTACTGCATGTTTTTTCATCCTAAAATCTGATTTTACTTTTTCACCCAAAAATCTGAAATTTTGGTCATAGTATACTATGTCGTTTTTTTTCTTAGACCATAATATGAATTGCCTTTTTTCACAATAAAATATAACATTTTGAACATTCTTTACTATGGCATTTCAATTAGACTATACT